GAGAGGTCTTCCGTTGACAAGCATGTCTCCAGTGATGACACCCATGGTAGTTCGCTGAGCCAAAACATCAAGAAGAGTAGTCTTTCCGGCACCACTGACACCCATCAGAGCGGTAAGAGTACCAGGCTTGACCCAACCAGTGACGTGATCCAGAAGACGTCTCGGCTCACCCTTGATCTCAATATCATAGACAACATCCTTCCAAGTAAAGATATCAGTCTGTGGCTCAAGCCCAGCAGTAGAATCCTGACCCTCATTCGTCTTCTCAGGAACAGCGAGCTGCTCATTCGTAGCGCTCCTGTCCACACCATCCTGAAGATGAGCGGGGACCTGACCGCGCTGGAAGACGAGGACCTCAGCCTTGCTAGCGGTCTTGGAGTTGAGCTCAGTGGCGATGAAGTAGATGAGCATGAAGCCGATGAGGAATGCAAGGAGGATACCAAAGTTGCGCCAGACGTGGGAGTAGGAGTAGCGGTAGTTGGTCTCAATGAAGGCATCACCGCTGACTGTTCGTGATCCCGCTACGGATCCGACGGCTGAGCAGATGAATGTATCGCCGCTGAGTCCAGAGTAGGAGGGGATGAACTGAGAGCAGTCAAACTCGCGACCGTGGAATTCATTGGCAACCAGGATCTCGAAGGCGTAGTAGATGGGGTTAATCCATCTGTAACTGTTAGTAGCCACTCAGTAGTAAGTAAGAAGTCACTCACCTAATCCAACCAAACCAATCAACCATCTGCGGAACACGAATCATGAAACCAGTATAGATAACCAGTGCCAAGACCATAACACCAGCCAACATCATAGCCTGAGAAACCGTCTTCGTAACTGCCGCCATCGTCCTAAAGATCGCAGACATGACAAAGGTTGAGATATACGTGATGAGGAAGAACAGAAAGAAGTTACCAGGCTCGCGACGAAGACCAGCCAAGAAATACAGAATGATGTTGAACACAGTCGCCGAGATGAACTTGATGGGTATGTCCGCCACGATACCAGAGATGGCTTCAGCAGCGGGGTGGTAGAAAGCGTAAGAAGCATGCTTCTCGACGATAGGGCGCTGGGAGTACAAGTTGTTGATCTCGGAGATGGCGGCGAGTGCGTTCATGAGAATACCCATGAAAAGAACTGCGCCTTTGGAGTAGAAGCTTGCGGATCCGTTGCCAGTGCCGTAGTAGACTGAACCGATGATTAAAGACATGATTACATCGATGGCGACGTGTGTCGCTGTCGCTGAGAGATCGTTCCAGATCCGCTGATAGGCGCGCTTGGTGGTCAGGCGGATCTGGGTTGCGATGCTGATGATGTACGGAGACTTGTTTCGAGCACGCTTATCTTGACTATACACATTATTAGCATTTCGTTGATCCTTTGAGGTGGTGGGGGAACTTACATAAGAGCCTTGCGCTCTCTCAAAGGCGCAATGGCCTCGTGGCGGTTATCTGAAGGAAAATCCTGCTGATACACCTCAATCTCCTCCCTCAGCCTCTTACACTCCGGCGAGTTATGCCAATAGCGCTCAAACTCCTCCGCCGTACGGGGGACCTTGTTCTCCATACCCGGTCTGGCCTTTCGCTCCTGCGGGTTCGTCACGGAGGTGAGGAAATCACCCGCTGTCTGACGAGCAGGACACTCCCAGCCCATTTTCTCAAAGTAGGCTTTGGCGTTGCGGGCGGGGCCGAAGTAGATCTGGCGGCCTTCGTAGAGAACTACTGCCTTGTCGAAGAGGTCGTAGATGGCTTGGCTGGCTTGATAGATTGCTAGGGCGTTGGCGGAGCCGGTGTAGTCGGAGGCTAGACGGATTGCTTGGGCGAATTTGAGAGCTGTCGCTGAGTCTAGACCTCGTGTACTATATCAATGTCAGACTCACAACTCATCACAAAACACAAAACACTTGTACTAACCTGTTATCCCACGCAGCCATTGGCGACTGAGCAAGCATCATCTCAGCAATACTAACACGCTTTCGCTCACCACCCGAAACACCGCGAATAAAGTCATTGCCGACCTTGGTGTTGTACGTATGGCTCAAACCGCAGACTGCCATGACGATCTGGGTGGCATCCTTGACGACTTCTTCGCGTGTTTCAGCAAGGCCGAGCTTTTTGGGGTCGGTGGGGAGACGGCATGCAGCGGCGAACTCGAGGGTCTGGCCGACGGTGAGATGAGGGAAGTGCTTATCAACCTATTCACAATGGTTAGTAAACTTCACTGATTGAAGTAGATGGAGATGCTTACCTCTTGGTTGTAACCAGTCTCGCCCTTGAACTCCTTCATCATATCCTTCTGCGAGATACCATTATATGTAATCATCGCCTCCTCTCCAAGATGCAGTCCCTCAAGCTCACCCGTCATAGTCTTGAGCAGCGTGGAACATCCCGAGCCAGGCCGACCGAGAACAATAAGCGTCTCGCCGCCTCTAAGCAGACCATCAAACTGATGAAGAATCCTCTTGGGTTCTTTCTTGCCCGACTTCAAATGCTCGCCAATCCTCAATGGCGCCTGAACAATATCTGCCACAGTCTTCTGCAGCTGCAGCGCCGCTCCGGTACCATAAACACTCAAGTTCTTGAATGCGACACCAGCGCTCTTAGGACCGACGCCTGCTTCCTGCAGTTGGTGCATAAAAGCTGGTAGCCATTTCGACAGATCAAAGGCTTTGTTTGCAGGGTCTAGTGCGGGATCTTCTTCGTTGATGGTAGCGATTCTAGAGGGCACGGTAGCGAAGCTCTGTCTGCGGCGTTGAGAAATGCCAGTTGCGATTCTTTGCAGTTCTTGTTGGTCGTGCTCGTCCATGATCATGGTGCTGGTTCGTCTAAGGGGCGATGGGCGGGTGTATGTGCCCTCGCTTCCCGTTGAATGCTCCATTTCAATTGAGTCTGGTGGACTCTCAATTGAGTGTCGCTCCGTCATTTTGAAGCTGGTGTTCAAATCAATGAAAAGTTAAGACTCTCTCAATCGTGGGGTTGTTGTTTGTTGTGTTTTTGTGTAAATTTGACTGGAATGTGACTGTCGAAAAACAGAGTCAAGCACCTCTGACCCGTTGTCAGGCAATTGATCAGCTCAGCCAAATTAAGATTAAAAAAAGAGAAAGTAGTGAATTGTCTATGGAATGGATTGGATTTGACTTTCTGGGCGGAAATGAATCGGGCTTTAAGTTAGATAACAGCAACCTCACAGACTTCCCAACTCCCCCAAGTGCCGGGCCCGACAGCACCCCGACAATGCTGTCATGACATGGTCGGAGCTTCGGTAGGGCCAAAGTATGCGTCTGACATACTTCAGCCACGCTGACACTCTATTCCATCTAGTCCATTCAGTCGGGCTGCCTGCGTCCCCGCTAGTCCGACAGCAGCGGCCGTCGACTCTGCCACGCATTGAGGATGACGGGGATTTGCTGGTGTTCGAAAAACTAAGGGAGCAATTAGGTTTGTGCCGGTCTCTTAGTGCTGTGGGCTTGTCGATCTGCGGCCTGCGGAGTGTCGGGGGTTATGGCGAATCCCTGCTCCGTCCGCCCTATGCGGTCTCGTCCGCGGAGGCCGGCAGCTACGTTTTCCCGTAGGCAGCGCTGTGTCACCCTCTCTCTCACTCGTTCTCGTTCAGATTTTCCGATCTTGCATTGTTGACGTCACGGTAGATCGTAGATAACGGGGTCTGAGGGACCCGAAAAGTCCATCTGCGGTGTTTCCGTCGGGTTGATTTTTCTTATTCGCGAGTCTCGGCACATGCAATGAGGTCATAGCTCAGCATTTTCAATCGTGTTTGTGAATTGGCTTTTTCTGCGCCTCTGCGTTACGGACCTTGAAGGTTAATTTCTCGGGATTTGTGTCAATGCATTGTTGCATTGGCAAGCAATACTGCATTGGCGCAGCAACGATACTGTTCTTGTTTGCTAATGTAACGTGTTCTTTGTTTTCATTTAGGGAAAAACATTAGAGATTGACAGAAGCTGCAATTTTGATGTGAAAATAAACTGCTGTGCACAGGAAAACAGCTCTGGATACATTCACTTGGCAACTATGGAATATACACTTACTTTGTTTAGTATTTAGGATTAATTGTTTATTTTATTACAGCATTGAGACCACTTGGAACAAATCTTGGATTGATATCGGGCATAAAGACCTCTTATTTAGGGTAGCCTTGATGCATCGAGAGCAGATACAGAAAATTCCGCAAGCTAAAAATTGTTAGCGTATCCCAGGCCAGATCTCCATGTCTCGGATAAACCAGTCCTCATCCTTCTCGGTAGTTCATTTAATCCGTAACCTCCGATGTTCTAGCCCATCTAGCGGCCCATCTTCATTGCCGATCGTCATGGTCCAATCTCGCTGCGTCTAGCTTCAGTTTAACTATGTACAGTCTCGTCATCATTGTTGTTAGTCTGGTTCTCGGTCACTCGTCTACTCGTCTAGCCTGGCTGTCGTTAATTGAGTTTTGCAGATTTATGTTTTATTTCTTACGGGACAATCATTGATCCCGACTGCCGCAGAATGGAGGCATCGTTGGCTGAACATCGGGTAATATTTGCCAGCTATCTTATCTTATCTTATCGAAGATCGAGTTGGCGATCCAGGGGCAATTCGGTCAAATGCTAGATGTTCCAGACAATTCAGCATTTGACTTCTAATAAGAAAATGTTAACAGGCAAGTTGCTCCAAGAGTTAACGTCAACGTAATTCAGTTATGAAGAGTCTGGCAGGTCCAAATATGCTCTGCAACTTACCTAGTAGGATAAGTGGAGTGAAATTTCAACCATTTCCTCATTAAGACGTGTCTGTAATATATTAACCAGATCTTTTATTATACAGCTAGGGCCATACAGCAACGAGAATACAATAAGGCTCGCTTTTAAACATAACATAAGGTCTAATAGACAGGGCTTTTATCAACCTCCCATCAGCATTATAACCATATCCCAAAGCTGCTGCTTTTCTTATTTAGACTTAGTAAATAAGCCACCAAAGCGAGTCTTTTCTTTGGGGCGATGTCTTTGATCCTCATGACCGAGCGACCCGTCCTTTATAGACTCTATCAAGATATGAGACCGAGGAAATATCCCATACTCTCTCTTGGAATTTGAACCACTCCAGAACCATGCATGTGGATCCTCCCCTGTAGATAGAGTCAGTGTCAGAACCAGCCTTGGTGAAGTTATTAATGATGGAGAACCTACAAGCAAGATTATAGACAATGTCGCCTTTCTTGAGTGCCAGCCAGCCAGGCTGCCTTTGCTTCTCGAACTTCCACCTCGCTACTCCCGTCCGTGGCGTGTTCGGTAAGGAAGCGATCTTGACATGCCGCGGCATATCCAGGCTGATCAATTTACTTGGAAATGTTCCGAATATCCCGTCGTGCCAGCCTTGGCACCACTTCCCGTCCCACTTCTCCGGGAACTCAACGCCGATTATCCTCGCCCCTGAAACGAACTGTAGAACCTCTGAGGTTGCATCAGGTCTTGCTTGTGGCTTCTCATTACTTCGTCTGATATGGTCTTTCAAGGCCCGGGCGACGGGTAACGATGTGAGTCGGGTTGAGTCGTTGGTTCGGGACATACCATGCAGAGCAGTCATGGTAGAATTTGGGAAATATAAATCGCAGTCTTGGCGCCCTCGCGAGTTTATATCGCTGTGTTCGTAGACTACTTCCACACCCGGAACATGCGGCAAGGGATGGGTATGCCGAGAAATGTGACGAAAGAGGAGATCGATTGACTGGAAAACGGTAGCGTCGTCTTCTTGGGGAGTAGACTTGGTCTTGTCACAAAAGAGACAGCCAAAGTACACCGAGTTGACGTTTCGGACTGCAATATGAGATTTAAATAGGAAGCGAGGACGGTGAAGAATCCCTCTCGTTTGCTGGCTGGCCAATGCTAAAATTGTCTTTTAGCCTTGGTTCTCAGAGATTATGGGTGACTGAATGACTTACGATCTTGATCCATGTCCTGGCGCAAATGCGAGTAGGGAGTCTTGTACTCACAATGAAGACACTGCGCAGTTGGTTCTGTCAACGTCTCAGCTGGATTATCCAGCATTTGCCCAAATAACATTTCTTGAGAATACTCTCTGGGTCTTATAGCACCGTCTGAACCGCCACCGACCCTTTTGATGGCCTGTCCGGGACCTCCAGAAGCAAAAGCTCGAGCTCCTTTACATAGTCCGCCCAGTAGAGCTAAAGAGCTGTCTGCTCCGATCTCATAGGTCTGTAGAGAGTGCACGCTTTTTACAGAGACAGAATCCTTCCTCATCGAGCTAGAAGATGTTGATACTGCTTTGGAACCTGACGCGCCGCTTCCGTCTGATCGTATGGATGGCGCTAAGCCTTGGGTGATAATGGACAATTGTTGATGTTCAGGAAACGCTGCAGATGGTATGTAGGACCCAGAATTCCGGTATTCTGTAAGCTTTGCGCTAGTGTATTGGGAGGCTGTTACAGATACAGGGCTTGAGACAACAGCTGACTGTTGGTCAGTGACTGTAGACCAATCCGGCTGCGAAACTGGCTCAGTAGTTACGGATGGCGGAGGAGTATCCTGATGATTATAACCGAAGGAGCCTCTTGCGTTTTGCTCGATAGCGTTCTGGTAGCCTGTTGATTTGGGGGATAATGCAACTGAGCTTGGAGGAGTGATCGCTCCAATATCAATACCCTGCAAACTGTTTAGAACCGCATCTGAATCACTCTCTTGTCGTCGGTGAGCCTGGATATAGCGGTAGGTTTGGGTGTCTTGCTCTCGAGTCGCGTATTTGCTTGACAAAGGCAAGGAGACTGGTGAAGCGAGCCCGCTCGGCGTAATAGGTGACTGTGTCGTAGAATAATCAGCATTTCTCAAAGCACGTCCCCCAGAGTGAGATCTATCGCGCTGTTCCGAACCACCGATGAAGGACGGTCGTTGCTGATGAGTACCAAGACTAGACCCCGATCTCGCAGGCCGCGTGGACATTTGAGAGCTCGATCTGGCCACGTCGGAGGGATTGGTAAGTTGTGGAAGAGGTGGAAGAGGCGGAAATTTCGAGGGGGCCGGTGATGACTCCAGAGCAGACTTTGTTGTAAACCGTGTGATCTCTTCTACCAGAGTAATAGCCAATTCCTTCGTCGCAGCTTGGAGCTCGTCAAACTTGGCCTTGTCAAAGGTCTGCGGCTCAATGAAATCCTCAAAATCATAGAGCAAAATGTCAATCGATCGAACTTGACAAATAACATCTTCTACTCGCCTGTCAGTGTCCGCTGTGGCTTGGGTGCTGGTCCTTACCATGACGCAAAGTCAGATATCTTAGGAATTCAGTTAATTGAGGAGAAGACACCGCGAGTAAAGGTACTAGGCGTCGTAAAGCTCGCTCTCCTTCTCTCAATAGCGATTGGGACGACTGGTTAAGTGATGTCTGTTGGTAGTCTTGCCCACTGGCCTGCGAAAGCGCAAACTTGGCCCATTTTGTCACATCATTGAAGGGACGGAGTAACACGTGATCAGATGGAGTCGCCATTTCGGCAGCGATAAGAACATGGGAAAAGAAAGTAGCAGCGATAAAGCTGTTTCGCGGAGGATCGACAAGAGTCTGCAAAGGGCGGGATGAGACTCGCTGGGCATGTATTCAATAAAATTGCCAACTCGTCCCAGTCTTATCCTGTGTACCCTCCATATACGAAGTTAAGATTTAATGAACAAGCCCCCTCCGTTTCAAGGCTAGGATAAGGGGAGTTATTTCAATCTGTTGAAGAATAATTGCGACAGACAGGGATCTGAAGGAGGGTGTAATAATTTCCAGATAAGCCTTTTTTCGGTTCAACGACCCGGATTTGCACACTTCCTCGTAACCGAACCAACCAGAATGCCCGCCACTCCATCAAAATAAAGCCTAAAAATGAGCTTAGATGCATGGACAAAGCCATAGCTGGGAGTTTATAGCTAATCACTGAGCCATATCTCAACTCCCAGGCAGAGCTGAGACTCGTTGAAACCGCCACTAAACTCTACCTCCCGGTTGTTGTTATTAGCCAAATATGGTATCCTTCACTTTGCGTTATCATAGCCCGCGATTAGTTAACGCCAAGCCGACGTGACCTCCCTAAATAGTTCCCATAATCCGTGCGCTTGGCCATTCCAAGACTCTCACTAATGCATGTTGCCTCCGCGCCAACCTCCGACCCTCCCAACACTCTCTGTTGCTACGCGGGAAAGGGTTCTAGAGGTTTCAAATGTGCCAGAGGGACAGCCTTCCTGTTTGGATTGATCCGCCGAAGGTCATCCGCCCCTTGTCTCTTTGCCATCTGTCTTCAGTTGCCTCTAATTTATAAATCACTGCTGACGGAATCTTCTTAGGTCTTAGTCGGGCCTGTTCTCTTCACTTTTTCCTTTTCCTTCTCTGATCTTTTGTTTTTCTTCTCCCATTGCATCTCTTCGTTTCTGCTCAAGAGCTTTACCATCATGGGGTGGATTGGTCGAATCAACGATGGCGTGGCCAACAGTCGCGTAGGCCACTGGTTTCAATTGGAGGGATCTGGCCATGTGAGCCAACGCCACCAAAGAAGTAATTGCAAAGAAGAATCGCACTGACCCAAGGCTTTAGCCCCGCGAGCGACCTGGTTCCCGATTCACGACTGAGATCCGAGCAGGCATCATCTCCTTCTTCGCAATGGCATATATCTTGGCTGTCAATTCCAGCATCGTCGCTGACAGTGGAGGCACTTGTGTCTGTGACTCGACTCCCGATGACCCCATCTGCGCCGCCAATTCGGACTATCTCCTTTGCAAGAATGAGGTCAAGCGTGATCTGGTCACGGCCACCGCCGCTATCTCTGCCCTGGCCACCTTCTTCCTTGGTGCCCTCGCCAACATGTTAGTCTCGATAGGTAGCTCGATGATTGGCTGCTAACTTTGTGCACAGGCCCGTCGGTATCAGCTGCGGAATGGGCTTGAACGCTTATCTCGCATACGATGTACGTATTCCTGCTTCGACGCCATGTGTAATTTCTAACGTGGATTCTACCTAGGTCGTCGGCTTCCATGGCTCTGGACCCGTCCCTTATGAGGTGGCCATGACGGCCATCTTTGTCGAGGGCCTCATCTTCTTCGGTCTCACGATCCTCGGTCTTCGACAATGGCTTGCTCGAGCTATCCCGCGTTCAATCAAGCTGGCTACCGGCGCTGGTATCGGTCTCTTCTTGACACTTATCGGCCTTACCTACAGTGAAGGCATAGGCCTGATTACTGGCGCTGTTTCGACCCCTGTTGAGCTGGCTGGCTGTTCTCCTGCGGACAAATTGGAGGATGGCACCTGTCCTGGCTCGCACAAGATGCAGAACCCGACTCTTTGGCTGGCTATTTTCTGCGGTGGTATCCTGACGGTTGTTCTCACTATGTTCCGCGTCAAGGGTGCTATTCTCATAGGCATTATTCTCGTGTCTGTTTGTTCTTGGCCACGCGGTACCTCCATCACAGCCTTCCCCTATACCCCGGTCGGCGATGACTCTTTCAACTTCTTCAAAAAGGTTGTGGACTTTCATCCTATCACCAGAATTCTTGCCGTGCAAAAGTGGGATATCAGTGCATATAGTGGACAATTTGGGCGCGCCCTTATCACGTTCCTCTACGTTGATATTCTTGACTGCACAGGTACCCTTTACTCGATGGCCAGATTCTCCAATCTCATAGATGAGAAAACTCAGGATTTCGAAGGATCTGCTACAGCATATCTCGTTGATTCCCTCAGTATCACTATAGGGGCCGTCTTTGGTACATCACCTGTGACAGCCTTCATCGAGAGTGGAGCTGGTATTGGTGAAGGAGGGCGAACAGGAATCACAGCTATGATGACCGGCTTTTGCTTCTTTGTCTCGATATTCTTTGCACCTATCTTCGCCTCTATACCTCCTTGGGCAACAGGCTGTGTCTTGATCCTAATTGGCTCTATGATGATGCAAGCCGTCGTCAATATCAATTGGCGATATATGGGTGACGCTGTCCCAGCGTTCTTGACTATTGCTATCATGCCCTTTACATACTCAATTGCTGATGGCCTCATTGCTGGTATTTGCAGCTATATCGTTATTCAAGTTCTTGTATGGGCCGTAGAGACAGCTTCTATGGGCAAGCTGACTGCAACTAATAAGAAGGACAAAGACCCTTGGACATGGCGTATTCCTGGAGGCATTCTACCCGGGTGGCTTACACGTTTGTTCCAGGGCAAGAAGGACTTTTGGCGCCCCTATGCGGACGAGACCATCGATGGCAATGTAGGTGTCAATTCTCATGAGATGAGCCCTATTAGACACAATGCTGACTGGGTCAAGCCTGGCGAGCCTTTACCTCACGTGGTAACCGAGATTTACTCTGGGAATGATAAGCGATAAGCCGGGGTATATTCCGTAACTCGACCGGCAGGGCTGGAGCTGAGGTTCATCAAGTTGGGGCAGTATTTTCTCTATAGTCATGTAACGTGCTACATATACACGGAAATGACAGTGTTACCGTATTCGACCCCATTTTGTGGCTGCATCATTGAACTATCAAACGACTCCGTCACTCGTGGCAACGCCCCAACCCAGGCATCTGGTTTCAACAGAAACCGGTGGCAAGTAGTTGAAGACAGCCCTTAGAAAGGTCTTGTTCTCTTCCATGCCTCAGCAGAACCCGACGATTTCTTCAATTCATCTAATTCTAATTTACTACACTTCCTACAAACTCTGGCCTCCAAATCACAATCGCCCGGGAGTTGTTACACAGAACGCCTGGATTGAGCGGTGCTGATCAAGGCTTGTTGGTGCAGCGCAGGCTCATCCGTAATAGGCTAAGTGATTTTGATTTTCAACCCTCTGGCCTATAAGATGTGCCCACGAAGTGTCGGATGTTGATCAGAGGCGCAATGTTGGCTGCGTACTTATTGCAATTACGAGGCAAAATTGGCTGATCACAGCTGGCTGAGCTGGGGCTGTGTCCAATTTCACAATTCCCCCCTCATGAATGCGTACCTTTCGTAGCTATAGTAACTGCCGTTTCTCCATCAAGCAACAAAATTATTTGTAGTCGCAATTCGCTCTAACGCTCATCGTGCTCCCCGACAGTCTCTCTTTACAGCGCCACAGGGCATATCTGATATGGATAACTGGCATACAACACAATGCACAAAACCCGACGTCGCTGTCTTTCCCGGACTTAATGTTCCAGCATGTATAAACTGCGGAGAAATTTGCCCATCTCACCGAACGGACAACAAACACAACGATGAACTTCAAATTCCATCAGCAGGTAGGCGGTCTGCTATGCAATTGAAGTGGCCGCCATCGATGTCATATCAGAGCGACGCTTACTCCGAAGATCCTGATGGCTCGTTGCACAAGTCTCTGGCTTCGCTGGTTGACCAAGAATGGTGCGACAACGAAGAAGACAAACACAGTTCTTGCTCTTCCGTTATCAAGAGAGCTCAGACTCCATCTTCGCAAGTAAGCAAAACCTCATATGAGCCTCTTGATGGTACAAAGATACGTATTCTACGATTGCACAAAGGGCGGTTTGGAGATTGCTTGCATGGAGACTTTGAAACTGTGAGCCTTCGGGTTCGAGACGAAGAGTCAGAAGAGCCAGAAACGAGAAGATCAGATGGAAGGGAAAATGCTCCACCATATGAAGCCGTTTCATATACCTGGGCCAAAGGAAATGGCAGACGAGAAAAGAACCATGCTATATTTATCGGAAAGCGTTGGAAGTCACTTCCAATTACTGAAAACTGCTATGATGCCTTGCAAAACTGTCGATTCGATGACCGAGATAGACGTCTCTGGGTTGATGCAATCTGTATCAACCAGTCAAACATTTCTGAAAGGACTCATCAAGTCGGCATGATGAGACGTATCTACTCAACTGCCAGCCGCGTTCTGATATACCTAGGGATGGATGATACCGGGAGCGGCTCGGAAATCATGGATGATCCCCAGACTCTTAGTGGTAACTCATATTTCTCGCGTATATGGGTGGTACAAGAGATTGCGTCTGCGAAAGAGGCGCTTGTTTTGTATGGCCGTCAAGCCATGCACTGGGACTTTTTCCACGGAAACCTACAGCGCTTGTCTAGTAGGAGATGGATGCGGCATTTTGGATCCCCCCAGCAGATCGATGATAGTCTTGAGTTCTTGACCCTGCTAGAGGATACATGGAACTGCAACGCTTCTGATCCAAGGGATAAGATATTTGCTTTACTTGGGCTCTGGAAGAAACCAGTAGAGCCAGACTACACGCTATCACCTCAAGCTGTGTACACAGGGTTGGCATCCACCCTTGTGAGGGATGAGAGCTGGGAAGTGGTAGCACAATTACTTGATATGGCGACCCATGGCCGCTCGATGCCTGGCCTCCCATCATGGGTTCCTGATTGGAGCGAAAAGAGTCAACGGTCGTACCGACCTGATTGGAAAAGTCGCTTCCCCTCTCATTTATTCCCGCTTCGGTCAGAAGATGATGGAGGATTTCGGGTCCATGGCAAAACCGGCTCTTTGTGCATTCTGGCCGATGAGATCGACATAATGGCCCCATACCTTTCCCGTGGGTTCCATTCAGCCACCGATGGGATGGTTACTGTGGAGGCTGGATGTTTTGAGGTCTCAGTAGCCCCTGAGGTCCTGAAGATATGCGAACCCACTGACAGTATTTTCCGCCTTTCTCAGGATACATTCTGTCTTATCCTTCGGAAGAAAGCCGACCCCAATGTCTACAGCTTTATAGGACTTTGCAAATACTCGAGTTCATGGAACGATGAGCAGGAACTTGATGCCATCAGATATCTCCTGGACTGGGCTTGGCTCTTTTCACTAGGGCAGAAACAACCCTGGTCGGAGTTCACTACTTGGACGAATATCCAGGTCTGTTGGTTGGCTCTTCGAAAGCAGAAGAAACTAGAAACTCGGCTCTTTCTTAAGAGAGTTGTTCGAAAAGCCCAATCCCTGCAAAAGATACGTAATATGGCTAAAGAAGCGCAAGAGATTCTGAGCAGTTGCAGCGGAGAAAAACAACCATTAAAGGAATTTCTCAAGCGTCAACGGAAAAAAGTCTATAAGCTATGGCGGCAACAAGACGGAAAATTAGTTGTGAACCATCAAGCACACAAGGCCTTGATCAGAAAATTGCTTCCAGGCTATAGTAGCCTGGAACCGTTGCGAGACACTACTACCCAATATCCACCAGGACAATCGATGTGGCTTCCAGTATCTTCCTGTTGGATTGGAGGGATGTCCAACACAGGAGAAGCTAACGGTCAATATACTGAACGCCGATTGCTTGTGGATTGTGTTTCCAGGAAGATTCCATTACCCCCTCTTCATCTGATTACGGATCAGAAGAGCCATATCGCTCTTTCCCTTCAGATAGGGCTTGAGAAAGGTCTCCGGCAGCTACAGAGACTATCGCAGGAGCACTTGCTGCAGGATGTAATAGACCATGAGAGGGGTCTAAGATCCTATAATCTAGGGTCGAAGTGGCACGACTTCAAAGTAGAGAGGTGGGCCAATTTCCTGCATTGGCTATCCAGGCCTATGTCACCAAGCTATGATATGCTGAAACACGGATTAAGAAGGGACATACCTTTGATTTGGGAAAAAGGGTTCGAAACCAGAACACAGCTTGAAGAAGCGCATACTTGGCTAGACGATAACTTTAATCAACACCTATCTGCGCTATCCTCCTCACCCAGCAGCGAATCATCCCTCAATGAGATCTTCGCACTCATATACCGCGAACAGTTCGAACTCCTCTGGATGTTTCTTTTTGGACAAGACTCTTTCTTCATCCGACATGATGAAATTGGCGCTCAGCTTGCACGCTGTTTTTTCTGGAGGTTTGATCGCAGCATCAAAAAGGCTTGCTATGTTGCTCGGAAACAGAAGCTTCTGACTCACGACGAAACTAGGAAACTATGGACCATGTTCCTTGACTGGCTCACAGAGGGATTGTTTGAGGAGCAGGCTCGAGAAATACCATCGGAAGTATACGATGATCGGCCACGTTCGCAACTTGATGCAGAAGAAAGTATCTATGACGATGACGGGCGTCGGCCCTTGCGTAAAATGAAGTGTGAAGAGGTGCTTATTGTGCCGAAAACACAGGAAGCGGTTTTGCAATGGTCTAAGCGAGCATCAATTTTTTCACACACGCGGCCTCCAGCATTTTACAGAAAACCGACACTATCTGAGCTCGTCCACTCAGAAATTTGGCGACGAAGGCTTCCGGAAAGGACCTTTGCTTTTCTATTCGACGACACTGAGACCACTCCTCAACCAACGCAATCCGATGACAGAAATTTGGAAGAACTGCTTGCCCGTGATCAGCTATACAACTGCGGCGGGCCTTCAGTCAAAGGCTGGAGACAGGAGACTGAGTCGTGGAAGGCTGTGGAGCAGTATATATCGAAATCAGAGTGGCATATGAGCTGCATCAAAACGTACCTCTTGCGGGGATCGGAACATAAAAAAGAGGACGTATATAAGGAAATTGTGATTATTTAGATACCTGCTCAGGTTAATAGATTCCGAATCATTGGAGCTGAGAGACTATGAGGTTTTTGAAGTTGCTCACAGTCTGACTCGCTGTTTCTGAGTAGGTCGTGGAGACAGTCGCGAGAGGGAGGTGACATGCGCCGTTCTAACGTATGGATGAAACATGACTTGGACCTTAATTTCATCCCGAGTGCTAGGAAAGTCAAATAAGCATGATCTGCCTACCATTCGACCTTATTCATGCCCATGACATCACCATAACTCGTGCATCATTATAATTCCACAAATGACAACCTCCCGCCCAGCAGCGGGGTTATTACCTTAACCTAATTAGCACTCGGTACAAGACGCTCTGCTGCTGTCAACCGGGGCCTGGCCTGATCTCCATGGTTAAATGGCATGCCTATTTCCAATTGGCCCGTACCCCAGAGTGACTTCGACAACAGCCGGGCTTGTGGCTAATGAACCTGGTTTTGCGGGGCGCAATGCAACGCTGCGATGATCATACCCTATCTCGTGGACCAAAATGTCCCACTTACATGAACCACGATAGTGCCTAAACGTAAATTTCTCGAATGTTGATCGCTGAATTTACCCGGTGCATGTGTATAAGATGTGAATTCTTTAGCTCACAGCACTTTGAGATGTCAGCTTCAAGGGTTCCTTAGCTATGAAGGTCTCGCAGGTGTACCTATCGTTGCTGGGCCTGCTGCCGATGGTAGCAGGTCTCGGCCAGCAGTCAATTGTCGCCTTCAACAAGTCAGATGATGCATTTCAGCTCGTGGGTGGAGATGCTGGGTCTGGTCAGATTCGTGTCTCTAAGGATGAGTACTGGGGTGTGATTCGCGCAGCTGGCGATCTCGCTGTTGACTTTGGCCGTGTCACTGGCACGAACTTCACTCTGAGCAACGGCAAGAAGAAGGCATCACCGGCCAAGTATAAGTTTAAGCCTGTGGATGTTAAGAATAACACACATGTGAGTACTTTCTAATCCTCAGAAACGTCCGCTAAGAATGTAGTACCGCACCCTTGATGAGCAGCACTTCTCTGGACCGAACTACTCAGACCCCAACGCTGGCAACACCAAGATCATCGTTGGTACAATTGGCCACTCTGAGCTCATTGACAAGCTTATCAAAGATGGCTCCCTTGATGTCAGCAAGATCAAAGGCAAATGGGAGTCTTTCGTCAGCCAGCTTGTCAAAGATCCTATCAAGGGCACTGCTGAAGCCATGGTCATTGCTGGAAGTGACCCAAGAGGCACAATCTACGGTATTTACGACATCAGTGAGCAGATTGGTGTGAGTCCTTGGTACTGGTGGGCAGATGTTCCTATCCGCAAGCGAGATGAGATCTTTGTGCTCGCTAAGCCCAAGGTTCAGAAGTCTCCTTCCGTCAAGTATCGAGGTATCTTCCTCAACGATGAGCAGCCCGGTCTTTCCAGCTGGGTCGGGTAAGTCAATCACTCCACCTACAGAAATTTCCGCTGACAGACATAGTTCACGCTGGGACCCAACCTGGAACAACAAGGCTCCCTACAACCACGAGTTCTACGCCCTCGTCTCGGAACTGCTGCTCCGTCTTCGAGCCAATTATCTTTGGCCCACTGTCTGGGGCAGCATGGTGTATATCGATGACCCTCTCAACCAGCCACTTCTCGACGCTTATGAGATTGTCCTCGGTGGATCTCACACTGAGCCCATGATGCGAGCCCAGAACGAGTTCCGAACGTTCTACGAGGGTGAGTGGCAGTACAAGACCAACAACGAGACAATCGACGAGTACTTCCGCTATGGTGTTTCTCGAGCAAAACCGTATGCTAGAAACAGTCTTTGGACTATGGCTATGCGAGGAACTGGCGACACAGCTATCGAAGGCGACCTCGGCATTGACGGCATTGTTGAGATGCTCGAGACTCTTGTTGATAACCAGCGAGAGATCCTCAAGGAAGGCCTCAAGGTTAAGAACTTGACTGATGTTCCATCTCTGTGGTGTCTCTACAAGGAGGTTCAGTCTTACCAAGAGCGCGGTCTTGTCGTCCCCGAGGATATCACCCTACTCTGGGCAGACGACAACTGGGGCAACATCCGTCGTCTCCCTCTTGCCAACGAGACAGACCGCTCTGGTGGTGCTGGTGTTTACTATCACTTCGACTACGTTGGCGATCCCAGAAACTACAAGTGGATCAACACCATTCAGCTCGAAAAGACCACCGAGCAGATGACTCTCGCCTACCACCGAAACGCCCGTCGCATTTGGATCGTCAACGTAGGTGATCTCAAGCCAAAGGAGATTCCCATCAGCCACTTCATGGATCTTGCCTACGACGTCGAGAAGTGGGAGAAGGACACAACGAAATGGGTTGAAGCCTGGGTTGAGCGCGAGTTTGGCAGTGAACACGTCGAGGCCATCACGAGCATCATGACGCGCTATGGCATGTACGCTGCCCGCCGCAAGTTCGAGTTACTTGAGCCTCAAGTCTACTCCGTGATCAACTACCATGAAGCCGAGGCTATTCTTGAGCAGTGGGATACCTTGAAGGAGGATACCCAGGCTGTTTACGATAAGCTTGATTCAGAGTATCAGCCTGCTTTCTTCGAGATGCTGCTCCATCCTGTTCTTGGTGGTGAGATCGTGAATAAGATTCAGATCTACGGCGCTAGGAATCAGTTGTATGCGGGGCAGAAACGTAACTCTGCTAATGATGTTATCTGGAAGTCTGTGGATTTGATGTATAAGGATTCGAACCTGACTCAGCGATGGAACGAGGTTCTTGATGGCAAGTGGGCACACATGCTCGACCGTAAGTCCATTACTCTGTATGACTTGAGCTCCTCTAACCTATTTAGAAACCCACCTTGGCTACGATGGATACTGGCAACAGCCCATGAGAAACACCCTTCCCGATCTCCGATTCGTCCAAGACGTCTGGCCCTCACTCGGAGGTCAATACGGCGTTGGCGTCGAGGGCTCAAACGCAACTATCCAGGGTGACAGCCGCTGGCACTCCTTGTCCTCCAACAGCCTCGAACTTCCTCCCCTAGAACCTCATGGAGCTCAGTCCCGATACTTCGATGTCTTTCACCGTGGAAACAAGGGTTGCAACTGGCGCGCAGCACCATGGGAGGACTTTGTCCAGTTGTCGCAGTACAATGGTACAGTCGGTGGTGATAAAGGTACCGATAGCCGTGTTTACATCACGGTTGATTGGGATAATGCACCCCAGGCGCCTAACACGACACAAGTCATGATCAACATCACTAGTGACTGCCGTGGCTTTGAGAAGTATGCTGGTGAAGAGCCAAAGCTTGTTGTCACTGTTATCAACCGCGAGGTTCCTGATAGCTTCAAAGAGGGATTCGTTGAGTCTGATGGACATGTTTCTATCGAGGCATCTCACTATCAGAAGATTCACGAGGGTGACTCTGACGACTCCTCTCTCGAGTATCACACCATTAAGAACTACGGCCGTACTCTCGCGGGTATGGGCTTGTACCCACTTAACACGGAGAAGCTTAAGATTGGCGAGGGTCCAGCTCTGGAGTACGACATGTATCTCTTCAGCAACAACTCAGCCGTCAACGTAACTGTCTTCATGTCCCCAGGTGCCAACTACCTCGGCGACCGCAACCCTCTCCAGTACGGCATCACCCTCTTCCCAGCGGACAAGTCGCAACCTGACCCCAAGATCGTTACTCCTATTGGTCCTAATAAGGGAACTAACATGCCTGATGGCTGGGGTTACGCCGTTGGTAACGCTGTTTGGGGCTTGTACGGAAACTACACCACTACGGCTTTCAATGTTCCGAAGGAGGGTGCCTACAAGTTGAGGATCTGGGCTCTTCTGCCTAATATCTTGATTCAGAAGATTGTGGTTGATCTTGGTGGTGTTAGACAGTCTTATCTTGGCCCGCCTGAGAGTTTCTTGCTGGGACGAGATGAGATGGGTAAGTATAACGGTACCTCATTCGCGAGCACGCCTGGAATCGTTGGAGGAACTTTTGATAAAGAGTAATAAGCTGCAGAGGCCATATGCTTTAATTAGTACATGTAATCTAAAATTGATTTTGACCATACTATTGTCTGTGTGCGTTTATCTATGTAGTCGAACGAAGCCAAGGATGGTTGATCAGATCACTGGTTGAGGGTCGGTGAGCCGGATCATACTGGAATATCCACCGTAACAGCGATATGATCTCCTTCGCTTCCGCCTCATCAATATCGCCTGGTTTTTCCGCCATAAACTGATCCTCGAGAGAAAGAAATTCGCCAAGATATGCGAGAGGAGGGCCATCGCTTTCCTCGTCTGTCCCATCTTCCGACTCCATATCCTCATCGCCGCTGACATAGTCGTCCTCTTGAGGCTTAACTTCTAGCCTCTTACCGCCTGTATCGAAATACTGATCTGCTCGCCGCCACTTCTCGAGTAGTGGTTCGGGCAGCGGTCCAATAACCTCGCTGATCTGAATAAGATGCTCGTCGTTAGAAGTCTCATCATAGTCCTCTTCCTCAAGAGATTGAATTGCGACGAACAGAGATCGGCCGATGATCATCTCAAAAAACAGACAGCCAAAGGCCCATATGTCGATACCTTTGCCCAGACGTTCGTCAAGAATCGTCTCTGGGGCTCTTAGGGCAACCGGGGTGATGGCCTTAGCACCCATTATTGGGTCTTCTTCAGTGAATGCTGTCAAAGTCAGAGAAACGTCCTTTGTATTCGACCCTTAGAGGAAGAGAACTTACCACCGCCCAAGTCACTGAGCTTCACAAGAGGATGTAGGTCATATGAGAAATGGTCATTCAACGGCCGAGGTTCAAGAAGATATGACGGGGCCCATAGATCTTTCTTCCCATCTTTACGTTTGAGTGGCTCAGCATCGCTCTCAGACTGTTTCAGGTTCGCCTCTGTCTCTGGAGTAACCTTGAGCTGTTCTATACAAGTGAGAATGTTTCCAGGATGTAAATCGCCATGAATAACACCGTGTTCGTGAAGGAAGTGCAACGCCTGGATAATATCCCGTAGCGCATGCTTTGCGAAGGAATTTGTGAACCTTCTATCCCAAGGCTCACCAAACTGAAACTCTGGCCTGATCTTGAGAAGAATTGTCAAGTTTGGACCCATGGTCTCAAATACAAGACCATCATGTTCTCCATTGGGACCCTTGATCTTAATCGTGTCATGAAGGACTACGAGAAACGGGGACTCATCTTGGAGGTGAGATCGATAGAGAGAAGCCTCTTTGCTTGTGTCGCTATTCTGAGTTGTAAGAGTAATCTTCAAAGACACATATCGGTTCATCCTAATGAACAGTGTCAGTAACTTCCAGGACTCATGTGGTAACGACATACTGCATGTCGACAGCGAGCCAGACGGTAGAGAACTGGCCCCATCCCAATTTTCGAATGATGCGGTATCGCTCATGTATCACATCACCGAGATGAACTGGGTGATAGCCGCCTGGATGATATGCTTCACCCCATTCGCAAGGAGTGCCGGTCGTCGCGAATCGGAAGTCCTCGTCTTCCCATGGGGGCTTGCTAGGCGGAGTAGGAGGACGAGGAGACATCATTGCGGCGATACGCGCGTAAGAGTTCTCACAAAGGTTGAAGGATGTTGGTTGAGATGCATTGAAGTGGGGTTTCTACTAACCAGCCAATCGCTTGCGTATTCACTGACCAATCGCTTCCGTACACTGCATACCTTGTATTCGCAGGCTAATCGCAATGCAAGTATGTGTAATTAAGCCAACGGTTCCTCACCATACTCGTGACTGTAATGTGATGATAAGGAATATCGGACAAGGTCACATAGGTTCAGCGATTACAAAGGCCCTGTTACTAAATCAACATACTCAATATCAGATCTCCTCCACAATCTGAAGCTAGAGAGTTTGCAGTTATTCCAGTCTAATTCAATTCATTCATTTAGCTACTTAGTATACTAAGTCATCTACTCTCCCGCTTTCCTATTTTTACCCCTTCACATCAGCCAAAAACCTTGCCCCACAACATCCCGAGTAGACCCGTCGTCTTATAACTCTTATGCACGACCCCCTTCCCCTCAATCTTTGCCTTGACATTATCCCAAACCTGCTCCAAGTCCGGCCTATCACTAGCCCCTCCAATATTCATCGCACTTGGGACAATCGCCCACTTCTCCAATACTGCTCCCCCTTGTCCCGTCACGTCTCCTCCTTTGCCCCCTCGCAGGACCAAAATTCCTGGCTGCGCCATCCCATGCTCATAGCCCTTCCTCTCGCTCACCGCTATCTCCAAGTCATACCTTTCCTTGACCAATTCCACGAGAGTGTTTTTAGTATCAATAATAGCGTCACCGGAATAACCGGTGAGATTCCGCATTTCAGGGAGGAAAAAAGGCGGTTCGGCGGTCACGATGAGGGTTTTACCGCCGAGTGAGGATATGGAAGGGGACAGTCCTTGGAGGGTCTGTAGATAGGCTCTGCAGAAGGGACACCAGTGGCCGCGGTAAACTGTCAGGTTTTAGCTCAAGTGGGAAAATAAGATGGCATCATCGTAGGATGGTAGAGCAAAGGGAATATAGGGATGCATAGGATGAGTAGAAGTTTAACTTACAAACGGCGAAAAGAACTGAGGACTCTGAGAGTAAGGCATTGAATTCCTCAACGGGCGTGTGAGTGGCCATTGTCAAATACTTTGTTGTGTAGTTATGAGTAGAGGTAATGAGATGAGCAGTTGCTTAAGATTTATAGACCAGGTCACATTGTATTATGTACCTTCTGGTCAGATGGGCCTTTGCAATGTTGACAAATTCTGTTGGCACTCAGTCAAACTCGGATCACGCGGCCAAAAGGTAAGACTTGGTCAGCATTTGGTAAGCTCTGCTTGTCATTTATCAGTAAACATGACTGCATAGGCACTCGCATTGACCAACGAGGAACGTCTGGGTTTAGGTGGTAATTGAGAGTAGGTCACTCTACTCTCGACTTATCAGATGCGGCGTATCAAGGCGAGAAAACGGCTGTGCTCGGCGGTCGCAGTCATTTGTCAAAGATTCCAAATTACCGAATTTCCTAATATAATCAAGAGCAAACCTTCCGCTGTGGTGATTTGGAATATTTATATTTAGATACATACCTGTTCATAAACTTCTCCCTTCGTTGTTATATACTGAAGGCCTCGATCGCAATTGCTCAGTCAACAGATCTACCCAGCCTGGTAAAGGCCATAATCCATGATTAGTACAAGGTCACAGCTCAGACTCACGTTACACCGCCCGGCCTTTTCTTCCTCACTTTACTTTATGACCGTTTCGAGTATCTGTGAATATGGCGACTTCAACAAAGTACTGCGACTTCTTGGTAATTGGAGGTGGCAGTGGAGGTCTTGCCTCGGCTAAGAGAGCAAGTGGACGGTATGGTACAAAGGTTATTGTAGTAGAGGCAAAGCGATTAGGAGGAACTTGTGTTAACGTTGGGTAATTCTGCCCCTTTCTTAGAGTACACTCCAATGCTGACCGTCATAGATGTATTCCAAAGAAGATCACCTGGAACGCAGCAAATCTCGCACAGAGTATGCGTGACGCCAAGGCCTACGGCCTCTCGGTCGAACAGAGGGCGCCTTTCGATTGGGCGAGCTTCAAGGCAAAGCGGGATGCAAACATTAAGAACCTGAACAATATACACGAGCGGAACCTCGAAAAAGACGGCGTCGAATATATCCATGGCCGAGCACGCCTCGTAGGCAAGAACGAGTCTATGATAAAGCTTGATGATGGTACCGAGATTAATGTCAACGCTAAGAAGATCCTGCTTGCGACTGGTGGACATCCTACAGTTCCTCAAGGAATTCCCGGAGGCGAATATGGTATCAATAGCGATGGCTTCTTTGAGCTCGATCATCAACCTAAGAAGGTAGCAATTGTTGGAGCCGGTTATATCGCTGTGGAGTTTGCAGGAATGCTAAACGCCTTGGGAACAGAGACGCATCTTCTCATTAGGCATGAAAGGTTTCTAAGAAACTTTGATGAGATGATTCAAGATGAACTTGTCTCAGAATACGAGCGCGTCGGCATACACATCCACAAGAAAAGCAAGGTCGAGAAAGTCACAAAGGCAGGGAAGCTTACTCTACACTACTCTGACTCAACTGGCCAGGGCATGCTAGAGGACGTGGATACTCTGATTTGGGCCATCGGTCGAACGCCAGAAGTGCAAGGTCTTGGTTTGGACGTTGTGGACATCAAACAGAACGAGAAGGGTCAAATCATCACAGACGAGTACCAGAACACTACCGTGGAGAACATCTATTCCCTCGGCGACGTCGTCGGCAAAATCGAGCTTACTCCAGTCGCAATCGCCGTCGGCCGCAAGCTCAGCGACCGCCTCTTCGGCGGTGAAAAGTTCAACACAAGCAAGCTAGACTATGACCTCATTCCCTCCGTCGTCTTTGCACATCCTGAAGTCGGCACCATTGGCCTCACGGAAGAAGAGGCCGAGAAGAAATACGGGAGGGATAACATCAAGATCTACAAGTCTTCCTTCACGGCGACTTATTATGCCATAATGGAGGATAAGGGACCCTCGAAGTACAAGCTCATTTGCCAGGGGAACGACGATAAGATCGTGGGACTGCATATCTTGGGCTTGGGGAGCGGGGAGATATTGCAAGGTTTTGGGGTAGCGATTAAGATGGGGGCTACGAAGAAGGACTTTGATAGCTGCGTTGCGATTCATCCGACGAGTGCAGAGGAGCTGGTCACTCTCAATTAGATAACCATCATACGACATAAATATACAACGACGCTGGATCGATCAAAAGCTATGAGATAGAAATAAGTACATATAAATAATGGAATTTTCTTCTTCGACTGTTCAAGGCAATTAAAGGAAGCTATGTGCAATATTAGGTTCCATTAACCAGAACTCCCTTCAGGTTAAAAGCCCTTGTCAGAAGCTGTCATAACGCTTACACAGCTGAGGATTCATGACCCGATCTAGGCAAGATTTGTTTATTGGCATCATGCGTCAGTCTATGGCCTTATCTGATCCCTGAATACGGAGGCGATTGGTGGGCTTATACGAGAGTGATTGGCTGATTTATACGAGGGCCATTGGCAGGTGGATATGCAGCGATTGATTACCTACAGTACTGTCAGATAGCGTCTTGGTCCTTAGTTAGGGGAGAAAAGAAAACACAGAACCTCAAACCTAAGTAACAAAAAGACTTAGGTAATATAGCCTAAGCTTAGGATAACTTTAGATAAGTTTATTTTAGTACTATATAATAAGGCCTGCTATTTTCTTGCCACCCCCAGGCCTAGGTTGTCCGCGCTGTATTTGCCGCTAATCTTTTAATGCAAACACTTAATTTCGACTGCCGTCACAGTAATTATACTATAGAGACTGAAATAGAAGATGATTTTCTTTATTTACTTATAGGCAGCCAATAATGTGTGAAGGATCTACACTTTAAACTAGTTTTCATTCCCCTGTTGCTAGTTGAAGTGACGTCTAGCCTTTCGCTGGTGGCTGCCAAGAGCAGAGCCCATGCTGGCACAACCGTCGTCGCTGTACAAGATATCAACGACCCATTGTTTATGGTTCTCAGTGTCGACAACCACGGCGTCAGATGGATAGACCATATTGGGAAGCTCAATGTCGAAATTGTCCGTGATTTCGTAGTAGGACTGCCCATTGGTAACGGGGCCAACTTGACCTTGGAGGGCAAAGAGAAGCCCGCCGTCGAGGGGCTTCTGGACAAAGGCAATGTCTTTGGTGATGTCGACATGTGTACCTGAGGCATAGAGAAGCAGGGAGTTGGCGCCAGTGTCGTAACATGCTGTGATGGTGTTGGCAGGGATCAGCTGCGTGTTGCTGAGAGGAGTGGCTGCGGCTGCTATGGCTGAGAGGAATGGTAAGGCTGCAAGGGCCTGAACGAGTGAATGAATGGGGCTGTTGAACTTGGCCATTGTTGCGAGGTTGAAGATGTTGTGAGATTTGAATGTATTGTGGGCTTGAGATGTTGTGATGCTGTAGATAAAAAGTGAGATCGATACAGAGAAGTGCTGTCCTTTTTAAATCTGTAATTTGTACAGACTTGATCAATTAAGTTGTCGATCTTTAGGAAATACCCGAGTCTATCGTGAAAAGAAACATTCACTAAAATCTGTAGTGAAGGCTGATAGCGCAAGTCAATAAATCTAGTGCTTATCTGAATAGTTACAGAGATTGAAGTGCGGAAAGCTCCTTGCCAAGGCTGAAGATCGTGCGAGGCGCGTGATGCGAGGCATCAGCTGAGTGGCCTATCAACTCAACTGAACACTCTTGAAGGCCAAGACCAATGAAGCCGCTTCAATTTTCGCAATGGTATTAGCCGTCGGATTGGTAGTCCGGATCCCGAGTTAACAATTAACTTCAACTCAGCCTCCTCAAGCCCTGCCTGCGCCTGAGCGGCATGACCCGATGTAGAGCCAAAGGTACCTCGCTATTAGAGACAGAGTCGGATCTATGCACCATTTGAAAAGAACCACTCAGTATCTGCAGTGGAGAGCAAACGCTGTTTCATTCAAGCAAGACCTGGGTCTGCCATTGTGAGCGCATCGTACGCATCTCAAGTTGCCAACCTGAACAGCGTATATTGTCTGAACTGCATGTCTGGATCCCATTGTAGAGCCTTACCAAACACATCTGGGAGTCTGTAGAGCACTGCAATTTGCTTTATTTAGCACGGCCATTGCCGATAATACTTTCTTGTTGTGTTCTAGACCTCGACGTTGGGCAATCAGTGACGGCGTGTCCCGAACTACCAATATTTAGTGTGATAGAAGGGTTACACTGCCTCCACTATTGCAGCTAGGCTCTCAGCCACCTAAGCTCCACTACCTTTAGGTCATTATGAACAATGAAAAGTAGGCCTCAGGCTGCAAGAATGCTACGCAGCAGACCAATGCTTATCATTTTCCGCCCTCTCCGCCCATCACAACGAAATCATTCCAAGTGTCAACGCCCCTTACAAAGCTTGAGTAGAAGTAGGGGTAGCAAGGCCATGCTATTATTCGTCAGTATTTTTGATCTATCGGCGCTACCCTGATGGAAAGCGCCGTACGCAACAAAAAGAAACGGCGCGCGAGCAGACCAAAAGCTCGTACAGGATGTACAGCTTGCAAGTAAGGCGTGCTATTAATTCCAGACTAGGCGCACAGGTGACACTAATCCATATGCCACATTAGGAGTCGGCGTGTCAAATGCGATGAGACAAAGCCAAAGTGTGATCGGTAGGCAATCGGGGAGTCACTTGTTCCAAGTGACATGCTTCAAAGTCTGCTCAACTGGACAACTACTTACCTTTCCTCTACAGATGTGAAGAATACGGAGCATTCTGCGAGTACCTACTGCCCCGGCCACAAGATACTGCGGCCAAGGTTAAAGATCGCAGCAGGGACATCATTCCTATCCAGCCCCGACATCCGTTGCAGCTTATATCCAGCCCTTCAGATTCTCTATGCTGCGATGAGATAGAAGCCCGGTATTTTCGAATCTTTTATGAGAAGTTGGCCTTTGATTTGAGTGGCTATTTTGAAGCTCCCTTTTGGACACGGCTCATACCCTAACAATGTCATCACAACCCTGGCATATAACACGTAATTATAGCTCTCAGTGCTTTGTATAAATCTGCATTGTCGTCCAGCTCTTATACTGTGAATATGAACGATGAGCACTATGGCTTTGCTTTGGTATAGCAGAGACAAGCCATTATATTATTGCGTAATGATCTGTCTAGTGGATAACCTTAGATGAGGCTTGCGCTTGTAGCGAGCCTGCTGTTCTCATGTTTTGAGAGTTTTCACGGGGATTGGGAGACTGTAACGCAGTAGGTATATAATGGATTTAGTATCTTGAAGCGTCTTAGCGAGGATGAGAAACGGGAAGTGACTAATAGCCATATTGGTGTTGAGCTTGATGTGGGACTTATGTTGCGGTGCCTCGAGCTGTAAATATTGTTATTTCTTGCTATGACCCCAACTTCGGAGCATCCTAATGACCTGAGACCTGAGGAAACTGTTTTAGATCTGCCGGATCAGTTTACTACCTTCAACGAAGCCTTCGCAGCTGTAACCAAACTTGCTGTTTCCATTCTACGACATGCCAAGATATCCGCCCAGTTAAAAAATAACTTAGCTTATCGGGAATCTCTCGCACGGCAAAATCAGCACCTGCAGGGATTAATGGATAAATGGAGTAAGGTATACAAACCCATGTTTCTCGAAGCATGCCAGAACACTGTCGGCAGAGAGTATCTTAGGGTTCTCTAAGTCCGAATATGTGCCTGGAAGTGCGAAATACTAATTGCCACGAGCATGTCGGATACGGAGGCTGTCTTTAACGATTTCACAGCTCAATTCCAAAGGATTACCCATTTTGCGCGATACGTACTCCAGAAGGACCAAGAACTCAGAGACTCTGATGGCCCGAGATTGCAATATGGAATGGGATTGATAATGGCCCTGTTCTTCACAGCTACTCGATGCCGGAACTACTTCGTGCGCAGGGACGCTATCGCTATACTCCGGGAGTGGCCTTGCACCAATGGGATCTGGCACAGTTTGCAGGCGGCAAAGGTTGCCGAGTGGATAGTGAGCATCGAGGAGGAGCGCTGTAGTGGATTGGAGTTTGTTCCGGTAGAGTGTCGAGTTAAGCTGCCCAGTTTGAGAGTGGCGTTAAAGAAGGATGTGATTGCTGTGGAATGCATGAAGTTATCTACTGATGGTGCCTTGGAACTCCGAAAAGCAAACCTTACTTGGCCTTGATAGATTCGCACATCAGAGGAAGTGGCGAGTGTCAGGCGCGTGATGTGAGCCATCAGCTGTGGGGACTATCAACTCAAAATAACACTCTTATCAAAGTCAATCCGGGCATCTCCAATTAGACCAGCCTAGAGCCATATATCGTCTCCTCTGAGGGAAAATGATGGAGGATCTTGAGATGCTTGCCTGGAATGAATGGTACAGAAGTTCAGTCGAAATTTTAGGACGCATGGGACAACAGTATGGTTATGGCTAAATCCAAACTCCCCGTGAAGTTGCCGGCAGGCTTCCGTTCATTTGTACCAACCAAAGGGCATGAAGTGAACCTCTCAACTCCGATCAGAAATTCGCACATTTCTTTGGTAAGACAAAGAAGGAGAATGAAAAACTCTACTTGACAGTTTAAGTTTATCACGCCTGATGACTCTTAGGAACAGCCCCTCATCCGCCAAAGAGTTTAACGTGGGTTACTTTCCCAACTTTAATCCCACAAGCATAAAATCGCTATCCCCCCCCGGGCGCAATTTTCCATTCTTACACATATTCGCAGACCTTTTTTCTCACGACGACTCGAAGTTCTCTCTGCTGATCTAAGTTCTTAGACACAAGTCTTAACGATGACTCATACCATGCTGCCCCTCATCCTCACTACAACCAACTCCATCTCGCCCAAGATCTCCTGCGAAATGGAGCGACCGCGTGTTATTTCCGGTTTCAAACGGGTCGTATGGCCCGAACTTCGTCGATTACCTCTCAGAACCTCAGCAAAAAGGTTGCCCTTGAGCATCGAGCAAGTGCGTCAAGACATTGAACACGAAGCCAACTCAATCATCAAGAAGCATGGTCTGAAATTTGAAGATGAGGAAGACCACTGTGATCCTCAAATGGAAATGCGAGGAGTGCCCGAGAAACGTAGCACCGCTCTACCAACCATTCTCATATTTGCACCATGGCCAGCTGAAAAGCAACGTGATTGGGAGACAGCTGCACAGGAAATGGCCACGTTTCTTGCTGATCTGTCAAGGGTCTGCTCGTTCAGCGAAACAGAGATTCATGTGGAAATAATGGCCGTGGAACTAGTGAAGAGAACCAGCTACACCAATATCGACGACCCTGTGTTCCAAAGTGCTTGGGAATGCTTGAGCAGTACTATTTTCAACCGCTTACAGCCGCTCAGAGCGACTCAGGGCCACATCACCTGCCTCTCTCTCCAGAAGTACGGGGCGAACGACGATCTTCTTGAAAAGAGTCCACCTACTGTATATATTTCGGTTAGCCATGAGTCTGATGAAACCCAATGGTACGAAGTAGTCACAGAGGTCAAGAAAATCCTTGATGCGGTTGGATGGAGCGATGTCCAAGTCCATATAGAGCATAACGAGGGCATGATTGGTTCACTTGATACCTTAGCCAACCCCACAACAGAACAAAGAAATCGTGGCTACAGGCTGAAGAAACGCATGAAAGATGACTATTACTCAACTGTCCATATTGGAGACGATTTCGGCGCTGCGCGTGGTATCAAGCGGACCGATGGGGAGCGACTGAGTCCCACAAATGGCACTATCGGCTGTTTCGTGCAGCTCAAAACTTGTGACCCTGACCCGACTTGGCGGACCTTCATCCTTACATCTTATCAAGCAGTCCGACCTGCCTTTGATGGCTTCGCCGTGACGCCAGATGGTACAGATTCTAGCGTTGCACCCCCAACAGCGAACAGCGACCTCTGGACTGTCGACTCAGCTGGGTTTACCCCAAATTCGTCGGCCAAGCCTGCTGCCTTTGAAAGCCCCTCTCGATCAAAGCATAATTTTAACATTTCTCATCTTGACCAAGATGTCGCTGTTCTTACGAAGCATATACAGTATTTGGAGCAAAAGAATTCGCCTACAAAGGAAAAACAAATCCAAGAATTTAGGGAGGAAATAGCGGCTTCAAGAGATGAAAGGAAACAGAAGACCGATTTTTTCGAGGCTAATAAGCAGGCGCTCGGAAGATTGTACGCCGCATCGGGATTCAGGCGGAGGCTTGTAGGCAGAAGAATGGACTGGGCGCTCATCGAGGTCGATCGGCCATGGCATGATCGTCTTCCGGGACGCGAAGAATGGAAGTCTCCCTTTTCTGGGATCTTAGGGACGCCCTTTATGACCTATAGGAGGCAACTTGAAGAGAAAACTCGGTCCATCGAGGCATTGAGTGGACTTGCTTGGTCGGACAACACATTCGATGTTTATAAGATCGGAACAAGCAGTGGGCCGACGGCTGGATCCCTCCTTTGCACAAACAACCTTGTCACTATAAGAGACGACCAATACATGAATCCCCTGCCGACAGAGGAGACGGCTTTTGAACCGCGACGCTACAATTATGCGAGGGAGCGTGGATTCTGTGCCCCTGGGGATTCAGGGTCTGTTGTGTTTGATGAAAGAGCAGGTATTGTTGGTCTTGTGATTGGGGGACATCAGAATAATAACTCATATAACCACGGTCATGGCTATGTGACTCCTATTGAGTACGTTTTTAAAGATATCAAGGACCTTTTAAAAGGGCATGTTCAGGATATTCGGATAGCAGAGCTGTAAAGGATGTCTCCTTCATATCAGTCACTTATTATTAATAAAGATACATTTTTATGACTTCTATTGAAATGTAAATTGCTACCACATGTGTGTCCTAGGTCAATGACACCGCTTTGTCTATATTTAAATGAATGATATAGAATTTGAGTCGAACTCGTAGGACGAATGGGAAAGTTTTACTATCGTGTCTAGTCTATAAGTACAAAGTGATCAAACAGTCATTCCAGGAGTTCAATATAGCCTACAACTATTGACCGAGTGCAAGCACTATTGCATGAAGCTAAAAGTACTCTTTGTCGGTACCGCTCTGTGAGAGAATGCTGGCAAGGTTCCAGGTACTTAGGGAGCTATGTAGTGCCGTGTGAACGCAAACTCGAAGCAAACTCAATAGACTCGAGCATGAAACGAACGTGCGGTTATATCGATGTGACGTGCCGATACCTGAATTAATTACTTCTCAAATCAGGTATCTGAGAAACACTACCCAAGCAGTCGCAACCATAGCAACCAAGAGGCCAAACGTCACGGCGGTGAACCAGGGCTTCGACCTTCTGCGAGTCAAAGGATTTGCGTCGCAATCCTCGATCGTGACTTCTATTGCCTCACGCTGGACTCTCGTCATGGTCATGCCCTTTCCGAGAAGTTTGTAGTCGACGATGATGTACGACACACCCAACACAAAGGCCCATGCCTTGATGCCAATGGCAACGAGAAGAACCTTGTGGTAACCATTATCTTCTGTGCCATCTTGTAAAACTCCAAAGACAACATCCATCTAGTGGTATTAGTTTGGGTACACGATTGACCAGTCCTTGAACTTACGATAGTTGAGCCTGAATTATTAAATGCTCTCCATACACCAAAGGCAGTACCGATCTTGGATTGATCGGCTACTAAGAGAGGTATGCAGATCTGCAATGGCATAGAGTTGATCACGCCCGCTAAACTGGAGAAGACCAGAGCTGCGGTTGGATGCACGTTTGTGAAGCCCAAGAGAGAACAGGCAATGATCCATAGGATAGGGGCTGCGGCAACGTGGTGAAATCGGTGGCCATACTTATCTATAGCCAAGCCAAGGACTGGACTCAGAACAATTGGCAGGATTCTCTGTGCTGTTGAGAGATAACCAGCCACTTCCTCCGTGTATCCCTTCAGGAATATGATATCTGCCGAGCTGGTGCTGAATCCACCAGCTGCGCCGCTCTGTAGCAGTTGTGTAGCTGGCAGCATAAGATAAGCCCAGGGTAAGGTCAACAAGAGTTTCCAAGAGAAATTGCGCTTAGTCACGAGATGCTTCTCGGTGATTGCTACCTCACGGCCTGGGGTTAATCTGTACTTTGTCGGAACCGCAAGCCGCTCGAAGCAGACGTATGAAATGTTCATGGCCAAAGAAAGTCCACAGAAGAAAACTGGGACCCAAAACGTCCATCCGTACCAGCCTGTGCGATCTCGGATTGGGATGGCGACCATACCAGAGACAAGGCTGACAGTGCCAGAAACAGCACTCTCTAGTCCAAACGCCAAAGCAAGCCCAGAAGCGCCGAACCAGTGGTAAAAGAACTGTAAAACTGTTAGTAAGAAAGTTCTATGCTAGTTGTGTATGCAGTAGTGAAATACCTTTTGTGTTGCAGAATCTAAAACTGCAATGCCAAAGCTCATGAGCACATGTCCAGAAACAAGCAGTCTCCAAGACCCAATCTGAACACCAACGGCCGCGACAACGGATCCGATAAGTATTACACTTGTGCAGCAGAGCGTGACGATGTTGGGACCCCACCAGTCGAGGATCAGGCCTCCAACGATAGGGAAGATGGTGTTGACGAAAGCGTCTGCACTGCTGATGACGCCAAATTGCGTGTTGTTGACACCGAGTTCTTCTCGCAGAGTATTCTTAAGTGGCCCCAGGGCTGAGCCTGTCCAGGTATGGCCTAAGGGAAGGGTGATGACGAGGAAGAGGGCAGTCCATTTGTACTTGGCGGGAATTCGCAGATGGCTTAGATCTTCAGGTTCGACTTCTGAGATGTTCTGTCATCACTGGCCTTTGGCCATTTGCAGTATCGTGCTTCATCAGGTTCTGCTTGATGCTTGATGCGATTGAAATGAATTCTAAGAGGCATAAAGGTACGACAGTAATTTACATGTCGCTCTCTTAACGTTATATACTAGACTCGAGCAGCCAAGGCCTTGGTGCCTCCGAGCTCGGCTGAGGAGAAAACCACCATGTGGATAGATCAAATTGTCCAGGGCGTACACCCTAGATTGAGCTCAGGTAGCTAAGAAGACTCCATTCACAGCCACCATGTGGATAGCACTGAGTTATTTAAGCTTATCAGATGGACTTTAAGTGGAATAAGGTTATGCCTATCGAGCTTGGCAGACTCGCAAGCGGGCTTAGACCGATCTTGTCAGTCCAAAAGATTGTGCTAAAAGACAGTATTAACCAGATCTGGTAGGAGTCGAGAGAGTCTCGTCACTAAAGAACCCACCTCGCGGCTTTTATTTTCGGTTCGCCGAATGCCAAGAGAAGCGAACCGTGCGTGCCACAAGAGATTGATAAGTCGAGGTACGGGACTGAGCGGAGACATCATATCTTCAGTAAAATGAGACCATGCGATCGTCACTGAGTGGTTCATTGAATGTCTTATACGTGCTGCTAATCGGACCGACATTTTGGGTGCTTTCTTACGGGTGATCACCGGATTGTTAACGACCTCAACCTGCCCTCTTAGTACGGATGAACACTCATATTTGTTAGTAATTTTCCCTGATCGGTCTTCTGTAAATCAGTCAAGATCGTCACACGGGCAGCTTTCAAGAAGAGACTCGGGGGAGTGTTTATTACATATTACAGGACATCATGGATAAGGTAGTCTCGAGATACAGGCATTTCTAAAAATTCTATCGCTGGTCTTCCAGGAAATTTATCACAGCGGCACGAGCCCTGATTGACTCCAGGATCACCGGGTCCCAATTGAAGCCATGCCACATTCCTTCCGAGACTAGAAGCTCGACCTTCACACCAGCCTCCCTCAGTTTCCAATAGAACCGTATCCCATGGCTAAGTGCAAAATCCCTCGTCCCAACTGTGATGACTGTCGGCGGGAAAGACTCATCGTAGTCAGCGTAAACAGGCGAATAAAGAGGATCCGTCACATCAATTCCCTCAGGGGCATAGTTCTGCGATACCATGCCAGTGAGAAGACTAACCGGCATGATATCGCGCCCCAAAGAGTTGAATACCATTGAATCGCCAGCTCCACTTAGGTCGAGAGCAGGCGTGCAGAGGTACATCCCAGCTGTCGGCATCGGAAGCCCTTTTTGTTTCGCGACAAGAAGCATGGAGACGAGAATCTGCGCACCCGATGAACATCCCATGGCGTGAATATCGGAAGGATCAACAGGAGTGCCACCTGGAGGGCCATTTTGGAGAAGCTCGCGGTACACAGCAAGACATTGATCTCGAGCTTCAGGGTACTTGGCCTCAGGAGATTTCGTGTAGTCGACCGAGTAGACACGAACACCAAGCTCAACAGCCATAGTAAGCGCAGCTCTATCTCTAGGACTGCCCATGATGAACGCTCCGCCAAAGACGTTGAAGAGTATCTTCTTCTGTTTCTCAGGCTTGATGACTGATGGTTCAATAACGATCACTGAAACGCCCGCAATGAGAGTCCCAGTGATTTGTATCTTGTGCTTCTCGATCAAGAGGGATTCTCCTGGAGCTGTCTTTTCTGTAAAGCCCTGTCGCAGACCTGGGACGCGACATGGTGATGTTATAAAGGATGAGATGGTATTGGCTAGTGGAGGATGGCGGATCTTGGTGAGAAACTCGACTGCTTCAGGGCTTAGAGTCGCTTTCTGACCTTCTGTGAGGGACACCATTATGATAGGAAGGAATCTGAGATGCAAAGATAAAGTGAGAGTCTTGGAGGTGCTGGAATATGTCGTACTCTGTCTGGGTCCTGATGACTTTATATTTTTCACAGTGAATCGCCCAGGTCTCTTATTGCCGACTTGCTCATTTCTCGTCTACTAAGTCCGCAAGTGCAGATCATACTTCTCCGCCATTTCCGTACCTCTCTTCCCCATAGGCAATTGCACTGCCGTCAGCGGTGAGTTTATCGTCGTTGGTAAGCTGAAACCCGAGACTAAAATTCGTGGCTTGGAGCCATATTGGGCTTAGTTCGGATCATGCAGCCTGAACCGGATTAGCTTCTCTCGTAGCATGGAACCATTCTTGGATTAGCGGGCAATCTCTTGGATCCCTGTAGTCCTTCAGCTTGTGAACGGACAGCGGATCACAAATTCATTACTGCAATACAGGAGGTTACAAAAGGTTCACATCAAAGTCATTCCAAATGATGAATCTTAAGAGAAAATCAACTGTCAACTCATATCGATAGCACATCGCTTTACTCTCATCATGTCCTCCTCTCAACACGGCTATGTCAAAGACCTTCTCATTCAGCCCCAAGCAACAAGCATGGGTTATACCAGACTTGGTCGTTCTGGTTTGAAGATTTCCAAGATCATTCTTGGAGCCATGTCTTATGGAAGCAAAGATTGGCTCAAGTGGGTTCTCGAGGAAGATGAAGCCCTGCCTCTCCTCGAACACGCCTTCAAAGCCGGCATCAACACCTGGGATACGGTAAGTGAATGGCCTTCCCTTTCGTCAAAGGACATAGAGAATTGAACACTGATATCCTTTCTACAGGCTGATCTTTATTCGAACGGTGTCTCCGAAGAAATCATCGCCAAAGCGTTGGCAGTGTACAACATTCCCCGAGAGCGCGTCGTGATCATGACCAAATGCCGGTTCGCCACCAGTGCCCCCGGCGAGCCTCAACTGTCTGTCTTTGCTGCTTCCATCAATGATGGGGAGATGGTGAACAGAGCTGGACTGTCACGCAAGCATATCTTTGATGCAGTACAGGCTAGTGTCAAGAGGTTGGGCACTTACATTGACGTTCTGCAGATCCAGCGTATGGACCCAGATGTCCCGCGGGAGGAGATCATGAAAGCTTTGAACGACGTGGTAGAACTTGGATTGGCACGTTATATTGGAGCTAGCTCTGTAAGTCAAATCTCAGTTATCTCTCCGTTGATCCCATGGTGGCTAACATCTGCGACTGAAGATGCCTGCTTGGGAATTCCAAGCGCTGCAGAATGTGGCAGACAAGAATGGCTGGCATAAGTTCATTTCGATGCAGAACTACTATAACCTTCTCTACCGAGAGGAAGAGCGAGAGATGATGCCATACTGCAAAGACACAGGAGTTGGTTGTATTCCCGTGAGTCCAACCTTAAATGATACCATGTTGCGTTATTAATATTTATTACAGTGGTCTCCCAACGCACGGGGTGTCCTCGCTCGTCCCTGGAACGGCCTTGACGAAAAGACTTCGTTGAGGACACAGTATGACCAAACACTTGGTCGACTCTACGATCGAGAGAACGAAGCAGACAAGGCTACAGTTGACATTGTGGAGGAGGTGGCTAAGGCGAGAGGAGTTCCCATGGCGGTAATTGCGACTGCATGGTGCTTGCATAAGGGAGTCAATCCGATCATCGGCTTGAACAGCAAGGAGCGCATTGATGAAGCGGTGCTGGCTGCTGACATCACGCTGACGGATGATGAGGTTGCAAAGCTTGAGTCGGCTTACCGACCGAAGTCTGTTACTGGATATTAGATCGCTGTGAACTGCTGTTATTGTAGAGTGTATATAGATGGATCAAGAGTACAATGGCTGAATCATTGTGGCCTCCATTATTGCGTTGAACTTTTCCATCCATTTCTTGGTCCATTGATGATAGTGGCGAGGTAATGCCGAGTGAGCAATGGGTAAGGCAAATCTCATGGTTTGTGTGCCGCAGTATCCGGCGTGCAGGCAGTAATCCACAGACATACAGATTACGGTCGCGAGGCCTTGGTTCTCCGAGTCATCTCTATCGCAAGTATCCAAGAGAGCGATTGATTGATTGAGAACGATCATATATGCATAATATGCAACAATAATAGTGGCTGACATGACATCGTGATATTCGTAACGTGAATGGAACGGGTAGCCCTCTGATACTGGGGATACACCGCGAGGTTCTCTCAATTTGTTATCTTGAGATATATACTCATGATACCACTGCCTCATGTCTCGCCGAAGCTGTCGCGCCGTTGACAGGAGAGCGTTTCGTCTTTCATCAGAGATAGCCCTGTCACAAAGACTCATCCGACTCTGCAGCCCTGGGATAAGAGCAAAGTAGCCGAAGATCCGATGGTACATATCGGGTGATGCTGGCAACAGAGGAAACTCGATCAGGCCATCTGGGATATTCTGCCAGCCTTCTGACTCCAAAATGCAAGGCTTCCCAGAGGTCAAAGCTTCAGAAATCTGAGAAGATGTCAGTGTTTGTATAGTAGGTTGTAGAATGTAGACTGACAATTGCTCCGCGACATGCAAGAAACATTGAGTACTCGAACGCAGACTCGTAACACCGCTGAGAACCCCGAAGCTGCATAAGTCGAGCAGCACCGCCAGCATGCCTTATCCACGCATAACCAACATTGACAAAGGTCTTTAGATTCTAATGTCAGCTTCAGAAGACCAGATCAGGCATAGGGAAATACCTCAAAGTGCCCAAGGAGGACAGTCGCGCAGAGCACATTCGAACTAACTTGCTCTTTGGCATCATCAATAGCTGTAGCCAGACTTCTCACGGCGCATAGATACGAGATCTCTGCATTCCGCAATGCGATGGGATCCCCGTAGAGTTTTGCGAAATATGCCCATGCTACCGACATAGCAGCATGGTCCAGGACTGCACTGCCACCGAGTCGAGGTGGAAGATGCCATAACCAGCTGCCGAGAAATGAGATTTGCACTGTCGAGGAGCCAAGCGGAAACATGGCTGACACGAAGGAAGAGAGTATTTGGTCGCGCTCCGCCTTGCAGCTGCTTGGCTGGCTAAGCCTAACATCAGGGCTTGTTTCTTGGAGATGAAGCAAATCTCTACTATGACGGGCTGCAAACTTAGACGTTTCATCTGTTGATGGGGTCACAGAGGCCTGAGCTTTGCGTCTTGTGCGTCGGACTTTAGGCCCTTCATCAACAAACTTCATCTGCCGTACATAGCCTGGACAAGTCCGCCCGCCTCTTCGGCACTGGGAACAGCTCGGTCTTTTTTCATCACACTGTCCCTGAGCTTAGATTTGATACTGCGAAAGGAAAACTGTGAGACTTCTTCATACCTTGACACTTCGCTGGAGACATAAGCGACATCCTTTGCTTGTCGGTACACCGACCATCGCGAATTGCAAGCAATCTTATCGAGGAGCGCATTAGAGCATTAGAGTATTTTATCGCGTGATTTATTGAGCCCCGGGTCTCTTCACTGTGTGCGGAGCGAGGGTTGAGTGATATGTTTGAAGGTCATGTCAGCTTTCTAAGCAAGTATGGGTTTGGCTGACATCTGACTCGGCGCACTTGCTCGCTTATCTTATCGCTACCCGAGCGGTGATGGTGGACTGTGGCTGGTCACCCTGTACCGCATTTAATATTAATTACGGCGTCATGCTTCGCTTCAGCCCTAACGACCTTACATCCTTTACAATCAAGTCGATCATTAACTGCTTAATTCTGTAAATTTAATGAAAATGCAAATGAGACGAAACAGCCCAGTGTCTGAGTCCGAGAGAGCTTAGAAAGCTACGTGAAAGCCTCCGTTTGTTGACGCGGTCGAAAATCTTAGTCGGGTTTACGCTGAAAGACGTCAAAGATTGCCTCTTGTCGCCAATCTCAGCTTCTTCGCCTTTTGCTCGATAGCAAACTTTTGCACAGCTTCCTTCGTCTCGCTACCAGCAGCCAGCCTTGTAAACAATTCCAACTCCAAGTCGTTCGCTCGGTGCAACTCCTCCTTGAAGTATGATGTCACCAAGCTCTTGTTCGCCTTCAAGGAAATCGGCGGAAGCTCAGCCACTCTGTGTGCGATGCCGAGGACCGTGTCGAGGAAACCAGCAGCTGGGAGGATCTTGCTGATCAAGCCGGTGGATTCAAGCTCCTGGGCGGTCATTCTTTCTCCTGTAAGAATAAGATGAGATGCTTTTTGACGTCCAAGGGCGTGGGCAAAAGTAAAGCTAGAGCAGGCTTCAGCGGCAAGACCCCATTTCACAAACGGCGTGAAGAAGTATGCGTCAGGAACGGAATATACCAGATCAAATAACCCGAGACTACTAGTACCGTAGCCCACGCCAGGACCGTTAACGGCGGCGATAAGAATTTTATCGCAATCAATCATAAGCTTGTTCATGGTGCTGCAAGGGCATATTAGCTCGTAGTTGCGCGATGAAAGGAGCTCTCGCGTACTGAAGTAGAGCCGGGCCCTCTGGGTTGGCAGAGGATTGTTGCTGATCTGATAAATCCATCCCTTGATGTAATGTTAGATCTTATGATTATCAAACTCACGATATAAAACTATAGAACGTACCGGCGCTGAAGAAGCCCCCCTTGCCTGTTTGAATAAGTACCTTGACGTTATCATCTGCTAAGAGACGCGTGTAAGCATCCAAGAGCTCCTAAATCGCGATGCAGTGTGTCAGTCTTATTCCTGTGGATGTTGTTAATTCAGATACACATATCATTGCATTACCTTCATTGTGTCGGTATTGATGGCATTTGCAACTTCTTGACGGTCATATGAGATGATAGCGACACCATCTTCCCGTATTTCCGTGGCTATGTGCTGGGATCGTTTAGATAAAGTCATGATCAGATAGTACGATAAGTCGAGTGCTGTTCAGATTTAATAGAGTTAGTAGAGTTATTTAATATCTATCTATTGTACTATCAAAAAGTGAAGTCTCTTTCATTGCTTCAGTCTTACTATATAGAGTATAAGTAGCCGAGGTGAAAAGTTGGGGCCGAAATGACAGAACCCCGCGTTCTGCTTCACTGATCTCCAGAGATCACCTGGGATGGTCGCCCTGTAAGGTTCTAGGTTAGTGGGAAATTACCTGAAGCCGGGATAAAAGCTCGGTACAATAATAATACTGTTTCCGGTTAGTTCTCCTTGATACCTTCTGCATGGCAGGACATGCATAGGACATGCATAGAATAAGTAACAGTATAGGAATATAGTACCTCTATTACTCCTAGGACTGAAGCTCGGTTAAATAGCAATACTGCTTCTGGTTAGTAAATTTACCGGAGTTGCAGGGTGATAAATACCTAGCAGAATGCCATATTCTTAAGATGTCATCAAGGCATCTCAAGACCATCAACTATCATAATACTATTCTACACTGCTTACCAATTCTATACATCTCTTGAAGCACTATGTCGATCTATAAATCCAATATTCAAGTTGAAATCCCACGGAATCTCAGCCTCACGGAGCTTTTGCACTCCAGTGCAAGATCGCCACCAGTGCCTGACAGCCACATTGTCTTCGAAGATGATTTGCAAGGGAGACAGCTTACCCTTGGAGAACTTCGGAAGAGTGCAGGAGCAATCGCATTCGCATTGCAGGAATATTACCAGCCAAAAGATCAAACCCGATGGACCGTGATTCTTCCGAATTGCGTGGCATTGATCGAAGCGGCTCACGCCATCCTATGGCTTGGTGGAGTTTTTTGCCCCGTCAACCATCAGCTACCCGTCCAAGACTTTGCTCATGCACTCTCACTGACACAGTCCGAGTATATCATCGCCTACGGACCCCTCGTCGCCAAAGTCAAAGAGGCTATTGGTTTAGCAAAGCGGAAGCATCCTGGGTTTCAAACGCCGCATATACTGGTAGCATTGGCTCCAAAATATTCTTCTTCTTACAGAGATCTCTACGAGAACATACGCTATGACAAGATCCTACCCGTGCCGCACTACAACAACACAGAAAACCGGCTCGCCAGTATTCACTTGTCGTCAGGCACGACAGGTCTCCCAAAAGGAGTCAAAATATCACATCTTAATTATATCGCGAATGTGCATCAACTATTTGCACATGACCCTGAGCGTTGGACTATGGAAGAATCTGTTGTTGCCATCACACCATTCGTTCACCTAGCCAACGGGACAGTCCCCTTCTTTCTCGGGCCCTGGACAGGCATAAAGCACATAATCATGAGCTCACCTGAAAAGTTCTGGGAGACGACGCAGAGAGCACGACCTACCACGATCCAGCTTGTGCCCCCTATCGCTCGAGACCTTTTCCTTCATGAACGCGACAAGACCTACGATCTCTCTAGCGTGAAGAGAGTCAGTCCAAGTATCGGGAATGCCACGGCAGAAGAAGTTGAGAAGTACTTTGGGCCAGGGAAATGGGCCCTTCTGAACATGTATGGCATGACTGAGGCGGCTTGCTGGATTACGGCGACCAGGACGACAGATCCTGTGGCACCAGACGAGATTGGAACTCTTCTCCCTGGGATTGAGGCAAGGCTTATCACCGAAGACCGCGAGGATACGCCTACTGGAGGGCCAGGGGAGCTCTGGCTTCGGGGACTCAACATCACCAAAGGCTACCTGGACAACGAAAGTGCCAACCAGCAAGCGTTCCCTGAGGGTGATTGGTTCAATACTGGTGACGTTGTTTCCATCTCTTCTCAGGGTACTTTCAAGCTTGTAGGGCGAACAAAGGAGCTCATCAAGTACAACGGGTTCCAAGTGAGTCCCTCGGAGCTGGAGCAGTACATCTCAGCCCACCCTGCAGCTGCCTACTGCGCCGTGTCATATACATTGGATCCCCACAACAACGAATTGCCAACCGCATATATTGTCCTGAAGGATGGTGAGTCGGATGAGGCAACGAAGCTTGCACAGCTCCGTGAGATCCATGAACTCGTAGACAGCCAGGTGGCAGGATACAAGAAGCTTCGAGGAGGGGTATGGGAAGTATCAAAGATTGCGAGGAATGCAACTGCAAAGATCATCCGACGAGAACTGCATTCGCACAATACAGGATTGGTGTCAAGATTGGAATATGGAAGGGCGGCTGGGTCTAAGCTTTGAAGATTTTATTTGGGATATGAAGTCTTATCAGTTCACAACCGCCGTATAATGCAATTCCTATGACTTGCTCTTCTCTGGTAGCGCTTAGTGGATTTACACCATCAGGACCTCCGTAATGATGAATGTTAACACAAGCTCATTGCATTGCATTCCCCCGGATCTGCCTAACGTCACCGTGTAAACGCCAATATGAATATTTGTGAATTTCATCACAAACTGTGAGCCGGATGTGTTATGCGCAGTCAAGACTTATAGCTGGGAGCTTAAATGAGCACAAAGAACTTGGTGAATATCATCACCCAACGGGACCTGCGTCGATGTTGGCCGGTCATCCTGTAGATTGACGAGCTTTTCTCAACGAATCTACTGTGGACCAGCACGCGAGGGGGTCGATAATTGAGCTCTTGATGGAGACAGTCAGTTCTTTAATATAAAGGAATGGCAAGACGCTCAATGCTATTCAAATCCAACCTCATATCTCGCTGTTCAATCCATCCTACAAGTTCAATTCAAACATGTCCAGAAACTCAGGAGTATGAAAATGATCCATATCCAGGTCATATCCATCCAGATTTCCAATTTCGTCTAATATGTCAGATTTCATAACACAGAAATCGTCAATCTGCATCTTTGCTTCCTCATCTATAAGTGTTTTGTCGCAGGCACCAGAAGTGGTCTGGCTCTCTGGTAGAGCATCAACACCAGCCAACACAATGCTCGGACTCGACAACTGCACTGTGGCCAGTAATAGGCTGAGTGAAGAATCCTCCGCGTAAGACCCAACGGCCAAGGACAGATCAATGGTTCGTGAGAGGCGGAAGTAGAGAATAGGTTCCTGTGATAGGAAGCTACCCCAGCCATCCGCAGCATGGAAAGAATCGAATTCTTTGGGGCAAATCGCGCTGCTGCAGCTGGCATCTGGTGTAGTCACAGCCTGAGAAGTGGCAGAGTCAATGGCTGCGCGGATATACGCCCAGACAGTATCGACACCATCGTAAATGTTCTGTAGTCCTTTCATGGCTTCCATGTATATATTGAGTCTGCCCTGCTTCCGCGCTGTCTGTGATGGTTGCTTTGCAAGCTTGACATCCAGAACATGCAGCATTAGAGGTAGCGCTGCGTACGCAATACTGGATAAATGTCAGCCCCATTAGGTGCGGAACAAAGGTCTCGACTTACATGCTGATTGGAAGAAATCTTGCGACCTTGAGTTGAACTAGCTCCTTCAAGTTATCTGTGATTCCCAGTATAGCATCTTCTAGTTGAAGCCGCGTCTGATGTAACTTGTCGTCCATACCAGCGCCTGGCGAAGTAAGACTGACGACGAATGCCTCATATTGATATAGCGCGACACGGGCGGAGCTTGATAAAAGGATATGGTTAGAAATCAGTATTGAAATGGAGTGTGTAAACTTACTGATAGTATATGTACACCAGATTTGTGTACAGAACGAGCGATTTCTCAGTACTTATGATCCCCGCGGGGGTAGGGAACTGGATGGCCGCCTTATCAAACCAGGCATTTAGACTGATCTCGCAAAACTTGATAGACTCTTCGATCTGTTTGTGGTTTTGGATTATTGGTGATATGGCATCTACAGCGGAGAAGCCCATCCCATAAACGGTTTGAACGACACTGGCAAACGGTATAGCCAAGTCGCAAAGGCTGATAAACAGCTGGACTAAACTCCGCTTGGTGCTCTGTGAGTATACCTGAGATCCCTGAATCTCTTTCTCAAAGTCGTCCTCAGTCAAGTGCTCCAGAGTCGGATTTATTGAAGCGATGTGTAACTGTCTCCGAACACCGAGAGGCAAAATACGATCGCGGACTATGCAGCACCACCAGAGCCTCTTGAGCCTGTTAGTTGTAGTAGAGTCTTGGTCTGGCCTTTTGTGGAACTGATCCGCTCCAGCGCCCTGCGCGAGTTGAATAGCTGTCGAAAGGAATATGGAGTTGTTCCTGGCTCGGTCTCTTGCTCTGATGTAGTAGGATAGCAAGAGTGCTCCCTGCGCATTAGAGGCAACGTCATCGCTGGAGCAGATATCTAGCAGAAGCTATGGAGAAGTCAGGTTCAACGATCGATGACTTGGGTGTCAGTACGGTTTACCTTGGCGCGACGAAAGTATCTCTCTCCAGCATTATGTCTTGAGGTGAAACCAAGGTATTTCAAAGTTGAGAAGGGGACGAACTTCTATAAGTTAGCTAGCTTACGGGTGATAATATCTCGGGCAACTCACACTGGAGGCAGCGAACAGCATTGCCTGGAACAGAAATAGTGATATAGTAGGCTCCCCGCAGGGCTCCTTATCACCAGAGTAAACAGCCCAAAAGTCGGCCTCGTCCAGTAGGGGAAGACCAGGATGCACGTGTAGAAAGTACTCTCGAATGAAGTCATCCAGGGAGTCTGGCGTAGGAACGCTCAGACACATCTGAGACTCAAGATAATGAACATCACTGGGTTCAAGGCCAGACATGTCGAGGGTGAGGAATGGGTAATAGGTGTATGTGATATGTGATTTGGTGTTTGGTGCTGCACTTTGACGTGATATCGTGCCACCTGGGACTGCGCAAGGTTCATGTTCATGATGTTCTTGGCCTGGAATTATCGACTGCTGCCTCGCTTTCTCGGTACATCCCGTTGCGGCTGTTACTTCTTCAACGTTCTCAAAGCATGTTGATGGGCTCTCCGGGGTAGAATCCGACCGGGTCTCAAATACCAAAGAGGCTTCACCTTGTTCAAGGCCAAACGAAGACTTTGGACTCACGACCGCAGTATCGCTTCTTGTTTGTTGCTGTTGGAAGCTATTTCTAAACACCACAGGCTTTGGTCTCCCCGTTATGACTGATGGTCTTTTGCGGCTTTTCTGGTGAATAATCCCGCCGTGCTACTAGGGGGACAGAACTTACTATTTGGCCCTCCGGGCTATGACGGTGCACTCAGTATCGTCAAGCGCACAATTGGTACACCTTCCGGGATTTCGGACAACATCGCAGCGGACTTTTCTAACGCGACAGTTCATACAAGCTTTGGAGGCTCGTCTTCGCGAAGGCGCTGATTTAGGAGTTTCTGATTCCTGCATGGTTAGGTTGCAAATGGTAATGTGTTCCTGGCGATGATGTGACAATGAAAGTTCAACTGGGTAGGTAATGCATAGAAGAGGAACCTGGCTGGCCGGAGAGTTTAAACGTGGGGTAGCATTTCGCGGGGTCAAATCTGGGGAAGTTGAGAGAAAGCAAAGTATATTCCAGCAGTGACTCGGACTCCTAATTAAGTCAGACTATTCCGATAATGACACGACGTGCTTCTGTCACCGACACAATGACCAGTAAAAGCTGCCAGATATCACTAGTTTCAGAATAAACTTCACCACCGGAATCCTCGGACTGTCTCGTAAAAACAAACGGTTCAAATTGCTGATCAGTACAACCCTCGATCTTGGCGACCTGCAGTTAGTGTCACCAGACCGATCAACCATTCTCCACCGGCTCAAAATTTCTGCCGAGGGTGAAATTTCCACCGAAAATCTCCTAATCAGGACAAGTTCCCCCCCGCGAATTGATCATAGACGAGGACTAGGGTCCTTGCTAGCGAAGCCATCTTTGATCAAGCGTCGAAGAATCTTGCCAGACGGGGATTTTGGAATGGCGTCGGTGAAGACAATGCCACCTGTGATTCGTTTAATGGGCGAGAGACGCTTGTCCATGAATGAGAGGATGGACTCGGCTGTTGCATCTGGCTTCTTTCGCACGATATGAGCCTGAGGATGTTCATGTCCGTCTCTGTTGAGTGGTTATTAGTGGAGTATTGTTGTGATGGAGGGTGTTTGCATACCGTAGAACTCGAATGACTGCGCAGTCTTGGACACCGTCGTGTTCCAAAAGATGGCCTTCTAGTTCTGATGGTGCGACCTGGAATCCCTTGACCTTGATGAGTTCCTAGTATTCCCTGTCAGCGCATGTCATGTGCAAGTTCCCGCCGACACAAACCTTTTTGCGATCAACGATAGTAATCAGCCCAGTCTTATCAACCTTGACAATGTCCCCAGTCTTGAGCCATCCATCATCAGTGAAAGTCTCCTTGGTAGCAGCAGGGTTCTTGTAGTAACCCTTAAACACATTGGGTCCGGCAAGTATAGCCTCACCCTCCTCATCATAACCAACAGCCTTGCCATTCTCATCAATGATTTGAAGCTGCATATTGGCCACCAAGTATCCAACGCTTCCATGAGAGGGATCAAACTCATCAGGCCCAAAGATGGAAATCGACATAGTAGCCTCACTCATGCCCCATCCTTGACGGCTGCGAGCGCCGGTTTTGCTGAAGAGTGCCTCAAGTCGCTTTTCGACATCGGCTTGGAGTGGTGCTGCTCCACAGACAAGGAACTTGACACTAGAGAGATCGTACTGAGAAACAAGAGGACTCTTGACGAGCATGGATACTACTGGTGGCGCGAAGATTAGGTAAGTTACTTTGAACTTCTGGATCGTGCTGAGGAATGACTTCAGATCAAACTTGGGCATTACGACAGTTGTGCAGCATCGCTTTACGTTCAAGATGCAAAAGGTGATAAGGCCCACTAAGATCGCCCGTTAGCTTATATCACGAGTGTCAAGTGAGGGGGGTTACCTACTGGCATGGTAAAATGGGAGAAAGGCGCAGTGAACATCGTTGGCTGCAAAGGTTGGGTCATTCTTGCGCTTCCTCGCCACGCGGTCAAGATGTAGATTCTGCTCCGCGTTGGCGACCAAGTTGCGATGGGTGATCTCACACGCTTTCGGGAGACCGGTTGTGCCACTGCTGAAGTTGAGGACTGCTAGTCTAAGGGAGATGTCAGTGTCCGTTGACTTCGAGAGAGCTCTGCTGGCATCATACTTATTAGCAAGAACTTTGGGGTCTGAAATCCTCTCCCAAGAGTAAGTTCCGTGACCCAGAAGACTTTGGAAGGATGAAACCCCATGGACTGAGCTGCTGCCCTTGGAGTCGATGAGGACCAAGGAATTTGGTGGTAAGCCTGCAGCCTTTGCAGCTTTCTCGGCCATCTCGAGTCGGGGGCTATCGGTGACGATGCATTTGGCGCCCGAAACCGTGAGCTGATTGACCAGTTCTGTGTGGTTTAGCCAATATCGGATTATCTAAGAACAGTATCATCGAGGGCCTGCTCGCGACTTACCGGAGTATGTATATGTCGGATTAGCTCCAGTGAAGACTCCCCCAGAGGCAATTGATGCAAGAATTACTGCTGGGTAGAGAATCTGCGACAATCAGCCAAGGCAAAATATGCGACGAGAAAAGTCACTGACGGAATTTTCGCAAAACCCCAAGATGACATCGCCGTCTCGTACTTTGAACGTGTGCCGCAATCCAGCAGCTATGGATTCAACCATGTGCTTAAGCTGTGCTTTGTTAAGTTGCTTAGTCGAGTCATGAGCCTCTACATATACAGGCTTGTCTGAAGAAGCTTGTTGTGACTCCTCCGACCATAAATCTTCACAGGGTGAGCAATCAATATGCCTGAGGCTAGGGAGCAAAGTGCATACCGAATATGTAAGTGAGGAGGTCCACATCAGGAATGGGAATATCATATCGGGAGGTGAAAATCATGGCGAAGATCTGGAGGGTACTAATGCTGGATGGGATTTGTTGAAGTGCTGTAATGAATAGCTGGCCAGTAAGTAATAGGGACTATGAATTGATGTACTTAAATAGTAAAAGGCATATATGGGCTTCTTGTAAGTAGTTCCCTACCCAAACGAGTTTCTACTATTGCCATGGGTAAATTGCGGCGCCAAATTTAGCCTCGGCTGAATTTGGTGCATCACCAAGTCGCGAGCGTCGCGACCACGGCACAGGGAGCAACCGACCACCCTAAGATATACACATCTAGTCATAGAACGTACTAAACTTACCTAAAATTGTCCTAAAATTAGTTTAATTAATCTATTATTTGTCAAAATACGTTGGATTATTCCATCCATCAACCTATACATTTCCACCAGATCATCGTCTCCCAATATGGATCAACCTGATCTTCGTCAAATGCTTCATTATTAGCCCTCGCCAGAGCTCGCCGAATAGCTTGCCAAGAATAGCCATTGGTGTCAATCCCAACCTCTTGGGCATGCTCCACGACCTTGCTGACCCAAGCTTTACGGTGCATATCCTGTTCTTGTCTCAGACTCTCAGCCAAGTCAAGATTATCCTTGTTGCAATTCATCTCCTTCGTAGTAAGATCCCAGATAAACGAAATGGCATCATCTATCTTGACCCGTACGACCTCAGATTCTTCCCCATCCTGGTAATCTTCACGGTTGACGTTAAGCGCCAGACCAGCGTCGAAGAGAGGCAAGAAGCTAATCGGAGTGGAAAGGTGGGAATCGTCGCCTGTTTTGACTAGTAGAACAGTATGGCCTGAGACCTGGTTGGCGCGAAACTGGCTGCGAAGCGCCATCCAATCTCCATTCACGCGTTCTGGAACTCGAGGGGGGTTGGTGTAGCCAGCTAGACTCTGGTTGTCCACGACCATATAGATTGCACAGAAGAGCGGTCGCATTAGATAGCCATGATTCTTGAGAGTTTGAACTGATGGGTTGACTGACTGAGAAGCAAAAGTCGAGTGATCTCTGCCTTGTTCAAAATGGACAAGGTCATCAAGATGTACAGAGAGTGTACTTGTCAGGTCCCTGTGAAATGAGGATAGCGCATCTAAAGATGCAGTGTGCTTCCTGGAAATTCGAAGCGGCTTTGCAAGAAAGCCTCCACGTTGGAATGGCGGACGTCCTTTGTGCAAATGCAGCCATGCACGGTATAAGTAACGACCGATATAACCCAAGTCCATGTCCTCAACAGTATGCGCATCAATATACACTGCAATCTCCTTATTCAAGAATTGGAATGCTTCTTCTCGATCAATATCGACCTGTGCCGGTTGGCGATATCTGGCGCTCGGAAGATCCGAAGTCCCATACCATCCAACGACGTATTCATTTGCCGAGCGTAGATACAAAGCTGTTTCCTCGAAGAACATGTACTGGAGCTCCTTTTCGATCAAGCCTTACATTTCTTCTGATAACGAGTTCCATGGGAACGATGTCGTTGTGAGATATTTGGAGTCATAGCTAGAACATTCCTCACGATATTGGTCCGAGTCTATCATAGAAGACATGACAAGATATGGGGATTCCGTAAATAGAGAGTATGCATAGTACGAAATTGTAATGATGTCATGCTGTGGGCTTTCATTGGTATCATTTAAGCTTGAGCAGGGAGTCTCCATAATAGTCTTGAGCTCTTGATGAGGTGAGTCAGGTGGAAGGTCGGTATGTTTGTGTATAGATGGTAGGAGAATGGGAGGTATTAAATATGCCAGGCGTGTAGTGACTCGAGAGCTCTGAAGTTTTTATCTCCATTAAAGTTTACTCTGGGGTAGGGTTTTCGGCAGTGTCGCTTCTGGGTAAAACCTTATATCGGGGGAAAAGAATATCGTATTGCCATTCATTATCTGTGTTCGCAGCCTAAAGCTTAACCTTATAGGCCGCCGTCATCCATAGTTTTATCATACCTTGACACCAGCAACTCGGCTCCCAAATGGATCATTGCCAGTAAATATCATGAATTAAGTCGAAGAAGGGCTGATTTTCGAAGATTATACGCACAGATACATTGGTGTTCCGCAAAACTCTACTTCAACAGATCAACTTTATGCCTCCGCATCAGGGCTTCAACATTCTCGGAACCAAGGTATATCTGAAAGTTAAAAGTAACAAGATTCATTGGCTATCGCGCTTTTAACAGTGCAGTCTCATCTAAATATCTATTGGCTAACTATCTTCTCCTCCTCGTCGCTGGCAATTTCGCTTTATCTTCCTCCTTTATTGGCGGAAACATCTCAGTAAGGTTCGCCACATGCGACCCATTCATAGGCTGTCCAAGGTACTTGGCCTCAGCATCGAGCTTTTCGTAAAAAGCCCCCGTCACTTGTTCATTACGGTAATCAAGACGATGACCGCATCGGTAGGTTGTGACATCGTAGATGCTAGGGTTATCCTTGCAGCAGTAGCCCCAGCAGTCCGAGAACAACTCCATCGCCGGCACGTAGGGCGACTCGCGATGGCTTTGCTCGATAATGTGCAGCATTGTTGGGATGCCTACTTCGTGGAAGACATCGAATGACTTGAAGATTGGTGCTGCGATGATGTAGTCCTTGAAGAACTTGCGGGGGATGAAGTAGATGTCACTCCAGCCGACACAAAACTCATTGATGTCGATTTTGAAACCTAGATCCAAATGATCCAGCTGAGCGCTAGCAAGCTGAGCTTTGAGATGGTAGTGAGGACCGCCCCATCCACCCCAGTCATAGCCCTTGGTGTCGTTCATGCAAGAGAACTGGGGTCCTACGGGCTTCATCTCAGGCCATGTCATGGGGAAGTAGATCTTGTTGCGATCGATACCGCCCCAGGCCAGAGGATCGATCCAGGCGTCGAAGTGATAATAAAAGAGCCCATCAATTTCAGGCTCTTGGTCGAGGATCAACTGCATTGTGTCGGCGACTTGCTGATAGATGTGGAAGGTGAGGGTGCTCTGGTCATGGGTGATGTTGTGATACTCTGGCTTGCGTCCTTCATCCTTCATCATATCGGGCATTGAGATGTGAATGTCGCGGAAGAAGGGCTTGTACTTCATGAGAGTCGGTATGCGCTCTGGGTGAACGGAGTTCCATCTGATGAAGGCCATGGTGTTTTTGAAAGGCGATGTGACGATCTTGGGAGCGTCGGCGTCTGGTGCTGTTGCCACCGCGACCGTGCTTGCTTCAACAGGTGCAGTGGCTATAGACTTGGTGGGCATGGCCACTTGGTACATCGCCAGAGCCATCACTGCCATGACCGTGATGAGAGTGTTTATGAAGATGAACAATATCCTCTTGTTCTGAACAACGGCACCAAGTTTGGAAAAGAAGCCTGTCTTGGTATCCGTATCAGATTTTGTGGTGGTGGGCTTTGGAACGGGGTTCTCCATGTAGAGCCAGGTAGCGACAAAGATGATGAATGTTCCCGGGACGACGAGGAAGCTGAGGGATGTGTCTGAGATGAGAGGTGCGAGGTAGAGCAATATTCCGGTCGAGAATGCGGTCGCGAAACACTTGACAAGAGCGTCGGCATCTAGATGGAGAAACGTTGGTCAGCTTACCATTCTTGGAGGATGGAGGGAGGCCTGGACTTACACTTATACACGGCAGTAATTGCGAGGCCGATGAAAACATTGCTCATGATGACCAAGAAGGCGTGGATGCTTCCGTATCCCTCGAAAAAGCTCGGCTCGTTGGAGCTTACGCACTTGATGGTGATGTGACAACAGAAGTTGACAATTGTGCCAGAGGCGTACAAGATCATGTTGTTGGCGTGCAGGCTGGAGTCGTCTGCCTTCAGAAGGACTTGATTGTAGACGCCCGACGAAGCGCTGAGAAAGACCTGGAAAAGAAGAAGGGCGTATGTGTCGAGAGGGTAGAGGGCGCCCTTGCCGGGCTGATATTGGGTGACGATTAGACCACTGAGCTGTAAGGAGTCATTTGTTAGTTGTGGGTTCTCGAGGCGTTTGGAGATTGAGCCGTACCTGCATGGCGATTGCCATCCATTGTGTCTTGGACACCTGCTGATTGAGAGTCGCAATCATGACCAAGGCTGTGATGAGCGTGACGCCGCTTTTCGTCAATTGGATGGTGCCTGGATCTGCCATCTTGTAACTCAAGAAGAGCTGATGAAGCATCATTAGTTATGCTGCAAGTTAGAAACCGAGACAAAGTACTTACCGAATTATTGATAAGAATGTAAATCAGCGCCAGGTTATAGAACCCAAAGCGCACATCATTCCTAACCTCACCACGAACATACCCCCAAAACGTCCGCAGCCCAAAAGGCAACGGCGCCGCAGAATGCCCCGAATCTCTTGACCCCTCATCCTCCGAGTCTAGCGCAGCGTCGCCATCTTTATCCTGAATCTCCAGATCCCGATGCTCATCCGCGAGGCTCGCATACGCCGTATCCGACCCTCTCGTCGAAGGCCCAACGCCCGTCTGCGCTCTGGTCTTACACTCGCGGTAGAAGAATATCGATGACAAAATCAATTTGAGAAACTCGGAGATGGTGATTGACCCCGATGGTGAGAAAGCATATGAACCACCGCTCTGCGCAGTCTTCATGATAACGCCGATGCCGACTTGGATACCGACCAGCCCCAGCGCAGCGATGTACGCTGCTCGTTGGGGGCTGCTGTTGCGCAGCGATAGCTTGCGTAGAAACCGTGTTGCAGACATGATTTGTTTCCGCGTCGTCTGAGTTAGAATGAGCAAAAGAACGGGGGAAAAAAAGTCGAAGTGCGCGGTGAAAGTTTAGTATCACTTTAACAAGTAGCTTACACCTTTGCAAGCGTAACGATAACGATGTTCCTGCGTCGAGAACGCACGCCACAGATATCAGCTCGCCGCCGTTCACATACCTTGAAGATACGCCACATTCCTCACTCGTACAATTTGGCGAATGAGGGTTGAGCACTAACCAGGAACAGGGACCCTGAGGCATGCTGTATTCGGTAGTGGGCGCTCCAAACGGGATTCTAGAGGGTCTAAGTGTTTAGGGCTGAAAGGTGTCACCGAGAAATGGGGTTCCAGTTGCCGGGACCCGGGTGCTGAAAGCTTGTTTTTTTCTGTTCTCCCCCTGTTTGCGGCCAAGGGTCCAGAGGGAGAACAAGGGGATTGTGTGAGGGATCTGCATTCAGATAATTCGGGGGAGATCCAGATTGCGGTATGACATGTCTGGATCATTCCTTCATTCCCATGTGTCGAGACTGGTGCAAGCTTTGTTAGTTACCTTAGTGTATCTTTGTGGCGCGCCGCTTTAGTTATCAGGCCTAATACGGACATTGTGGAAAGCTTCCAGTGAGAGGGCGCTGGAGTGGAAGCGCTTGCTGCAGCACCGCAATCATTATCAATGCAAATAGCCCACAAAGATTGTTAGACAATACGAGCACTCTAAGATTACATTCTTGTTGCTTGGCGATGCGTTTCATATCAGTCGGTGCCACGCGGCTGTCTCATAAATTTCTACAGCAGCCGCGTCAATCACACACACTATACGAGTTCCCGCTCTAGACTAAATGCGGCGACAGGCATGCTAGTCCAATACATACTCCGACAACCCTTCGGACGAATACGTGAATGCCATGGTAGCTATCGAAGATCCAGACCGTTGATTTTACTTTCGATTCGCTAACCAAGATCCCGGAACGCCTTCCGCCGCGATACCTACTCGTGAATCTTTACCCCTACGATCAACTCAACATTCCTTACTTTCTGTAATGGAACTAACGCCAAACCTTGTGCATCCCGTCAAGAACGTTTCCTGGCGCGCGCCGAACCCGGTTTCGGTCGAGAGCTATGGCCACATGGGTTTGTAAATCGTTCTCGGCGGGAGTCTCGAGGGAGTGGCGTGCCTCTGGAACATCGCTAACTGCGGTTTGGTTATTGAGATTCCAGCTGGATGGATGAAGGGAAGGAGACTAACTACTCCCGCACAAAAGCAGCCTTAGTGAAGGGCGATTTAAAGTGATGGATCACCTCGAGATTCGTCTCAATCAATCCCCTCATTGTTAAACTCAGTGATAGTTTTACATCCTTCATCATGCCTCACATTCATGATACCAATGGCCACGCAGATGACTATGAGCCTGTCAATGTCATCATTCCCATTGGCGGTATCGGCTCCCGCTTTGCCAAAGAGGGATACCGTTTCCCAAAGCCCCTCATCAACATTGTTGGACAGCCGATGCTCCTATGGTTGATCGACAATCTCAGCCTTCGCCCTAAAGACACTCTATGGATTGCTGTCAATGAGCAGATTGACCATGAGTTCAGAATCGGTCAGCTTGTTAGCAAGAACTTTCCAAAGGTTAATATGAAGTTGCTGTTGTTGAGACACCAGACGAAGGGTGCTAGTGAGACTGTAAGTACATACCATTCGTAGCCTTGGCCCAGATGGCCATTGTCTAACATTGCCTGCTCTCCTCTAGCTATACATGGTCACTCAGAGCATGACCAAAGAACATCTACAACACCGAACAGTATCTCTTGATTGCGATACGATTTATTGGAATGACATCTTGTCATCTGTGCGCAAGCTACCCAGCGGCCATGGCGGCTGCTTCTACTTCATCGACCAAGGCGACAAGCCTATCTTCTCTTACATCCAGACAGAAAACGAATCGTAAGTTGCCAGTCCCATTCCCCTCTTACCTCCCGATGCTGACTGCTATACCCAGACCCGGTTCGGAGCGAATCGTCGACATCCAAGAGAAGAAAGCAATCAGCAATAAAGCCAACACGGGAGCTTACGTCTTCCCCTCCGCCGCCGACCTCAAGATCTGGGCCGCTGAGAACCTCGACGTCAAACATCCCGACGGTGCTGAAGTCGGCGAGTACTATACCTCACAGGTCATCTCTATGATGGTCCAAAGCGGTGTTCCCTTCATCGGCTTGCCTCTTCAGAAGAAGGACTTTGCTGTCGTCGGTACCCCAGAGCAACTGCAGGAGCTCCTCGCGGCCCTCAAGAAGGATAATCACAGCATGCCCGCCACGTTGAAGAAGCGCCGGTTCTGCTTCGACTTGGATATGACACTGGTCGGAGTTCCTGCTGTCTCGGGTGATTACTCCACCTGCCCTCCTATCTCCAAGAATATTCGTCTCGTGCAGCAGCTCTACAAGGCTGGCCACTATATCATCATCGTAAGTAAACCATCCCACCATCCAAGTTATATACTAAAGTCCTCCAGCAAACAGCGCGCAGAATGAAGACTCACTCCGGCAACCCCGGCAGAGTCCTCGCCGACGTCGGCCTCGTCACCTTCACACAACTCTCAGACTACGAGATTCCCTACCACGAGATCAACTTTGGCAAGCCCTACGCCGACGTGTACGTCGATGATCTAGCTGTCAACGCCAATCTTGACACCGCGCGTGAACTCGGCTGGATCCTCGACGAGCCTGAAGTCACACCCCGCCTCGGTCAGGTCCGTAGGAGTTCGGCCGAGGATGTCAAGAAGGCTGGTATGATTGCTGCGCGCGACTTCAACACTGTCCAGATCATTAGGGACAAGGTCATCAAGTCGAGTAAATCTGAGGCTATTCTTGGTGAGCTGTACTTTTACGCTCATATGCCGCCTACGCTGTCTCGAATCTTCCCTTCTGTGTATAGCGTGGATTACATCCCTGCTACTTCGACGTACAGCATCACCATGGAGAACCGCCGTGGGCGCACGTTTTCTCATCTCCTCGTCGGCCGCTCCATCACCAAAGGTCGACTGACCAAATTCCTCGAGACCCTGCATACTATTCACACTGCACCCAACACCACTTCACAGCCCGTCATGGACGTCCCCGAGGCACTAGATGCCAAGTTCGCACCAAAGAGACCTGGTGATCATCCCATCAATATCTACGCCAACTACGGCACCAAGCTGCGAAGCAGGTACTTCCAGCATCGCGATCGCTATGATGCGCTGGGTCCACTAGCTGCCTCGCTATTCGCGCGCCTGGATGAGTTTCTCGACACGTACGAGGCTGAGGAGAAGGGCGTGCACGCTAACGTCATCCACGGTGATCCAGTATTCAGCAACGCCATCATTTCAGATGACGAGCGAACCGTCAGCTTCATTGATGTGCGGTGCCAACTGGAGAACTACCTCACACCCGAGGGCGACATCAACTATGATCTTGGAAAGGTGTTGCAGTCGCTGTGCGGTTATGATTACATTCTCTTCATGAGCGCTAATAACTATGATCTCACGGGTGCTCTGGAGGATGATAAGCCTTTGTTGGATGAGGCGGATACTGAGTTGTTGAATGAGCTGCAGGAGCAGTTCTTTGACTTTCTCAAGAACAATTACTCTGTGAGGCTGCATCGCAAGACATTGTTCCGCGTCACAGCATCTCTGTTTTTTAGTCTTATTCCTCTACATCGAAAAGAGTTGGGAGCTGTATTTCTGCGCATGTGTAAGGAGACGTTAGATAAGGCTGGCGGTATTGGTTATTGAGTCTGTTTGTAGCATCGTTAATGTACATATTTCCTCTAAGACAAAATTGATGGTTCTTCTTGATGCATGATTCTACTGAGCCTTTTGTTTCTCTCGCGTTTTATTCCTCGTATACCGATGGCGAATCGGTAAGTTCTACCCGTAAACGGTCGGCTGAGAGCTTACTATTCCGGCAGATAGAACCTAGACTAAAAGTATGGATGATGGGACGTGGTGTTCTTTTCCATAGCCTGCAGACAATCCCAGTGTTCAACAATGCATGATCCCTTGGTCCGATAAACATCAAAGACATTTGTCAAAGACTCATTGGCGCCTCCAGCCTTGATATGGATCGTCGTGTACTCCGGCCCTACCATAACCCGGGCAATCTAAATATATCAGCTTCACCTGCATGTATATTCGCTCGAGAACAGACACACACCTCAAAGGTATTATCTGGAGAACCAAATAAAGGCGAAAGGATCTTAACAGCTGCATCTCTGCCGTCCGGAATGCTGGGGTTATGCTGTACGTAGTTGCTTGCTACATAGCGCTCAAATGCACGCTTGACGTCTTTCTCGGTGTAGAATGTATACGCAAAATCGTTCATAGCGGTTTGAATCATTGGCAGGCTGACATCAGGACTAGTGCTTGAGGGGCAGTCCCAGATTGTCACGTTGCTGGTGTTGATGCCAGCAATTTCCACAATGCGCTGAGTGCTTGTTGCTACTGCTTTGTTGGTGAGCACAAGCAATGCGCCCAATATCTGTAAGTTTGTAAACATATTTTGAGATTTCGTGCAAGACTGTATGTCGAGCCAAGCTATGGGAAACAGAAGTGAGGCAGCCGTTATATATCTATATGTCTCGCAAATTGCTAATATAACTAAAGTAAAAGTCCGGGGGAAGGTCTGGGGGGAATCCGGGGGTGGAGGTCCCGATCTGGTCCGAGCAAACCCGAGCCGAAGTATTAAGGTTGGGTAGATCCAAAACCATTATCATTGCCTTGAGCTAAATGACAAACACTAATAGAATTACAATACTAACTAATACTTTAATACTATTCTGCTACTACCTGTTAGCAGGTTGTATATACTAATAAAGGCCATCTTAAAGCTAAGGCTTAATACTATTAGCCTTCTAAAGTACTCATAGATAAGTAAATAAACTCTGGAGAATTAAGTCACAGCACATCTTCAAGGGGAGACGTATCAGCATCAGAACCATGAAAGGTTTCCGGTCAACCTTGTATTTATCTTCTATTTCTTATTGGACCTGTGCCTTCTTAAAGTAATACAGGGACTTAGCGCTGCACTGAAGTCAATTGTTAAATGGAAAGAAAACTTTACGGCAAACCCCCTACTCGCCGGTGCTAGACTTTCGCACCCACTCTGATACCCGGTGTTTGACTGGCTAAAAGTTATGAAGGTAATCACTAAAGTAATACCTGAGCATCTCCCTGTCGAGGCTGGGAATGAAACCTCCTCCGAACTTAAGGGCGTCACTGCCAAGCTTGGATATAAGTCCCAACATAAAGCGCAACTAAATAAAACATGTCAGCACATTTGCTTTCAAACTACGTGGCCTGATCAACGTACCTGGTAGGGATTGTTCATCTTGTTATGGTAGACCAGCCAGCGTTTAGTCTTCTCCCTGTTCTGGCCATACTGAAAAGAGTCATCCACGATCACCGTGATCTTATCTTCAAGTGCACTCTTGTCTTTGAGATAGTCGAGATAGGTCTTCTGTATAAATATGACGCTCTCCTCATTGTCTGTTGAATGATCAGCGTGGTGCGTGCACAAAGGGAGACAGGGTATTCGCACCCTGGTCTCTATTGAAGAAAGGTACTGCGTAGTACGGGACCGATTGTGCGCGAAAGGTTTGTTCCCACTCAACCTTGATCTCAGTCGTGGTGAGCTGGTCAGCGGGGATGAAGATTTTGTGTCCCTTTTCGACGACCATTTCGATAGATACGGAACGTAAAGGCAAAATATCTGATGTTACAAGATTATACAGATTGATAATCGTGAGGCGGATATGGAGGTCTATTTTACCACGTGGAACAGGCAGAGTTTATGTAGAATGTGTTTGCAGTGTCTCAGCTGCGAATCAGCAGATGCTGAAAGACACAATGTCCCCCCCTTGGCTGAGAGCGTTGGCTGGCTGATTATTGTGGCTTGGACAGGGCACCGCATGCGAAACAGCATCTCACGAGTGTGGATCGAACTTACTCGTGGCTGTCTGGCAATATTGAGAGTTTGTGCTCGAATTCCAATGTCTTAGCCATGTCCTAGTTCGGGTTGGTCAGACCACTTTACCGCAGATGGCTTGGCTGAGGTGCGACAATGATTGACCTGTCGAATCAGTGTTCGCGTTTTGATGCCGTATCAGTGTCGGTTGGTATTCAAGCGTTAGACAGCTGTGGCAACGGATGAGCATCAAGTATCAACAGGGTAGACATGAAACGCCATTCATTTTCACAATCATTCGAACCATCACCAGATTGCTTTTGTCCGCCTTCCAATACGATACATTACTATTCACTATTCACAGATAAGAGCAGTGACTCCTCAGAGATACTATTAATGGCAACCAATTGGCTAGCCGGTCATCGGAGTGTCTGCAGCCGCGCCATCCAGATCTAGAAATCACCATGAAATCTGAGTCATATTACCAGTATCACATACTTTCTAGACTAGCATTCCGGCGCAAATAAGTAGGCAACATTGGAAGCTGAAGACTATCGGAGCTAAACAACCTTGTTTCTCAGGCAGTCTAAGTTTGGAAAGCCCAGGCAACGGTATTTTATTAGGCTGCGGTGGTTTTGGTCTCGTTGAACCTCCAAGGCTTAATCTTCCTCTCGAAAAGCTCATCAACCTCAGCTGCAGATCGCCTGGTGTATGTTAGTACACAATTTCATGCAGAATGTCTCATATTCTGTTACTTACCCCGATGTATCCGGAAGTAGAAGCCAAGTGCCAAGGAGGAAGGGCAATCCAACACCAGCATAGAACCAGCCAGTCTTGAAGCCCCAGTTCCACTTGTTGGCGTTGACCATGTAAGGAGTGAGCACGTTCATAACAACTCCAGCAACACAAGTGCAGGCAGCGCCAAAGCCAGCAGTATAAGGACGAAGACGTAGAGAAGAAATCTCAGCTATGAAGCCCCAACCAGCAGCGCCGTTGGAGATCATTCCAACATCTAAACACTGTTAGTATCATGGCACGATCATCAGATAGGGAAAGAGACTTACTCCAGAGGCATACAAACAAGACAAAGATGTTTGAAGTCGCCGTTGTTCTGGGGATGAGACCAAGAATTCCGATGACTACACAAGATGTCCACGAAAGCGTCGTGGCGTAGCATGAGATGCGGCGTCGTCCAATCTTGTCAGCTACCAAGACAACGATCAACAACGTGGTAATATTGATGGAAGACGTGATGCATTTGATCGTAAAAGGATCAGCCAGGCCGGCCTGTTGGAAAAAGTAGGTTCCAAACGTCGCAAAAAGTGTGAGGCCGATGAATTGCTGCGTCAGGTTCGGCCACAGCGAGATGACAGTTCGAAGACCATCGATCCCGCGAAAGATGGCATACCAATGCTCCTTCTTCTGCACAGCTGCGACCTCCCTCTCGTGCTCAAAGGTCTGAACGATGATCTGATACTGATGCTCTTCATCATAGTCGGCGACGCCGCGGTTGAGCCTGAGCAGCTGCTTCTTGGCACCTTCTGCGTTACCGCGACTGACGCACCAAGCTGGCGACTCCGGGAGGAAAACGTAAATGAGACACATGATACCGATCTGAGCCCATTGGGTGTAAATAGGTGTGAGCCAGATGTTGGGGTTCTTGCGGTTCAGCAACTGCAGGGCGATGTAGGCGAAGAAGGATCCGATGGTCCACCAGAGACTATAACACATGAGAAGACCTCCGCGGATACGAGTAGGTGCGCACTCGGAGATATAGACCGGCAAGGTCGATTGAAGGGAGCCAACTCCGACACCCGCGAGGAGTTTAGCAGCGAGCCAAACGGGCCAAGTCCTGGCTAGAGTCTCGCACAAGACACTGCTAACAAGAATAGTCCAATAGGTCCACATGGCTTTCTTGCGACCATATCTATCAGACAGGAAGGGAATCGTTAACATGCCGATGATCTGGCCGACGGACATTATGGAACTCCAGCCAGCTAGGATAGGGGCAGTGAGGTATTCGTCTCCGTCGGCGTTGGTCGCAGTCGCGAATTGGTGAACGAAGCCTTTGTTGGCGATGATACTGCCGTTGATACTGGCTCGGATTAGTACGACATGGACTTGTAGTTAATAGAGATAAAGAAACGTACCCGATTTGATATCCATCAGTAGCGGCGCTAAACGCAGCAGCGAAGCAATAAGCCGTAGCAACTTTGAAGACTTTGACAGTCTGCCATAAGCTTAGAGACTCGTAGCCCGAGGAAAGCTGGCCTGCTTGGACTTTGACGTCGGAGGCTTTGAAAGCTTGTTCGACGTGGAATTCACCGACTTCATCATCGAGCTTGGAGGTGTCAACTTCTTGTTTGGACTTGATGGAAGACATCTTGGCTGTTGTTGATGAATGATGAAGATGGATGAGTGATATTGGTCAACAAGGTGTCGGGTACATGCCTTTAAGTATTCTCATTCAATCCGACAGTATGGGTCTAATGTTTTTCCCCATGGGGTTGTTGTAAGGGTTTTGCATAAGATGTCGGGGAGGAATACCGGGGGCGGAGGTCAGTGTCACGGTCTGGAGTCTGTTCCTTGACTCTCGTGGCAGCTGAGAGAACGATGTGGGGTGCAGGTAGGCTCTGTAGGGTCACGACCGTGAAAGAGGTCGCACAGCTCTGGTTAAGATATTAACCGTTCGTCCCAGTTGAGATACTGGCGATGTGAGGTCTCGAGTGCACACTTCATGGTTGCAATGTTTTTCCTACTGGATCTTACCGCGAAACTAGTGCGGAATTATTGAAGCTTTTACTCAGTGGCGGCTCTAGACTTTTGATGCTGTTAAATATGGGACTAAGCTCGGGGAGACTCCGCGAAGCTTAAGCTCAGATTGGGCTCTGTTGATTGGCTGACGAGGTTCCAAAGGATCAGGGAGCCTCCCCGACAGCTAATCAGATGCGGATAAGTGATAGGGTCATAAGTGAATCAATCAAAGCATTGCAATTGAATTTTTTATCAATCTCGGTTTATCTTTGAGCGAGGATCGCTATTCTCGGCTTTTCAATCATCGGTAGTTCTGGGTAGGCAGTTATCCTCCTGCGTGCTGCTGCTGTATGGTATCTTCTCCAGACAACATGATTCAGGAAACAAGCAGTACTGTACCGCCAGGAACCATGCCTCAAACCTTTGAGTGCATCGCGGACGACTTACTCCCCAAGCTTCATCGATGCATCCGACTTCCCCAGAAGATAATCACGTTCGAGAAGGCCAGCTCGTCATTCTTCGGCCTCGAGGCTCGTACTGGTGACAATGACATCAACGACTTATCCTCCATGTCTTGGGGTAAAGGATCGGACTTCATCCTCGATTTTGGACTGCATATGGTCGGATATCTCTCGTTTCACTTGGACTACGTTGGGCAAAACATGGATGCTCCATGTCGGCTTCGACTCACCTTTGGTGAGTCGCCGCTTGATGTGACCATGGATATGAACGATGTGAATACCTGGATCAGCACAGCTTGGCTTCCTGACGAGATCATCAATATCGACTTATGTCCGCAGACTATAACGTTCCCACGCCGATACTCCTTCCGATACCTGCGTGTTCAAGTCATTGATACCTCCCCCAAATTCAAGGTATCGTTCTCGAAGATACAATGCGAATCGATCAGCGCTGTTAGTCAAGACCATCAAATCGAAGCGGTTGAGTTTCTAGATCCTCTTCTGCGAGACATCGACCACGTCTGCATATCCACGCTGCGGGACTGCATGCAAACCGTATTTGAAGATGGCCCAAGACGAGACAGAAGGCTGTGGATTGGAGATCTCCGCCTACAAGCTCTAGCAAACTACAGCACGTTTCAGGACTTTGATCTCGTCAAAAGGTGCCTTTTCCAGTTTGCAGCAGTCCGAAATGCGGATAGCTCGCTACCAGCCTGCCTCTTTGAGAAGCCCACGTTGACGGCTTCAACGGACTACATCGCCGACTATGATGCTCTGTTTGCCGCTATTGTGTATGACTTTGTTGAGGCTTCTGGGGACACGGAAACTGGGCATCGCCTCTGGGAGACTGTTCTTGACTGTCCCAAGCGATTGATGCGCAACCTCAATCCTGCCTCATATGTTCTCGAGGCAGAACGCAGCAAGCACTTTATTTTTCTGGACTGGGCAAAGGGTCTTGACAAGAGTGCGGGAGCACATGGCGTCTTACTTTATTGTCTAAAGACTACGAATAAGCTCGCTGCACGACTGAACAAGGAGCCTCCCTATGACGAACTGATAAGCAAAATGACAAATGCTGCAAACGCATTCCTAAAGGATGGTGTCTTTGTGTCTGGAGAATCTCAGCAGATCAGCTACGCCTCCGCTGCATGGCTAGTTCTATGTGAAGCCTTCCCACCGGAAATCGCCCGCAAAGCTCTCCTCGCCACACTTGCCCATCCAGAGGCTGTGAAGCCACTTACCCTATATCTATGGCATCATGTTTGCGACGCTCTTGCGCTGCTCGGATGCTATGATGAGTGCGTTGACCTTATCAAGTCTTACTGGGGCGGTATGGTGGAGGCAGGGGCGGACACGTTCTGGGAATGTTATGATGCAGATGATTGCATGGCGAGTCCATACGGGGATGTACGGAATAATAGCTGGTGTCATGCTTGGAGCTGTACGCCGACATACCTGCTCAGAACGACGCTTCGGGAGAAGGTCAAAGCGAGAGGCGTGGGGAAGATCACGATGGATGAGCTAGATCGAAGGTGGACTAAGAGATCTTCTAGTGACTTGGTCGTATAATACATCATAAGCTAGGAATCAAGACTATTTGTGATACGAAGTGTCCGCTATTTATGACACATATTGAATGGCTAATAAAAACATTGGCCGTGTGTGTTTATTGGTGATGTTTAGATTTATCCAATGGTGTCGAAACCTCTTTTCATTAAGTCCTCCCCCTCAGTCATTGACGCAAAAGGGACTCAGGAATGTAATGCTTACGCACCTAAGATTGTCCGAAACGTGACCAGTGTGCTCTAATTGATAGAGTCTTCTAAGTGAAAATGGGGATCAATAGAGAATCTCCATAATGCTTAGGCAATAAGTAAAGAACAGAGAATCTCCATAGTCGAGGACAGTGGCAAATATCTCCTCAGATATCTTAAGCTAACATATCTAGGGTAGGCCTTTTCGCGGCGAGAACTGGATGAATGACATCTACACTTAAGAATTCCAGCGCTAAGCCGCTCTTGACTAGCATGCCCCAGATTTTTCACTTCATTCATAAACCCTGCACAAGACGCTCGGGGAGTCCCCGAGCCCTCTCAATCAGCTCGACGCCCTCTCTTTATTCTCGCATAATGCAGCCTCAAGCCCAGACCCAAGACGATACCAGCCACAAAAATAAGAGAGTTCGTCTTGGCTCGCAGCCAAATGTCACAGACAAGGACCCATTCTCGGGCGCTCAGCCAACCCGAAGACGCGTTGCCGTGGCGTGTAAAGTGTGTCGCTCAAGAAAGACGAAGTGCGACAGCCGCTGGCCGGTTTGCAGCTACTGTGAGAAGAGCAACTCAGATTGCCGATATGACACTGTAGACCCGGTAGATCGACCCTTGTACGTTTCTATCTACCCTTTTCTGACTGTATAAAACTGACTCGGCCGAAGGAGTCATGAATTAGGCATGCGGATCTTGCAGGCCGTCCAGGACTTATCACAGACTGTAAAAGAACAACACTCACCGAACCTCTCTGATACACCCTCTCATAACAGTCATGCAGCACAGCCAATAAGACATGGTGAAGCTGACTCCGTGGTAAACTTGACTGCTACACCGCGGTCCATTCCTCCCGAACGGCATTTCGAAAGGTTCTCTGAAGGTCTCGACAGTATCTTGACATGGACCGTGTTCCCACAGGAAATAGAGCCTATCCATGTCGACAATGGGAGCTTGATGGCTATGCCTGACGACTTTCCCCCGATAAGTTTCACAGAGCTGAAGAGGTTGCAGAAAAGCTATCTCAGTACTGTACACAGCGTCAATCCCATTCTAGACGTCGCCGTTCTCGACCAGTATATTACAAAACTTTCTGAAAATGGCTTGGACTGGACGACGCAGACATGTCTTGTTGCCCTTGTATGTGCCATCGGCGCCTTGTGCCAGGACCCGCTTGTCGAAACACCCAGAAGTAACAACAGTTGGGATGTTGACCAAACGACGGATATTGCTTATAGATATTGGAGTGTGGCGTGTAAACGGCTTGGGCGAGCAATGAGCCATAATACATTGGAGTCAGCCCAGTGTCTTTGCTTGGCAGGGTGGGTAAAGAGAATATGCCCCTCGTAGTACTCGATGCTATTTCAAGACAAGCAACTGACATGAGCTGCAGCATCTGGTTCATGTGTAATCTACAACCACTCGAGGCCTTCAGGTACTTTACAATGGCAGGGAATTCCTGCTACTCTGCACTATGGGCCAGGTAAGACATGCAAACACGATCAACGATGATGTCGATGCTCACACAGCTTATAGGGATTCCACTATACCTGCTGGACCACCGAATCCTCCTTCCAGTCCACAAGCAATCAAGCAAAGCATCTTCTATACCGCTTACAAATCAGAAGTGTAAGTGAGAAGCTGTACCTGTATGTACTATGCTAACAGATCTGTCTGTACAGCGAGATTCGCTACGAGGTACCCAGCCTGCCTGGTTCGATGCTAGAACACATCGAGGATCGCCTCACGTTTCCATCCCCGCCAGCAGCGAATTGCCTATTTGACGAGACGATAGCTTGGTACTACTTCCTCGCAGACATCGCCGCCCGGCATTTGATCAACCGCATCATCGATGCCAAGGTCGAGATATCCGCGTGTCCAAAGGAAGCGCAAGCCAGGTCTTTGCTCCGATCGTACGAGGTTTTTGGCTCACAGCTGCAAGACTGGTATATGTCCCTACCGCCGGAGATCTCGTTTCCGCCGCCGGATGCAAGTATCTCACCTGAGACGAATATCTACAAAAGAATCCTCCGTTCGCGGTATCTCTTTATCAAAGAACTTCTGTGTCGACCATTCGTGCGGCTGTGTCTTAACTACGACCTTGAACTCTCCAGCGCTCTGGAAGATGAGATAGTCAGTATAGCTTCCCAGGGTCTTCAGTATTGCGCTTGGAGACTCAAGGCTGTGGATCGGATGAACAAGCTCGATCATGGATTGTGGATATGGATTCGGAATAGTACAGGTTGTTCCATGATACTCATTGGTGCCGCTCGGAGCCTCCAGTTTCAGTCTACCGCTGTATCTCGGCGACTGGTTCTTCCTCAAGACTGGCGAGAGATTGTTGTTTCCTTTTTACACGGGCTTGAGAAGTATGCCCACGAAACGAGAGGGGGCGTAGCTTCATGCTATCGACTTGTGACATGGGGTCTTGACGGGTTCCAGCCAGGCTCACCAGACACCATCTGACAGTTCTGAATATACCGCACAGTACCTGAATCTTGCAGATCGAGTGATATCAGTCTAGCTGATACTTTGCCCTTGTTCGTAGGCGTTCCCCATACTTGTAGGATATAGCAATCATGCTGATCATAGCCAACGACACACCCGCAAGCAGTGTGTTTCCCCATCCCTGGCCGATGGCATCAAACATCTTTGGACCAGCAAGAGGCAAAAGCGCACCCCCGATACTTCTAAACACTGTATTTGCAGCTGTAGCACTAGCAGCATAGGTAGGGAACGCGTCAACCAAGTAAGTGCTCACAGATGTAAACACAGTAATCATCCCAAAGCCAATCATGAATGTACCAATAACAGGTACAAACCAAAAAACCCCATACTCTGTTGTCCATCCGTATACTAAAAGCCCGACTGGAATTATCGCACTGCACGGTATCATGAGGGGCAGACGGTACTCGGGTTTGAGTTCGCCGCCTCGGGCCATTCTTCTTAGAATTGGATCTGAGACCATGCCAAAGAGTACAAGTCCGACAATCTGACCGCATCCGAAGCCAAGATATATAAGGCCGACGTTGGTGACTATACCGTATTTTGTTTTAAAGGTTTCGGAGACCGTCGTGAATAAAAGGTATAGAGTTCCGTAGGCGATAGCTGTCAGGGATGAGAGACCGAAGATAATCGGGGACAAGAAAAGCATCTTCAATGGGCGGGCCAGACTTCTCATAATGAGCTGTCTGTGCGGCGTGGTGAGCGATGAGTCTTCAGTGGCACGCTCCATTGGCACCGTCTTGAGTTTCTTCCTCTCGAGCGTTGGAGCGTGAGTCTCTTTTTGAACGAAGGCGCAGACAACAAGCACAGCTCCAGTCTGTGGCAGCACGTCAGCACAATCAGGATATGCAACCACCAAGAACGAATTTACCTACCATTATGATAAGCAGCCAAAAGTTCCATCTCCATCCCAGACCCCGCGAGACATACGCACCAACAGCAGGCCCAAGGCTCGGACCCAGCAAGACAGGCATATTCCAAATAGCCATAGCTCGACCACGCTCCTGCTGAGAGAAACAGTCTGCAACGCTCGCAGGTCCAATGGTCAACGGACACGCACCCGCCAAGCCGGTCAGGAGACGGAAGATGATAAGCATAGGCATGTTGATTGATAGAGCGCATGCGATGTTTGCAAGTAGGAAAGTGACCATGCAGATGCGGTATATGTGGAGACGGCCGTAGATCTCGCTGAGCGGGGCGAGGAAGAGGGGACCGAAGGCGTAGCCGAGGAGGTAGATTGATACCATGAAGGAACCTATGTTAGGATTCGTTTCGTGCATTTCGTCCATGATGGGCTGGATTGCTGGTGCGACCATGGAGGATGCAAATGGGCTGTTGTGATGGGCATATGTTGGCGAAATGGGAGAGAACTAGGCGTTCTGAAGAGAGCACGTACGTTAAGACTGTCAGGATAGATACTATCATGATATTAGTCCATTTTTTGGACTTTGGCCAATTCAATGGCATATCAGGATCATTGGGGCCGTCCGAATCCAGATAATGACTGAGATTTTGAGGCGAGCTCTCAGGTTCGTTCCTTTGTGTCATTGTTGATGTTGGAGGGAGGGTATCCTGTGAGCTTGATTCGATGTTGTTGGCCATGCCTTGACCGCGGTATCGATGGTCAGGGCATACGCAATGTCAGTCGATGGATAAGAGTCATATATAAGCACTCATTGACATCAGTCGGTTACTGAGTAGCCCCGATATAAGGGATATGAAGAAACCAAGAACGTGAGGCTATTCACTTCAGATGCGTTCATGGGATCGCCATCGGAATCATGGTGTTTAAATCCGTCGGCGGAGCTCCCTGATGCAAAACCCACTTAGACACTCTTCCACCGCCTGTCAGCAGGTTGCATACACTAACAAGGGTTATCCCAGAACTGAGGCTCAATGTCGTTAGCCTTCCGGAATGCTCCCCTAGTGGCTCGTTTGTGCGATGTTAACCTATGGTATTAAGTCGTTTGCCATGACCCTTGTGGGCATCTTACAGTATGGTGTTCTGAAAATAAGACTGTTTTGCTTCTAACAGCGAAATAAATTACGTATCTCCTTACACCGGAGGGTAATAAACGAATTACAACGTGGTTTTGTTTTAACTTGTTTAGGTAATCTTTCAAGTCGACAAGGAAACTATCACTGAACGCATCACTCCTTTCCCGAGCTGTTGGCTTTAAACCTTGTTGTCGTAATTAATAAACATGATCAAAGAATGAACGCCGCTATGTGCTAGAAGCTCAGTCAATGTGACGGCTTGTATCAATTCCTTGTCGTTCTATTTAATATCTTCAAAGCCCAGTCCATCTAGTAGTTGCCTCCACATGCAGATCCCCCTTAAGCAAAATCTTGCTACTACTCGATCCTACCAGTACTCTATACACACCTCTCTCGCTCACCCAACAGTGTAGTTCCTCATCCCAGAATGACGTAGTGAATCTATCAAGAGGAATTTCTACTCTCTTGGTTTCACCAGGCTGCAGGTATGTTTTCTTGAAGCCCTTGAGCTCTTTTTTAGGCCTCTGGATAGAAGACGTAGTCTCGTCGGCAGCGATGTAAAGCTGAGATACCTCTGCACCAGCCACGGAACCAGAGTTGGTGATCTCGAAGTTCACGTGCGAGGCTGTGACGCGCAGGTTGCCGTAGGTAAATGTGGTGTAAGATAGACCGTAGCTGTGGATATTAGTTAGTTTGTCCTGCAGAGTCTTGTCATCTTCACTCACCCAAAAGGATACAGGACGTCGCGATCGACCTTTTCGTAATACCGGTACCCAACATAGATATCTTCCCCATATATAACACGCCCCCTCTCGCTACCAAAGTTCAGAAATGTGGGCGTGTCTTGTATGCGGCGTGGAAATGAAAGTGGGAGCTTTCCACTAGGGCATGTTGCGCCGAACAAGACATCAGCAAGGCCATTTCCAGTCTCGTTCCCAGCCAGCCAAGCATGTACGTGAGTCTTTGCACTTTCAGCCCAGAGCATGCCAAATGGAGTGCCGCTCTGCGTGACAACGATAGTGTCTGGAGCGGCAGCTAAGACAGCCGAGGCAAGCCGAGGAAGTGATCCGGGAAGATCCATGTGAGGCCTGTCAAAGCCCTCGGATTCTTGGTCTCTTGTCATCCCAACGCACAGGATAGTCACATCTGACTGTAGTGCTGCGGAGACAGCCTTCTGGATCCCGATTTCAGGGTCAATTGCACTCGCTAGACCGACTCTCCCTGCACCGCCGCCGAAATTGACCACGCCTGGCTTGACAAGCTTGGAAGATGGTGCGCTCTCATACTCGACCGTGATTCGGTACTTTTGGCCTTGGACAAGTTGCATCTGAGCCTTTTCCTCGACCGTCCCTTTGCCGAAGAAAAATGTCCCGCCTCGTTGGATGAGACTATTGTCGATCAACAGCTGACCATCGACATATAGTCGCGCAGAGCCATAGACGGCGAGCCCAAACTCAAAAGGTCCTGATTCTCGAACGACGAAATCGCCTTCTACAGTTGCGTAGAACAGTTTGTCTAGTTTCGGATGCGAGTAGCCCATGAGTTGCCATGATGAGTCAGGCAGGTGGCTCTCGTCGATGATCTCACGATCGGGTACACTCGGGCTGTGATTGTAGAATCGCATTCGCATACCCGGTGCCCCCTCCGGCGTAGTGATCATATCGCCCTGTAGGAGAGGGTTCCATCCATGTGCTGACGCTCCAACCTCGTATCGTACCTCGACTCCAGGCGGCAGTTGGGCTACGATCCCCTCGTAAGGAGAAGCAGTGTAGTAAGGCTGGAGATAAGCAGAACCGCCTCCACAGAACGAAGTGGTCTTCAAATTCGGTCCTATCAAAGCAATGCTTTTGAAGGGTCGTTTGATAGGAAGTTGGTTGCCTTCATTCTTTAGTAAGACAACGCTGTCACTGGCGAGCTTTCGATTTAGCAGCCTGTCTTCCGGAAAGTCGCGTCCAGCTTCTTCAGCCGCAACAGGAACCTTTGTACATCTTTGGACGAACTCGAGGACGTTTCGGGCTCGAGTGTCTATAGTTGACCGGGATACCTTTCGCGTTGATACAGCAAGGTCGAGAAGCTGGCCGCGTTGTCTCGTGGGTCCCGGCATCTCGAGATCTAGTCCTGCATTGACGGCTTCAGTAGTAGAATAGGTTCCGAACCTGAAACGAGCGATAACTGTCAGCTTTGGCTGTAGCTTGCCAGTAAGAGGGTTTGCTACGTACCAGTCGCTCATGATCAAACCCTTCCATTTCCATTCTTCGCGAAGCAACGAATCAAGGAAATCCTTGTTTTCCGAAACATGCTTGCCATTGACTTTATTATAGCAAGCCATGACACCGCCTGGCGCCGCGTCGTGCAGCGCAATCTGGAAAGGAAGCATATGGATCTCCCTCAACGCGCGCTCACTAGCAACGACATTGACACCAACTCTCTCATGTTCTTGATCATTTGCAAGCCAATGCTTGATAACCGACACAACGCCCGTAGACTGTACGCCATTGATGTAAGCAGCAGCTAGTTTGCCTGTTGCATAAGGGTCCTCTGCCATTGACTCGAAGCCACGACCGCCGAGGGGAGAGCGCTGTATGCAGACTGTAGGGCCGAGCCAACAGTGGACGCCCTTTGCTATGCATTCGTTGCCTATGAGTTCGCCTGCTTTGTATAGAAGGTCCTCGTCCCATGTGGCTGCTAGACCGGTACCGCAGGGCAAGCAGGCGGCAGGTACGCCGTCGATGAATTTAGTTCCTCGTACGCCATTTGGCCCATCGCTGACACGCACCGATAGAACGTTGAATGCTGGGAGGGGGTTCGAGTGCCAAAAGTCTCGGCCTGAGGAAATACGAGCCGATTTAGCAAGCCGAGTCTCCCAGGGCCGGGGAGGAGAATGTTAGACTACTACGCACCAGAGAGCAGAGATATTTTGTCAGAGACAGATGCGTTTTGGATGACATGCTCAACATCAAAACCGTTGGGCACGTCATCATGGGTCATACGTTTTAAAACCATGGTATAAAGATGTGCGTGTTGGCGCGATAGAATGACTCAAGGATAAACAATACCCAAAAAGGGCTAAGGCAGTTAACTTACCAACTTATATATCTTATGAAGGATAAACATTAATGCAAGACCTCGGGCATGACCCCGATGGAGTCCAGTCGGTGGGGACGTATCGGGGAGTCTCCCCGACCAGCCAAAGGTCATATGGTAAAGATGACCAGCTGAGAAACGACCCTCGCACTACCCCTTCTCGTACCTATTTCAAGTTAGAACAACCCCGATTAGGGTCGTCAAGGTACTGCTGCACAGGCGTTGCACCCCGCGCGACCGCACCCCTCCAAGTCTCAGGCAGCGTCACAGTCTGCACAGGACGAAAATCTTCATCCTCTTGTGCCAGGCGCTGCGCCTTTCCGACAGCAGCCAAGATCAGCGCAGCTCTTGTCGCCACTCAAATACCGTACCAAGTACCCTGATGCCCATGCTCCGCGACGTGATCGAGTTTCAAGACGCAGAACCGTACGCATCGCAATGTGTACGAGCTGATTATGCCGTATAGCGAAGCATCTATCCCGTCTGCCAACTGGTCTCATACCAACAAGAAGACTATTCTAACATCAATGCTTCGTGTCCGAGTGACTAGAAGTATGCGCCGGCCAGCTTGTGCTTTCTTAGGTCTACAATACGCCAGCACAATCATCCCTGCCTTCTCTATCTCAACTGTATCGCCATATTCATTCATCATAAGAATAAATCGGAAAACAAAGACACTGCAGAGAATACTGTTGGGCCTAAGCTCTTAAAGGTACCCTTTAATTGTTTCTAATCCCTTGTTTCTCAAATGTGACAAGTACTAACTAGCTGCTGAGGGTTCTTCCCCCGACAGCTCTTCCCTAGTACTAAACAAAGCATCTCGTTCTCCTTGACCTAATTGGGCGCACACAACATAACTATCCAAGATCAATTTATTCGTTTAGAAACTCTAAAGTAGGTCTCGGCTAGGCACTATGGGAAAGATAGAGCGCGGCGCAACGCCTCAAGCTGCAAGGTTTCATTGTATCGTCATGATATTAGTAAACATGCTCTATAGATATGGAAGAAAACTCACTTGGCAAATGTCTCCTTCTGTGCATATAGTTGTACTTCTTCGTAGGTGAGCAACCGTTGACATGTTTGAGATGGACAGCGGATGTTATCGCAGGCGCTCTTGTCTAGCTGCTCCAAGTGGGATCCAATATGTTTTTGTAAGCAAGGCGTGCAAAAATCGATTGAATGTTTGCACCTTGCACGCAATATCTTTGGGAATCGTGAGATCTTCCAGACCCAGTCACCATCGAATTCAGTACAGACTTCGATCCATTCATCGACAGCATCGTAGGAGACGTTATAGATAGACTCCGCACAGATGACGCAGTCAATGGGAGTCTTCTCAGTCCGGAGCAGTTGTGTGAAGATAGGGACCTGTAATGTTTCCCGACCTTCTTCGATGTTGTATAGTTCAACATGGCTGAAGTCTGCTTTCAACGGCAGTCCAACCCTTCGAGGTGGGCGTCTATATCTCTGGTCAAAGGGCGAGTGCATTAAGCCATTTCTCATCATCTTGAAATGCAGGCGTGCTGCCACGTGTCTGGCTTCTGATGTGAGTCGGGGTTCGATAAAATAAAGGGTTTGCATTAGCTGCAGAATCGTGTCATAACTGTCAAGGATTAGTTGTTTTGTTGTTTCCAGACTATTAACTGCAGCTTACATTCTGATCACCGAGAACTCGGCCTTTTCATTCCCTAGGTACTGCAATACATGCAACAGAGAGCTGCGATCATTTATGTGAACTCCTGCGGGGGAGCAGCCACAAGGACATGGCAAGTATATCTCCAAGTCTTGAGCCTTCCACCAAGTCTCTCTTAATCGTGCTAAAGAAGAGAAAATAGATTTGAGAAAGCATGCTGAACAGACAGGATTCTGGCACCCCAACCTGAGGTCCCTCTCGATGAATTCGTTAAGAGGCCTAGGCTTGGAGAAGCCAGCAGCTTGCCTAAACCTGACTTTCTGGCAAACAGAGCAGGTGCCTAGCATCACCGACTGCAGAGCTTCGGTACCAAGCCAGTTTTCGAATGTCGTGTAGATATAGAGAGCTTCATCAGCACTCATCGCCCTATCGAGGGTCCCTTTGAGGTCCTTGGCCATTTGAACTGGAATAGGCATGGAAGGAAGAGAGTCTTGAGCAGTCGAAATCTGCGGATTCAGTAGTTTGTTGACGATGATGGATCTGGGCGTGGTCATTGATATCTTTGGCTGCTTCAACTTCAAAATTTGACTCTGAAGCTCATTCACAGCATACGCCATAGCCTTCGTGTCATGAAGAGCGTTCTGCAACTCATGATTTGAAGTCAAGACCCTTGATCGTAAAGAGACTGTTTCGTTCATCCTATCGTAATACCTAGAGATCAGTAGCTTATTCTGGCTAAGTAGATTACTGACTGTTTCTTGAAGACTTTCAATTTGTTTTTCTTGGCTGCAGAAAATGGCTGCCAAATCGCGTTCGGAGCGTTCATCGAAAGTTTGATTATCGAACTCTGGGCTTTTTGCATTGGGTCCGTCCTGTGGAATTGATCGCATTCGGAGCGGACTTTTCTCTGGTATTTTGAGGAACTGTATCGGTTGTTCCTCTGGAGGATGCTGCTGAACCACGATGGGCTGGGAGCGAATATGTCGTACTTTGGTCCGTTTCATCGCAATAGAAAATTTGACTTTTGAGATTAGAAGATATGTCCAAGTAGTGAACTAGATGTGTTATTTTTATTCAGGACTTGTGGCTGGGAGTTTGTTGTACTACACTGAAAGTAATAAATATACATAACTGGACTTGGTGTTAGAGAAGGATAAAGGTGGATACCGGAAGGCATGCTCTTCGGTCGGAAGATCAACAACAAGGAAGATCAAATACCGACGTTTGAATCCCACTATAAACTACCGGGGTTTTGGCGACTTTGTTACGTCATGTCTTAGAATTTGTGCGTTAGAAGCCAAGTGGTAACAAGGGTCGGTCTAACTAATGACTAGAAGTGGGATGACACAGATGTACTCAGAGCGGCACAAACTGCTCGTGGTTGGTCCCTCTTTACTGTGTCTCTGATCGGGGAAAAAATACATTCTTTGCCTTAGTTAAAGACACGGAATAGTGCTATAGTCATGTATTCTTTACATGTTAGTCCTTTAATGGATTTCCCCTTCCAACGACAAGGGCTGTTCTTCTAGAGATAAATGATAAGGTTTATGTTAGGAATGAGGTTTCCGTGTTTCTTAGAACTACGCTAGACTTAAATGGACCTCTCTAAAGCCCTTCAATTTTTAGGCCCACACTGAAAAGCGTGGTTAGCTTGTTAATAGCACTATTTCTCTCTTATATGTTACCAGAGCGTCAGTAGCATGCAACAGCACTGACAAACTCCAACCGGCCTTTATTTCAGGACTTGTGGCCTTAACTTGAATGTTGAATTGCTTCTTAATAGAAGAAGTAACATGTATTATTTTTTTTAACCCTGAGAGACTTGACACAGCGCGTTCAGTGCCAGGATACCAGTCAATGATAAATTACTTATCAGACCTCGGTTCAGGCTTTCGACTGCCTATAACCTCAATATCTTTTACATCCTTTCTTACCGCACCATCTCCTCTTCACTTGCTCGATCCTGCAACTAGCCGAATTCTTGGCCAATTGCTCCGGTCTTGTTGTCCCAGAAGTAGGGATAATTGCATCACCCTGGACCAAAGCCAAGCCAGCGTCAGCTGCAAGGGAGTACCTCACTTAGCATTAGTAATGCCTTGAATCTTGTTCACGAGGGCCAAGTTCTTGGAGATTCTCCTCGCTAAACCTAAATGGATATGATCGAAGATCCCCGGGAATAAAAATACTGCGGCCGAGGGGAGAGTATGTGACAACAGCGACGATAAGCTTACGCGCCATGTTGAACAGGTTGATCTGTGACGACTCGATCGGCAGGGAGAATGGCGAGTATTCCATCTGCGCTGTGGCGATGGGGTAGACGGCGTGAGCGCAGCGGAGGGATGCGGCGCTGCACTCGGAAAGTCAGCTCCGCAATCGGGATTCTCAACTCCATGACAATCTATCCGGGTACTTGGAACAAGGTTATGTGGTCAAGAGGTTTTAGCCCCAACGCACAAAAAGGGAACACATAGAGGAAATACACTTTTGGCCCTTGATGGTAGGACCTGACTTTTGGCTGAGAAAATTGATGTCCCATAACGGTATAGAAAGAGCCTGCATGCTGCTCTGCCGTCCCAGTAGACAGGCTGGTGGTGGTTGGCGGCAAGGTTTAGTGGGATTTCGGAGCATTTAGGATTAAGCTTTCAGTTTAGTAACGGCTAATTGAATCATTTACATGGCACAAGAGAAAGCCATCAGGGTAGCCGACCGAGGAGTATTTAAGTAATCATCCACGTTAACATTATAGTATCGATTCAAATTATCCATGCGCGCTGACCACGTCCAGAATCTCGTCTTCAATTCGCAGTTCGCTATGTTTCCGGCCCTTCCCAAGTCAGCGTCGCGAGCTCTCATCAACTCGCAGCGCTCTTCAAAATTGAACCTCAATCTTCGACACTTCTGCGCCTCTCCATCTCATTCCCAACGCCTCCCAGTTCAAATCACGTGCCAAGGAAGCAGCCTCATCCAAACCATCTCCGTCAAAGACAAGCCGTACAAATTCTCAACCGATGCCCCCAAGGTCATTGGCGGCCAGGAATCACACCCCTCGCCTATCGCATACACCCTCGCTAGCCTCAGCTCGTGCAACCAAGTCACAGGCGCACTTGTAGCCAAGGATCATGGGCTCACCCTCGGCAAATGGCGCGTCTCAGTCGAGGGCCAACTTCCCACTGCGGTGTTTGTTGGAGGTGAGCAGGGTAATCCGAATTGGGAGAGCGTGGACTTGGAGATTTCTGTACAGACAAATGCAGACGATGCTGCGTTTGAACATTTTACTGCCGAGGTCGAACGACGATGCCCTATTGCGCAGCTTTTTAAACGCAGTGGCGTGGCGTATAAGAGCAGGTGGATTAACGAGCCACTTTGAGAGCCAGCGTGCGCTATCTGTACCCTGAAATCTTCTACAGTAAACGCGGGAGAGGAAGCCTGGGAGGTTGCATAGTTTCAGTTAGATAGAGGCATGGACTGAGGGGTCACAGCAGGCCGAGGGGTTCTGAGACGAGGCATGGAGACGGCAGCCCTTCAGGGCAAAGATTTAGTAACTCAGGATCAGTTCTTCGCCTTTCATGGCTTCTCATTTGCAACTCGCGATGAATCCAGATATTGACGTATAGCCGGTCCGCTTCCAACAGGATCGGATGTTGTTACCAGTCACCGAATCACGCAATTTCGGGCAAGGGCACGACACCGCCGTAGATGGAACCGACAGGCTAATAAATAGTCGATCAGCAGTAAACTTCATGGTAAAATTGACGCGTCTTACCAAACCGGACAGCAGTGATCCAAAATGACAGGCTTTTCTATCTCCTCATCATTGGCACTTATGGCCGCCCTTCTCAGCATTGCAACGGCCGATGGGCAGTATCGTTCTCGTCCTGACCTAGCGCCGCCTCGGCTGAACATCACGATTCCTGCCACTGAACATGTCTCGCCTGGCTACATCTTTGTCGGGCCTTACCCCGGCTTCGATGGTGTCCGCGCAGGTCCCGAGCAGGCAGCCGCTTATATTTTCACCAACACTGGAGATCTTGTCTGGTCTAGCCTTGGCCACTTTGCAGGATGGGTCGGGAATTTCCAGGCGGTCCGGTACCGGGGAAAACCAGCACTGCAGGCATTCCAGGGCTATCTTGATCCCTTTCACGGCCACGGATACGGCACGCCCATTCTCTTGGATGACCACTACCAACCTCTGGCTTTGGTGCAAACCCCGAACCACCGCCTTATCTCTATTCATGAGTTCAAGATTGTGAATGAGGAAACAGCTCTGGTTGAGATTTATCAGCCTACCGCTATGGATCTTGGCCCATTTGGGGGTTCTGCTGAGGAGCAGTGGATTGTCGATGGTGTCTTCCAGGAATTCGATATTGCGTCTGGAGAGTTGCTTTTTGAGTGGCACACTCTTGATTGGGCGTCTCCAGCGGGTGAATCATCTCAAGTCGATGCTGCAAGTCGGCTCACTTATACTACCTGTACTAACCAGAACTAAATAGACAGTGCCATTCCCCTCCGCTCTGGGCGCGCCTTCACGGGTGCCAACGCCAGCGATGTGTGGGACTATTTTCACATCAACAGCGTGGACAAGAATGATCAAGGTGACTACCTCGTTTCCGGTCGCCACATGAATGCTCTATACAAGATCAACGGCTCAGACGGCTCGCTTCTTTGGCAACTAGGCGGCGAGAAGTCGACCATCTCTCATCTTGACTTTGACTTTGGCTATCAGCACGATGCCCGTTTCCTCAACCGTTCTGTGGACGGCAGCGTCGAGACTATCTCCTTCTTCGACAACTCAGCACGCTCTGATCGACAGCGTACCGGCGGTGTAGACCGCCTGCATCCTCACTCTCGCGCCCGTATTGTCGAGATCGACCACAACCATAATACTGCCAGGGAGCTCAACAACTTCATCCCGCCTGACTATCTTTCAGCTCCGTCCCAGGGCAACGTGCAAGCCCTTGAGAATCAGAACGTGTTCGTCAACTGGGGTCAAGCAGGTGCTGTTACCGAGTTTTCTCCTGACGGCACTCCCATCTTCCACGCCTATCTCGACTCTGGGGAACTGGCGCCTGGCGTCCAGAGCTACCGTGGATTTCGGTACGAGTGGACGGGCTACTCTAGTGAGACTCCAGCCGTCGTAGCCTATGATGACGGCTCCGAGATGTCCGTATATGCTAGCTGGAATGGTGATACTGTCACTGCAGCTTGGCGCTTTTATTCACAGTGCAAGACTGAAAGACGACAGGCCGGAGTAAGGTATGAGACGCGCGAACTAGGTCAGGTTGCCAGAAAGTCATTTGAGACAAGCCTTGTTGTCTCTATCAACCAATTGCGTGGCTGGAGCAAAGACTGTGGCATATTTGCGCAGGCTGTTGATGCGTCAGGCAGCATTCTTTCCACCAGCACTGTCGTCAACATTGCATATTCTCAGCCTCAGCCTGCTTCGGCTCCAGCTCCACCCTCGCTATTGAAAGAGTTCGGCCAAAAGGGCTTTTACGGATGGGCGGATTTGTAAACGACCGGCCGGGACTTCTAGCCTCTAGACACGCTTTATGACGACCGAGACACAGTTTCGGGATGCACATACCTCTTTCAGCGCGCAGAAGAGTATTGAGATTGTGGCCTTGCGATATCAGTACTTGTATTGGATTTGTGGCATGCTAAGTATATTACCATTCCGAGGAGCAGTTACTTCAGCAGTGAGGTATAACCCATAGTCTCGAATTAAAAAATACTTGATTTGTCTCTACGAAAACCCCGGTATCAGCCTGTGAAGGCTAACTGTCGATTACTTGCTATTTGGAATGCAGATAATTGTACAAATAGGCGACCCTTGTGCGCATCGTCCGGGTATCAACTCAACTGGATAAGCAGTTCAAGTTTGTGTTTTATCAAGCTATTGAAAGTCACTTTACTTGACTAAGTAAAATATAGTTTATATATAATGCCTGATGACCTTTGTAATCCTGATGAGCCCGCACTTCTAATTAAATGCCGGAAATACATTAATTCTCCGTGCTTTATAGCAGAATAACTATATATAGTTACTTAAGGGCTTATTTATCTACCCCTAACCACGATATTGATAGCTCAAACTATATAAGAAATAAAGTATTAATCTTTAAAATTAATACTGCTAACCTAAATTATATGCTTTTCAGCAGAATATTAATCACTGCTATTGGTTAGCTCATGACCTTTTAGTTATTTTATTGCTAGTACTAAGTATACTGTGTTCCTGATGTCTCCAAGCAGCTTAGGATCTGTTATAAGTAGTAACTGTAATTTTTACTTAAGTATATACAGTAGACCAGTTAAGAATAACTATCTTGCCGGCAATCTTCTCATCACGCTAAGCAAGGAGGTGATCGCTGCTGAGAAAGAGGTCAAGGCTCTTGGTGAGTTGTATGAAGCGGCTTGCTAGTTCCGCTCCTTCAACTGCCGGCCCCACAGTACCGAGGGTTCACCCACATCACGAGCGTTTATATTAAGCCGCCGCGCAATAGGGCCGCGTCTTATTAGCCCAACAGACGCGAAGATCGTCCCGGCAATAATACGTAGACCACAATATGTTGTAGTCGTAGTGGACTAGATCGGGAACCCCAGTTGTCTTGGCAGAATAAATACCCGACCAATTCCAGAGCATATTCTATCATCATATCTCGCAGCTTACGATTCAGTACAATGTTACCAAGAACCCTGTTTCCTCTCCTCGCCGTTTCGGCTGTCGCTGAAGTCCATTACCTGTTTTCTGGATTCTTCTCTGGCTCTACGATTGCCGGCATTGAGTTCGACGACGAAGCCTTGTCCTTGAGCTTGGTGAAGAATATCTCATCTGCATCTGATGATGGATCGAAGTGGATAGCACTCGACGTAGGTGTTGCTCGGACATGAGAATTTGATTGAACCTAATCGTGTACCTAGGCTCGCAAACAAAATCTATACGTCGGAACCACTGGTTACTTCCAAAGTTACAAGATCACCAAGGATTTGGGGCTGGCCTACAAGAGCAATGTCAGCTTGTCCTCAGACTGTAAGTAGCCCCTCATGATCAAGAATCACTTTTGACCAGTTCAAATGCAGGCAACAACGCAAACTTCATCACCGCATCGTCCAAGTCGCCCTTCGCAGTATTCGGAACACCCTACGGAGGCGGCTGTCCAACAGTCGCTATATCTGTGGATAAGACCGGCACTCTCCAGAAGGCCTTTGGAAATGCGACGTACAACACCAAAGGCGGCGTTCACGGAACCGCACTGAGCCCCAAGAATGATTTCTTGTACTCTGCAGATGATATGGGGAATGCAGTCTGGGTTCACTCTTATGATCGCGAAAGTGGCAACATTGAAGAAGTGCAGTATCTTGCTGCTGACGAAGGATCAAACCCGAGACATTTGACTGTACACCCAAATGGCAAATGGGTGTATGTTGTTTATGAAGAGGCGAATTCCATTGCGGCTTACAAGCGGGATACAAAGACTGGAAAACTCGAGTTTCGCAACGAGACATACAGTTTACTTCCTTCCGGTAGGACTCAGATACTTTGCCTATATCCTGCTGAACTAACTGATCCTATAGGATTTACCAACTCCTCTTCTTACTGGGCTGACGAGGTACTACTCTCCTCACCCGCCGAAGGATCGCCCCCCAAATACCTGCTCGCCGCCACGAGGTCTCGCAAGACTGGAGTTCCCGGATATGTCTCTGCGTTTAGTCTTGATGCCAAGACTGGGGGTATCAAGGAGCAGCTGTTTCTGCAAGAGACCACCAACAGCGGTGGATCTGCAAATGCTGTGTCGCCGGCTTCTTTCAGTGATGATTTCTTTGCTATCACTGATAGTGGTTCGAACTTTATTGAGGTTTGGAAGATCAAGGGCAAGAGTGCGTCGGCAGTTGCTCACCTGGATCTCGAGAATGGGCCGGCCAATGCTGTATGGTATAGCTGAGTGGCAAGGAGACATGAGTCGATCGCGGAAATGGTTTCGGTTCTCGATTTTGACTGATCTCGTAACTTAGACATTCTGATCCGCTAGATATTTTTTCAGCCAGCCTTAGAATCCCCTTTAGGACAGCTGAAAGCTTTTGTCCTACTTGTTAGCTTTGAGTAAGACTTCTATGCAAGATAGGTTTCAATTCAGCCAAGCCCCCGCACGATGATTGGAATGTATGTAACCTCAATCCTATGAACTAGAAGAGGTGCAAGCACTGCTATTTGAGCTGTTTCCTCCCTTGCTCGATAGTAGCTTGCTGAAATTCCCCGGCGCCACCTGAGAGACTGTATTGAGCGTGATAGCATATCTAATATCACACCATCCTCTCTTTGAACCTGTGAAGCTGAATCAAGTGGCTTCAATGGAACTCATGCAATAGGCCTACGTCGGAACGGTTAAACGCCTCCATCTCTGTATTTGGCCATAATCTCCGCCAATAAATAAGTCGCGACAACAAGGGAGTCGGAACTCGTGGGCTAAGTACGAAAGATGGAAAGACATTTAAGTTCAGACCGACGAGAGTTTTGCAATAAAAGACTCATCATATCCCCGACTCTTCATACTTTAGCAGCCTCAGATATCTATCTCTGCCTTTCCTCTTACTTCTACAACACCTCCGGTCTCAGCCAACATGCCTCACGCTACCAGTCCTGACATTGAGGAGGCTATTCAGGCTGATCAATACGTCAAACTAATTCTTTGCTTCGACGGTACCGGCAATACCTTCAGCGGAACCAACGCTGACACCAACGTGGTCAAGATTCTTCGAAAGCTTGATCGCAACCACAAGAAACAATACCATTATTACCAAAGTATGTAACTTGTCTCACTGATCTGGACTTTGCTAAATCTTCCCAAGCCGGTATCGGTACCTATGATGTCAACGAAAACTCCATCCACAAGACCCCGATTGGTGAAGTGCGCAGCAGGGTTTCGAAGGCAATCGACTCAGGATTCGGAACCACCTTCGACGCGCATATCATGGCAGGATATCGGTTCCTGATGCGATACTATGAGCCTGTAAGTTCCCTTGAACATGATCATGTCTGGCGACAGCTGACAGTCTTTCGAAGGAAGCAAAGATTTACATTTTTGGGTTCAGTCGAGGCGCTTTTACCGCCAAATACTTGTCACGCATGGTCAACGAGGTCGGCCTACTTTGCAAGGGTAACGAAGAAATGGTTCCTTTCGCATATAGGCTATACCAACGTTCTCTGAAGTGTAAAAGTAACGATCGCACCAAGGCCGCCCGGAAAGGTGCCTCTAATGAGATGGAACCCGAGGCCCAGGCTTCTGAATCTGGCCAGGCAGACACAGACCCTCTAGCGCAAGGTGGTGGACCTAACATGGCACTCCCTGATGCGTCGGACGATGGAGAAGGCACAGATGGGCCTATTGAGGACAATTATCTTGCTGGCAATCCTGTCATCACGACAAGCCCGGAGACCATCGCTGCGGAGAAGGAGGTCAAGGCCTTCGGTGAGACCTTCTGTCGAACAGAAGGTACTGATCCCGCGGAGCACAGGAACATCAAGGTTTTCTTCCTTGGTCTCTGGGACTGCGTCAACTCCGTCGCCATGGTTGAGCGAAGTGCCCCTGCCCCGGTGGAGATAACAGGAACAGCACATCACGTCCGTCACGCTGTGGCTGTAGACGAGCACCGTGTCAAGTTCAAACCAGCCCTCCTAGCCCAGGACATCAAGACCGTGATCAAAAAGGCCCAGACACCAAGCACCGACAGCAACGATATCAAAGTCGCGATCAAGGATACTAAAAAAGAGGTCAGCGAAAAGGAGGACATAAGAGAGGTCTGGTTCCCTGGTAACCACGGTGACGTCGGTGGAGGATGGCCTGCTATACCGAGAGAAATGACAGGCTGGGCGTACTGGAGATACGTTTTCGGCGGAACAAAGGTCAAGAATCTTGAAAAGCCTCTCGAAGATGATGCTCTGCAAATCAGCGACATGGCTCTCGAGTGGATGATTCGCGAGGTTGACATCGTTGGGAAACAACATCCCGGCTGTCAAGTAAACTGGTGTCATACACTAGACGCTTTCAAGGCTACCATGGCGATAACTGAAAAGGTTGAAGATCATGTCATCAAGGGATTCATGCACAACACCCTCAGATTTGGCTACGGCTCATCGTTTCTCAAGGTTTTTATGTGGAACCTCATTGGTGAGTCTCACTCTATCTCTCTTCGCAAGAGACCATGTTACTAAATCGATGCTAGAAACGCTCCCAGGTATTCCTCGCTGGGAACTGAATGACTCGAAGGAAGACACAATCCGTAACAGGGGATGGGAATTGTACAGAGGCATGCCGAACTGGTCGGGTCGTCGCGATATTCCCAGAGGAGCCGTGCTGCATAACTCTCTGAAGGAGCGACTCAAGAAGGTTGAAAGCTACAAGCCGCTGAACAACCACGGTTCAGGCGAACCCTGCTTGCGGAATTCCAAGGGTGTTGCTGAAATGAGAGACGTTACGTATAAGCGTTTTGATCCGAGTGGTAAGGAAATCAAGGCTCCTGAGTGGGATGCTAGGCACAAGATTTGGCAGTTTGAGGACTTTCACGCCCAGCTTGCTCAGCCTCGTATCTACTAAAGTACCCGGGGCTTAGCAGATTTAGATACGTTATTATTATAATCATTTTCTTGCCATATCACGATACGTCAGTTTAGTTCGACTCTGATACACAAGCCAGTCTTATATAATGAATTGGAACTGGCACTCCTGGGCTCTTTCCAAATTGACTGATAAACCGCGAAGAATTTGTCTTAAAAAAGGAGCCGAAATATTAACATTCCTAATCAGCGAGACTGGTGAAGCGGGGCGGGTCTTCAATTCAGCGTTGCAAGGGGGTTGAAAATACGCGGGGTTAGAGGAATGGTTGGATGAGAAAAAGTGCCCGCGAACTTGGTCGCCCAATTACAATCTCGGTCATCAGCCGCACCTGAGACGGGCGGCCTCCTTGTAAATCCTCTCAGTAGTTCACTTATTTTCTTGTTCCTCTCATAATTCACCCAAGAATGGAGAACCAAGGTGTGGCATTTGATGAAGAGCTTGATTCAGCCTCAGATCGCAAAGGCAAAGTCATCATCGACCAGGAAGCCCATGAGAGTATTCCCAATGGGACCCAGCTTGGGGACACTTTCTCAATCCGACGCAAAGTGGAATCCTTGAAGCATGGAGATATCTACGATGTGAACCATGTCGCGATGACCAAAGTCAACATGGAGACAAGATACCAAGCAAGAGCGTTCCAGACACACGGTCTCTTACCAAAAGTTGAAGCACATATTCGTCGTACAATCAGGCGGATGTCACAAAGAACGGTTCTTCGCACCACTTGGCGTCAGCTTGAGGTGGTTGTCTTCAAGGCAGAAAACCTGGACAGATCTGAGAGCAACAACCCTGTCCAAGCAAAGTCTGAAGGCCCAAGTTGCCCGCCACCATCTGAGCCAGCATCTCCAAAGAGGACAAAGAAGACATCGGCAACAAGGAAAGAGTCGGAACGACTTCGGCAGCAATCTCGCCGAAAGAGAAACGTCCAAAGAAAGCAAGCACAAAACATATCGCCTGAGGTCAAATTGATTCAAACTGAGCAAGGATTTGGTCTTGGCCTCCTTCTCGACATCGATCCAGATGATATCATCTTTCTTCATCGAATCAATCGTATAACCTCTTTCAGATCACTATGGACCTCCTGGGATCTCAAACAATATCTTGAAGCACGTCGTAAACGGACCGCACCGTCTGGCGTTGAGAGTTTGTCGGATATGATCAGGCACGAAGAAGTGTACCTTCATCGACAGAGGAATAAATTCACAGCAATCATGGAGAAATGCACGAAGTATATTTCAGAGAATCGGGACGCGAAAAATCACAGTCAAGGATTTATGCCAAGCGCGTCAATTTCTTTAAGCGCTCGGAAGACTTTATTTCTACTAGGTTCTCTCTGCCAGAATGAGCTCACAGCCACAAGTCTTAACTGCAAATTCCTACAGCGATATATGATTCTACTTTCTGGACTTGATGCACTGGATGCTATCCTTGTTTGGCCTGGAGAGACCGCTAGTATTAGTCGCCTGCGCTCAGTTAAGTAGATCTCAAAGAACAGCTTAGGGTTAATAAACTTGTAACTTTGAACTTAAGTCTTTTTAAAAAGAAATTAAAAAAAAAAGTCTGCTATAAGGCAATATTTAAAGAGAGGTAAATTACGAGAGATTTGCAATTTTTAATAAAAAAGACATCATAACTATAAAGAATTTCCCGAGCCTTTAAGTATCCGGACTAATATAATCTTTCCTTTCCTTATCCCTTTTTCCCTTGCTCTTCTTTTCCTTTAAGACCAGCCCATACATTCCCGCAAATCCAAGATCCCAAAAACTATAAAGACAACCGCGCTAACACATCCAGTGCAAAATTCGTACCAAGTCCATCAAAAGCATATCCAAGCGTAAAGGGACAGTTCCTTTTCCAATGCAGCAGACCTCGACCGATCTCAAATCGGAAGAGGGTATCCATAGCTATCCCATCAAGGGATGTTTCGGATTAAGAAGTCTTGCTTCTTGGGTCTTTCTGGTTGTTGAAAGAAAGATTTGTCGTTTCAGTCATCGGCGAGTGACTTGCCTGGGTCTTCACGACCTCTAGCAGACGAAGTGCTCGGGACCAGATTGACTGGATATGATCATTCATCATGTGACAATTGGGCTTAGATCCTCCGTATTCAAGACAGGACTTTCCATATTCCTTCCATTCGTTGCATTCCCAAAAACACCAGGCCGGTGTGGCAAATCCACCACCACCTATTGTCCATTGTAGTGCGCAGAGGTAAAAGTGAATAGTATACAACAGCGCAGGAGGGTATCTCCTTCTAGAACAAATCGCACCGTTGCGATGTGAAATCCGGGATAATAGGTTGCTGGTGTATTTCGAATTGCCACAAGTTGGCACTGACTCGTCAAATGCGTGCTCGACTTCGTGTGGAATCATCAAACCAGTGATGTTCTTCACATAGGCAGTCGTGCAGCATCACTTCTCAAGAGTTGCTTTCTTTTCAACTAACGTTGTTTGTTCTCTCTTTTATTCCTGTCTCCTCTTGGGTCGACCAGGGGGGCGCGATTTATCACATGTGCCGACGTGACTGGATAGCTCCTGGAAGCTCTCGACAGCATGTCCACATAAGCACGCGTACAGGCCAAGGCGGACGCGGCACTTTGGCGACTGAGCATGTGCGCGGAGGCGATCTGGTCGAAGAAACTGTTTCCCGCATCGGCATCGGTATCTTTCCAGCGAGTGCGCCGAGCTCCGAAGGTGGCGCTCGAAGTCAACTCGGCGGCTGAAGCGGCAGCTATGCTTTCCGCAGCTATAGGGCTTCGAGGAAGCAGAGATGCTTTGACAGTGCGAAACTCTATAATGGTCGGCTAGTGCAAATAGCTGATTGTAGGCCACGGAGCATATCTCGCAACTATACCGCGAAAGTGACAGTTGCGGGGTGGCTGGATTGCTGGCGCTCGCAAGCGTCGATGGCGATTGTGACGTGCCAGAATGGCTGCGGGAGAAAGATGGTGGTGATTGTGTTTCGTTCTCAGAGGGACTGAAAATGGTGACTTGAATGGGAGAAGAAGTAGATTGAGAAGTTGGCAGCATTTGAGGAGAGTCGTAGCCTTCTAGATTGCCAAGAGGGACGTCGCATTCGGCAATACCTGACGATTCATCGCACAAAGTATCGCGCAGTTTGGAGGTCTCCAACTCTTCATCTAGATAGGCTGCTATGGACGGAACGATGTTGAGTTCCCAGTCGAGATCGGGGGTGTCAGGCCCATTGTGATCTAGGTGATGATCATAGTGGTTACTCTGTATGTTAAGTGCGCCGGATCAACCGGCGCCTTAACAAGAGCGTTAGATGTTGAGGTGGATTGCGCTAGCTCACGAGAGCATCGATTTGATGGGATTGGGCAACGATTTCCTCGTCGCAAAAAGGTCAAGAAAGCAAAGCACAGTATTTTCAATAGAGAGTCATAGTAAACGGCACTTGATAACAGCCCGGAAGTTGTAAATACAGTCCAGTTTACAGCTGGATACGGAAAGTCAAGCGCGAAGCTCGCACTGAGGCGAATTGGCGGTAAGAAAAGAGGGAAAAGAAGGGAAAAAAAGAATGAGGCTGTGGGCGGTTTCTTAAACATGCCAGGTCTGTTCAGCTCGACCGTAGCGCCTGCGGCTGATGACATGTTGAGACACTGGGCACGTTTTCTGATTCGCTGTCACTTGTCTCCCTCCAACATGGTGGCTAGTCCTTCATGGGCACGTTTTTTGATTCGATGGTGGTTTCACCCCGCCACTCCCCTTTGAGAACGCCATACGCTAGGCCTAACAAACTTGGATGCTTACAGTTTCCCCTACCATGGCGGTGCTATGATAAGATACACTGTATGCCTTGTCTGTGGTTCTGTCGACTCGCTTATCTGGACCATGACGTATCGAAGAGGAGATCGAACAAGTTGCGCGGTCAGAAGAGGGTCTGCAGACCTGGGCAAGGGTCCAGCCAATCAAGAAAAGAGATGCGTCGCTCCCCCTTCCCCATCTTGTGAGTCTGAAAACCATGCAGAGATCCTTAGGTGAGATCAATGCGTTGGTACGGGCACTTTTTTTAAGTGGCCAAAATTACCGGCATATCATCAAAGACAACCTTGGAGCTTGCGGAGGCTAAACTAGGGCATCCAATGGGGAAAAGTGCCCATTGAAGTCTCCCATGAACTGGTATGATGAATTTGCCTTGGTGACTGAACGTCCAATCCGAAAACGTGCCCTAAAAGAGAAAGTCATTCATCGGCTATCATTTCCATATGGTATTACGGCATTAGGTGTATTCAAAGTTATCTGGTTGCACAAGTCAATTGCATCTTATTTAAACATACTTGCCGCGTGATACTGGTTTATCAATTCTTGATCTTTCTAAACACCATTCAACTCTATGTTCTACTCAAAGCCTTCTGCTTTTACACTGAATCCCAAGCGCCAAACCTCAAGCTTTGCTCATAGTAACCTACAAAGCCAAACGAGAGATTGAAACACAAGAATTAATTAAGGAGGTCTTAACATCTTCGTGTCATCGCTGTGACAAAAGGAGCCAAGATCATGGAGAACTTGGACAAGATAGGTTAGTCCTGGGCAACAAACAACAAAAGAGACTTCAACTGACAATATTAAACAGCAACACCAACGCACCGTATCACAAGCTACCAGATGCTTCAGTGGGCAACAGGGAATGGGAAGTCTGATCCTTGGAGTCCAGTCTCAAGTATTGCTGGGTTTCAGCCCACCGATATCACGCTCAGCATCAACTATACTGAGGCTCAGAAGGAGAGTACCAAAGCTACAGCTGACTCAACTACCAGTCTGAGGGAGGCTTGACGTAGCTATGAGGTTGAGAGGATAAGTTGGAGTGGGGCCTAAGCTCGGTCATGGATTAGAACGACATTTATCAGACTAGAGTTTTGAGCGTTATGATGACACGTTTATTACTTGGCCATATATTGCGATATGCGACTAGACGGCGCCTTGACCTTTGATCTTGATTTGAAACCAGAAACGCTATCGAGGCTCAAAGCGAGAATAAAAAGGCCTTTCATGCCATTTCTCCTCCCCTCTCCCTTCAACCCCCAGTCGTGACCACCATCACACCCAACAATTTCACGGACGTCCTGTTGCAGAAGGGATGCATCCGCTATCAATGTCGGCGAGTGCTCTGGGTCTAGCTTACCTAGCTGATCTTGTGTATCAAGCTTCATTTAAGTAAGTGAAAGGCTTAAAAGGAGCTCGTGAAGAGGTCCAGAATCGTGGCGAACCTCCTTAGTTTGAGTAGGACTAGCAAGAAGCACCCTGATGTTTGCGCGGCTTGCTTACTTTGCCATGGCTTCGGCCTTCTTAGGCTATTAATAGAGGCGCAGCTGTAGGCAAACTGGCGGATTACAACCCCTGTCAGAATTGGGGCGCAGCGTCATGATCATTCGAGCTTCCCCTCTTCCTCCAGGCAACCACGTCCGTAGTCTATCTCAACTTGTTCCTCAGCACCATCGAAAATAGCATACGAAATCATTTTAAATCAAACATTAGTTATACACAATTAAACCTGAAGCAGCAAGATGAGCAGCCGCCGAACTTCAGCTCTTCCAGGCTTCTCAACTCCGCAATGCCTTCCCCAAACCCCGACTACGAGGCTCCCAACTCGTAAAGTTCCTGACGCTAATAAACATGGGCATACTTCTCCTTACCATGGAAACCCTGGATCGGCAATCTCGAAGCCTACGTCGTCGCTACCATTTAGGTCTGTGCGGCCGGTCCAAGATGCCGATGGCGCAACCAGTTCCTACTTTGAGCACTCGAGCGGCAAGCGGATCAATACTGATCTCGTCTTTACCGCAGCTCTCAAGAAGCAATACCCTGAGCTTGAGCTTGTTGTAGTCCCAGGAGACGGCGACATTGGAGCCTCTTGTAACTTACTGGCTTTCGCAAGCGCCGGCTACGCTACCGTGACTCCAATTCGAGAGGAGGGTGAGTTGCCATCGTCGCTGGAATGGACGGTCTACTTGCCTCCCGCTCGTCGAATGGATGGCAATAAAGGAGGCTTGGCCGAGGCGCCCATCTTTGGCAAATTTCTTTACCAATGGGAGGGTGAGGAATTTCTCGTCTATCTGGCCGATGGTCGTGATGGGTCGAGTGCCTACCCAGAACTTAAGAACTACTACATCCTCACTGCCAATGTCTACAAAGCTGATCAACTTGTTCTCGCCGCCGGATCATGGGCAAGCGACCTGCATAATGAGGTCTGGGTCTTCGATCAGGGCTTTTTCACCAAAGATCGCGAGCTGTGGGAGAGTGCGCAGAAATCAACATGGGACGCAGTCATCCTGGACGAGGATATGAAGAAGTCGCTTATAAACGACCACATCTCATTCTTCGAGTCGAGGCAGACCTATGCACGTCTCGGCGTGCCATGGAAGCGGGGCATCATCTACCATGGCCCGCCTGGGAACGGAAAGACTATCAGCATCAAGGCTGCAATGCATATGCTGGCTGACAGAGCCCCTCCCATTCCTACCGTGTATGTACGTAGCCTGGAGTCGTGGATGGGACCCCAAGGCTCTCTTAACGAGATCTTTCAGAAGGCGAGGGAGTTTGCGCCCTGCTACTTGGTGTTTGAAGATATTGACTCTCTCGTTACACCTGACGTCAGGAGTTACTTTCTGAACGAGGTCGACGGCCTAAAGCAGAATGATGGCATATTCATTATCGCCAGCACCAACCATTTGGAACTACTAGACCCGGGAATCGCGGTATGTGTTTTAACTCTGGCCAATAAATCTACCCACTAATAAATTAGAAACGTCCGTCTCGATTCGACCGAAAGTACTACTTTCCCGATCCAAACATTGACCAACGAGAAGCATATTGCCACTTTTGGCAGAAGAAGCTTAAATCCAACAAAGACATCGAGTTTCCGGATAAGCTGTGCCGAGCCATCGCTGAGATCACCGACAAATTTAGCTTTGCCTACATCCAGGAGGCGTTTGTGGCAGCACTGTTGGCCATCGCTCGGCGATCAGAGAGCAAGCCAGTAGTAAGCGGCTCTGCAGAGGCTTGGGAGTTAGTTGGCGATGACTCTGGAGATGCTTTGACATCAGATAAAGGTGATCTGGACAGACTAGAGCTCTGGGTCGAAATAAAAAGGCAGATTAAGATCCTTCGCGAAGGAATGGAAGACGAAGAATAAGCGTTTTAGCAGTTGAATGATGCAACAGGCAGGAGGATATAGGAAGAGGGTGAAGTAGGGAAGACAGTATGTCATTCTTTCCTTTCTCTATATATTATACAATGGAACCACATAAGAAATAATATCTTAGCAAGAACTATTTGCGAAAGCCTTGCATCCGTGTCTCAAACTGTTTATGTTGACAAGCACTCAAGACTATTCATTTCCTGGTCACCCCAGCCGTGGGTTTAGGAGCAAGCCATTTAAGACGACCATTGCTATCAAGTCGGCATTGAGATGACGCACTTCGGGCTTGGTTGAGGTAACCGTACAATTCTGTTGCTTGGGCAGGCTGGCTCTGGGAGCTGTGTGTTGGGTTCTGGTTATGACACATAGGGGTCATGATGGCTTCAGGGGCGCGGGTGCCAGAAGTCGCTGGTAGAGGTGGCTGATAGGAATGGAAATTCGAGGTGGCCTGTTCGTGCTCATGCACCGGGGGCCATTGAGACAATGGATCGTTACCAGTAGTGGCCTGGTGTTGCGTACTAAATGAAGGGTTTGAAGAAGCGCTTCCGGTTAGTACTTGAGACTCATACATGTCATCATGTTGCCGACTATGATTGGGGTTTAACAGGATAGAGTCTGCTTGACCAGTGTTGTCTAAACGCTGAAGGTACTCTGCCGGATCGGTCAAGGTGTGATGAGAATCCAGATCATTATTCGTTCGGTGTTGACCACGATTCGCTACCGCAGAACTCAACGGCTGTTGTGAAGACGCACTGCCGTGGTTGGGGCCTGGATATTGCTGGGCATTATCCACCGTCAAAGGCTCCTCCTGCGGCTCGGTCTTGGGAATGGGGATCGCGACGGGTGTATCAGGCCATGGCTCACCACCCCCTGTTTCATCATCGCTTTCATCATCAATGACAATGATTTCTCGACCGGGGACACCTGTCACTTGTTCTTCGCGGGGGAATATTTCGGCTGTCGGTGGGTCATCGCTAAGGCTTCCTTGTGCGCCGTCGATATGAGGGCCTGAATAGAGATACAGTTAGTAGTGTCCTAACAGCTTACTTATCACGACTTACCTGCTTGATCACTACTGTTGTTCCTTGATGCAATATAGCCATCCACGACATCCTTGAACGGGATAGTAGCAACTCGGCGATCATATAACTGAAAGTCGCGTGCAGCAACCCAATAAACGCGGCATTGCCCCGGAAACACCTGGGCATCAAAAAACATGATGGGATACTTCCTCTTCGGGTAGGACTCTCCACCAGGGCGATATTGCGGAGCCCATTCGTATGACTCGTCGACATGGTTATATCGATAGCAAGATGGGACTTTCTTAATGAGCTCGGTGTCCTTGACAGTGAGCGATAGGTCTTTACCCAGGTTTCCGACATTACGCCAAGGCAGAACGAGAATGGCAAAGAATTTCTTTGTCTCACTCCAATAGGTGGTGTAAACTTCTCCAGGATGGGGATCAATCTCGGTGCGATTCTGGTTACTTCGCGTGGGAATGCTGTGAGCAACTGAGGGAGAAAGACTATTGACAGGCCGACCCATCTCAGAGTAAGAAGGTCTTCGCGCAACCTCGTTGTTTTCAGCAACGTTGTCGTCAGTGCAGTGAAGAACACGGGTCCCGAGAGCTCGAATGGCATCTTCGAAATTGACAGAAGTCTGGTTATGCTTCTTACCCCGAAGATGCTTGACGGCACCGCGAATGGGATGATTGTTGAAGTGTAGCCTGTGCTTCTTACACTCGAGGATATACCAGAACTCTCCATGCTTGACGATGACATATTTGGGCTCGGCATGGCCGTTTTGGTAGACTTGGTCGAACTCAATTGTTCTGTCGCCCGTAAGGGGCCCTTGTGCTATATCCGATCGAACGCGCTTCGTTGGACGGGTCGGGCGAGATTCGGGGGATCTCTGAGAGTCGACTGGTCTCTTTGAGGGACCTGACGGGGTATTCTGTTCGGGTCCGTGAGGTTCGTTCGGGCGGGTCGTCGGCTCGCCTGTATTTTCGGCGTTGGGACGGCTTGGTATAGAGTCGTTCGTGCTTGTCGGCTGGGTGAGAGGGTCTTGTGTAGGAGCAAAACACGAGGCAGTTGTGTCTTCGGGTTGATGCGTATCGACAGCGCCTGGTGTAGTGTTTGACTGAGCAGTGGTAGTTGGGAGAGGGCGGCCGACACGCCGAATCTTATCAAGGTCAGGGCCAAATAAGTCTAGAAGTTCATTAACACAGGACTCCTGCTTCTCCCAAATCTTTTCCTGATATTGTTGCTCTTTTTGTTCCTTGGTATCTTCATGTAGCGTCATGAGCTCTTTGATGCGGGCAAGGCAGCCCATAGTCTCATCGATTGTTGATTTGTCGAACGAGTTTTGTGACGATTGTGTTAGGCTGTTGAACGAATCTTGAGCTATCTTGAATTTTTCTTGGTACTCTTGCTCTGGTGATTTCACAGGATGAATTTGGGGTGTCCATCGCGCTATCCATTCCTGCAGTGCGGGCATCCGCTCCGAAGGTTGCACCGAATGGCCTTCCATTTCAGGCGGCTTTGGGGACTGTTCACGCTATGCAGAGCTGGGTTAGCCAGTAACTAAGGCCGCTTAGTATCTCAGTCAACGAGACAATAGCATGTATGTTACCAACGGCGCTCTAGAGGGCTGGTGACGTGGCAATGGGCCACTAATCAATAGAATCAATTGTCCACAGCATATACCAGTAGATGAAAAGAATGAAAAGGAGAGAAGGGGTTTATTTATTTTTTCTTCTGATATGACAGCCTGATCCCGCCCGTGTCCGATCAAAATAGCAACAGACAAGGATAATGCACACCAGCCAATAATGAAGTATATTTCCATCCTGGTACCAACAGTTCTTCCACAATGTGGCTTGATAAGAAGAGTTTAGATCCGTTGCCTCTTTGCTTACAACGTGAAGGTGTTGGCGGACCATTAAGTCACGTCTAATGGAACACCGCGACGAAAGGCACACCCCTCAGTCAACCAATCATTCAACTAACAGTTCAACCAATCAGCAAACGAACTGTTCTACCAATCAGTGAACTGATCAGTGAGCCAATCAGCAAACCAACCCCCGGGGTAACAAAGAACGCAACAATTGATTTGATAGCAGATGGGCGTTAACGATTCTGATGTTTTTGAAACCACCCCTTAGACCAGCCAATCAGTCAATCAGTAAACCAATCAGTAAGCTGACCCCAGGGTAACAGTTAAAAAACCAATCAGTACAGAGTAAGCCAGTCAGTAAATGAACCCCCGGGTAACAACCGGTAAACCAATCAGTGAACCAGTCAGTGAACCAACCCCTGGGGTAATAAAAACTACGAGAATCGGCTTGGTGGCAGATGGGCGTATTTAGGGTAAGCGATTATGATAATTTTTAAAGCTACCCCCGACACCGTCCAGTCAATCAATCAGTCAGTCTCTCTAGCTGTCTCTGGGAAAAGGTCTATCTAGAGCCATTGGAAAAGGATTCGCCTCGCCAGGTCCCTTAAGGGCCAGCTAACTGAATGCGTGCATTGTTTCTTACATATACTTGTTGCTTGCAGTGCCGTTTACAGCTATACTTGAGGCCCTACTCCGCCCTGACTTTAGACACGCTGAGGTGGAGTATCAAACCAGGGCGTTTACTCACCCCGAGCGACTACAGCCTCTAAAGGCGGTCATGAACGAATTTGCCTCAAATACCTGCTGTAAATATTGTAGATGTGAGTATCGTCCCCACCAACAGTAACAATCTTGCCGCCAGCGCCAGTGGATGCACCAGTGATGTCGTTATTTCACTCAATTACCATGTCATTGGAAACACCATCTCTCATTGCTCGATTACCAGCCTTTCCGATACCCACAATAGTACCGCTTGTAGGGAAGGAAAGAAGACTCGGACCTTGACCCTAAGCGGTGATGATATTTAGACAATCTAGCCTAAGCTTAGGGGACTCTTTGCTAAGTTTATTTTAACGCCCTAATGTCAATGATCGGTGTTTTCTTGCCCCCTGAAGCGCCTGTAATTTCGCCATTGCACAGAGGGTTTATCCACTGCGAGAAGCTGGGTTAGCGCAAAATATAGTGGATGCAGCTCAGGTGTTGAACCTGCCCCCGACGCTCAGCTCGCTAAGCAAGTTGCAGTGCAGTTACAGAGCTGGCAGAACTGAAATACGGTTGACAAATTCATAACGAAGAGAGTAGTGCGATTGACCCGAAACAATTAATAAACAATCTAAAACTAAAACTACCGCGACCAAAGGTCGTCAAGCAAAAAGACAAAGAAGAGAAGTAACAGGGTACACCGTTCTAACCATTCTAATATAATCCTTCCATCCCTTTCTAATCCATCCGCTCTAAGACTCAGCCTTCTTGGTAGCCTTGGTTCTGAGCTTCATCATGACATACACAAGCCCATAGAAACCAATCACAAACGCGACAACAATACCAGCGTTTCTCCAGCCGTAGTATTCTTCCTTGAGGTTCAATGTTCGGAGGTAATCCGCCCCCGAGGTGTATTGACAGACTTGACAATCGGCGAATGCATCCGGGTTGAGGAGGTTGGTGGCGACGCCCATACCGTTCTGATAGTCGGAGAGGTAGTCTCCGCAGGTGGTGTTTGATGGAGGGTCGAAGACGGCGAGTTCGTGGGGTTTGCAGTGAACGGGCTTGTCCCAGGTTGTGAACACGAGGAGCGAACTCATGAGGTAGTTGAAGGGATCGATGTAGTACATCCTGTGGTTCAAGTCAGATGGTGATGTCGGGATGTCATGGGAGTGTCTTCCACTTACCAGTATCGCCAGAATTCTACAATCTGGCTGTAAGGAATCATAACACCGCAGAAAGAGACGAGAGTGGTGATGACCAGAGGATTAACAAGCGATGCAAAGACGGCGTTGGGAGTGTATGCAGCGATCGCCTGGCCGATGCCAGTATACAAGCCTTCATACATGAGCTGTAGACATGTTAGCTTCAGTACTCAAGATACAGGAGAGAAAGAAGAACTTACCGCGACAAAGAAGACACTACCGGCATGTTCAGCACCAGTCGGTAGCCCAGCAGTGAAATACCAGCAAACGAAATATAACACGGCACAAACCAGCAGATACGGCAACTCAGACACAATCAAGCCCGTGACGAACGGCGCCCAGTGATACATCTTGCTCTTCTTCTCCCTCGCCTCATAGATATCTCTGCGATCGATAAACAGCGGCTGCAGCTGCGCGATAATACCCGGCGCGATGAAGATAAAGTTGAACACGGTGAATAGGTTCTGCTGCAGGTCCGTCAAGCTATCGCCGATCTGCCAGAAGGTGAAACCGTTGAGGAGCGGGAGGAGGATGTGCATGGCGATTTTGTTGTCGACGTACTCTGTGTTGCGGAAGAGGGAGATGTTCATTCGGTGCGTTACGAGCTTGACTTGCGTCCACATTGAAGCAGCGAATTCGTTGCCGTCGTCGGTGGTGCTGGAGGGTTGGGATGCTGCTACTTCGATCATGTGGTCTAGGTCCTTGCTGAGTTGGTCATGTTCCGGCGACTGCAGCCAAACTTGGTTCCAGTCTGTGTCCTTGTATGGGCCATCTTCGCCGGATACAACGTCGATCATATGTTCAGCGGGATTAGCCTCGGGTGGACAAGGAGCGCCATGACGGCCGAAATAATCCTTGATAGTAGCTGCGTTGTCACCGATATCGCCGAAATACACAGTCTTGCCACCTTTGGTAAGCAGCAACAGCGTGTCGAACTGCGCAAATAACTGTGCAGAAGGTTGATGGATCGTCACCAGGATAGCCTGTCCGGCAGCTGAGAGCTTACGAAGGAAGCGCACCGTGTTGTAAGCAGCTTGCCCATCGAGTCCAGATGTCGGTTCATCAAGAAAAATGAGAATACTAGGCTTTGCGACCAGCTCAACAGCGATGGTGAGACGCTTTCGCTGTTCAATTGACAAGCCGTTACCGGGACGACCAACGAGTGTATGTTCGAGGTCATTCAGCTCAAGGAGATCAACGATGGTATCGACGTAGCGCAACTTCTCTTCGGTGGGTACATCGCGAGATTGGCGTAAGAGGGCAGAGAATTCGAGGGCTTCACGGACAGTTGCGAGAGGCTCGTGGATATCGAGTTGCTCGACATACCCAGCTGATCGTTGGAAGGACACGGGAATAGGTCGGCCATCGACTAGGACTGATCCGTGGATTGTTCCTTCGGTTTTGCGCTGGGCGAGAACATCAAGAAGGGTTGTTTTACCGGCACCTGAAGAGCCCATCAATGCACCAAGCATACCGGGTTTAACGTAGCCTTGGACGTTATCAAGAAGCACTCGGTCACCATCGGAGGTCTTGACGGTATACGTCAAGTTCTTCCAGGTAAAGATACTCTTATTGCGCATGAGATTCGGGTCAACCTCGCCATCAGAAGCTCCAGCTCCATTGTCGGCACGGGTCTTTTCCGATGGTGTTTCGCTGTCCTTGGAGGGGAGGAGATGCTTGGACTTGTGCTGCTGTTCCCGAGGAATGAGAAGGCTTCGACTTCCCTCTCCGACTTGCTTCCATCGCGAAGTGAAGAAGATGGTGAGACCGACGTAGAAGACCCACCATGCGCAGTTGATGCCAAAGTTGCGCCAGATATGGCTGTGGCTGAACGACATGTTGGAGAGGTAAGCGTCGCCCGTGACGAATGCAGCTCCGGGTTCAGCACCACCAACACCAGCACAGGCTTGTCCACCAGGACCTCCGACATATCCAGGGCCGTTGGGAACGAGGTAAGGGCCAACGCAGGGAATCTCTTGATCGTGGAACTCGTTCCCGAGAAGAGCCTCGAAGCCGTAGGCCATGGGATTGATCCAGAAGATCCACGACAACCAGGGATGCATCTCGGGCTTGATGATCATGTATCCCATGTAAACAAACAACGCAACGACAGAAAGACCAGAGACTTTGGTAGCGGCGTCAAAGGTTGGGAATGCAGCGCCGATGAAGCGGAAGAAAGCCGTCATTGCCAAGGCGGTAACGTAGTTGTTGACGAGATATGTGAAGAACGCAGCAGCAGTAGTCTTGAGACCGACGAGGAAGTAGAGAACAAGACCGAACTGAGTGACCTGGAAAGCCAAAATGGGCAGATCAGCGACGACTTGCGCAATGCAAAAAGCTGCAGGGTCATAGAGTGCAAAAGACCGATGTTTCGCAAGGATAGGTCGTCCAGTGAACGAATCAGTCACTTCTGACAACGCCAAAAGTGAATTGTACAGAATTGAGAAGAACAACGCACCGCCCTTGAGAAACAAGCCAGCAGAGTTATCAGGTGCATTGTAGAACAGCGATCCGCCCAGAAAAGCCTGGATGAGAGTCGCGCCCTGCTTCATGAAGAGAGTTGACTTGTCACCCCACATGATCTGGTACTGCCGAGTAACAGCAGCTTTGATCTGCTGGGCGAGGTTGGCCGTGACGGGTGATGAGGCGGTGACGTAGCGTTGCTTCTCGCGGGCGACCATCTCCTTGAAGATTGCTGTGTTCTCAGCTGCTTCGGTGCTGATGGGGTAGGCTTGACACTCCTCGATCATACGAGCTTTGATGGCTGATCTGTCGTATGCAGCGCGTACACCATCTGCGTCGCGGGGGAAGGTATTCTCATACCCCTCCGCAATACGCCTCTCGGTGGAAACAGTGACACCAGTGAGAAAATCTCCACGATTCGAGCCCGAGTCCCTGACGAAGCCAAGATCTTCCATGAAGGGAACAGCATCTTTCTGAGGACCATAAAAGATCTGTTTCCCCTCATCAAGAACAAGGACCTTATCAAAATGCTCGTAAATCCCATTACCAGCCTGATACAGCGTGACAATAGTAGTCAACCCCAGAATATCCGTCATGGCGCGTATAGCACGCACCCACTCAAGCGCAGTACTCGCATCAAGACCGCGCGTAGAGTTATCCCAGCAGAACACACTAGCCCGCGTGGTAAGACACTCGACGATAGACACGCGTTTGCGCTCACCGCCAGACACACCGCGGATAAAAGCGTCGCCGACTTTTGTATGTTTCGTGTGGGATATGTTGACGGAGCGGAGGAGGAAGTCTTTGTAGAACTGGGCGTATTCTTCGCGGGTCTTTATGCCGGGGGGTAAGTGGAAGGGGACTTTCATGCGCGCGGCGAAGTCGACGGTTGCTTCGACTGTGAGGCTGGGGAAGAAGATCTCGTCTTCGGTGTTCATTATGATTTGGCCGCGGTAGGCTTTTGCTTCGGAGGCGGTCATGTTGCCGTAGTGAACGTCGCCGGTGACTTCTTCGTATCCGAGACGGTTGTTTGCTAGGACGCTGAGGAGGGTGGTGCATCCGCTCCCGGGGCGTCCGAGGACAAGCAACATTTCACCAGGCTTGACACACCCGGAAGAGTTATCAATGATAGTCTTCATGGGAGCGTCTTTAGCGCTCTTGTGAAAAGGGTAGAGTTGGGACAGGACGTTTTCGTTGAAAGCGGCGTCGGCGCCTATGCCTTTGACGGTAAGGTTTTGCCAGGTGACGCCGAGTTTGCGGGGCTTTTGTCCAATTTCTTCATCGGCGTCGCGCATGGCTTGGAGCTCGGGTGCGAGATGCCATTGTGTTGTTGTGTTGGTCTTTTCGAGGGGAGGTTTGTCGACTAGACCTGGGGGAGGTTGTTCAGTGGCTGTGATGGAGCCATCCTCAGTGGTGGATGAGCTGATGCTCATTTTGACAGTCTATAATTAAGAAAAATGGAAAAGTAGTAATTAGAGAGCGATACAAATCAATTGAGTGATAGAGAACGTAATGGAACGAAAAGTGAGCGTGATATAACAGCGACAGAAACGTCTTCATTTACACAAGCTAACAACTCTATTTCTTCACGATCAAAGCGTCATTAACTTAACCGACTAAACCTCCAAAAACCCTCCGGAGTCAGATACGGAGACTAGAACAATTTCTCAGCAATCGAAAAAGAAAAAACCCTGCGGAAACGCCATTCATATCAGGAGCGAGGAGTCCGGCCGTCTCCCTCATGGCATGTCCCAGAGCTAAACCTCTTGCGGCCACACAAGCGAGTCCGAAGCGATCGGCAGGCCAATGCGAGCACGGCAGTTCTCCTCGAGCGGAACTGTTAGTAAACGCTGTCCGAGTCGGAGAGTATACTAATCACCTGTTCCCCCCAACGGGTTTAGCTTGCGTTGTGGTGTGAAACCGTCCGCGGAGGGTTTTGTATATAGAGGTGGTGCTCGCAACGGACTTTGTTTCTGTCCTTCGATCCGACAGCCAATTCAATCCAATTTTTACTACTGCTTGCAGACAAAGCTCCGCACCGTGTTCACAATGGGCGCCGCAGCACCGCATCCTTCTCAGAGACGATTTTCGTGTGACGTCTGTAGGAAGAGCAAGTCGCGATGTCAGCGGATACGACCGACCGATGAGAAATGTGCAAGATGTTCGATGCTGGGAGTCAAGTGCGAGATAGGACAGCAAAAGGTCCCAGGGAGGCCGCGACGAAAACAAGCTGGGAAAGGCTCACCGCCGACTGCGCAGCCATTGCCTGTTGGTAAACCAGTCTCTCCTAATGCTGTAGCGCAAAATACTGCTTTCGTTGATGATTGGAGTCCGTTTGACTGGACGGGCTTGCTATCGCCCAAACAATCCCCTCCTCAAGTGTCTGCCACAGCGATACAGGATGGAATGGCAGCATCGTGGGGCATGGGCTTCACAGACATCTTCGACCAGTCGACCACGTCATGGAATACAGGCGGTGATCTCGAATACACAAATACTCCATTATACACTGAGCTCGACGCCATCACGAACGTATACCCAATCGGCACGTCTCCGAACTCCATCACATACGAGACCTTCTTCCCTTTGACCAACTGCCTTACAACACATCACCCACGAAAGATAGACCCTGGGGAGTTCATGTCCGACCTATCCACCATCAATCTCGGCCTGCATATGCGTCTCGAAGCAATGAAGAAGACCAAGACGTCGCTCAACTTTGACCTCATGATCTACCAACACGGCCCGTTATTCATCGACAACATCACCTTGGCAGAGTACATCATTACAGTGGCTCAAGAGTACCTGTTTATCTTAACGAAGCTCTACAATATCCGATACTGCCCTGAACTGTTACGTGACTCACAACCGATGGAGTTAATCTGTCCATGCCATTTGTCCTCAGATCTACGGCAACACTCAAAGAATCTCTTTGACGTCGCCCTTCCTCAACCTACCGTTGCATCAGAACCATTGCCTGCCCCAATCTCCCTGATGATCACTAGTATCTTCATCCAGCTCATCACCATCTACGAACTTATTCTCGATAACATTGCTACACGAGTGGAGCGAATTGCCGTCGATCCGATCGAGCCCGTTCCGGGCCTTATAGTCTGCGGTCGACCTCTTGAGAGACCTTGTACACAGGGTATGATCTTCTGTGAGGTGTCGGTGAGTCTGATTGAAAATATTGAGCGTGTTCTGGGTGTTGGGAGGGGAGCAGAGGGCAAGGAAGTCGGGTTGTTGTCGCCTAGACAGGTTTGCGTTCTTGGGAACGAGTTGGATGAAAGACGTCGCGTCATTCCTGATCATGCTATGATGACGCCTGCTATGCTACGGAAGCTGCTTGGAAAGGTTGCGGATATCTTTAGAAGTATTAGAGTCTAGTCTGGTCACTTAGATTGTACTTGCGAATCCATTATTGTTCGACTTGAGATTGTCGTTTTACTTTAGTATTATTACAAGCAGCTATCTTAGGAAGGGAAACTCAGAACTTGAATTATAAATAATACAAAGACTTATATAACTTGGTATCAGTTTGGCATAAGTTTAGCATATCTTTTGCTGAGCTTAGCTTGACACCTCATATGGACGGATGTTCTCTTGCTCCCTGAGGGCTGCAAACCTTCTAACGAGATGTAAACCTCTACTCATAAGGGATCCCTGACGATGTTCCATGATTATCCTTGTCCTCTTCTTGGCTCGATGTGATTGCCAGATATGGTTCTTCTTCAGTGCCAGCTCTTCAGAATAGGAACAGTAAATGAAATATTATTATTATAAGTTAAGAATCACCTCTAATCGCGACCGGTATCTAACTAGACTTTGGCAGACTGCCCTGGCCCTTCTTATAAATTGCCTTCTTCACATCCTTGGTAAGACCAACGCCTCCTTCAGAGATCCCATCAAAGATCTTTCTCCATCCAATGGCATTGAGAAGCCAAATAACATACGCATTCGCTCCCCGCCAAATATACTCACCCTTGCTCAAAGCCGTCTTGTGCTTCAAAACATCCTTCACAACCGCCCGTGCGAACTCCTCGGGCTTGGTACCATTCTTGAGATGAAGTCGCGATCTCTCGTGAAGACCTTCCTCGGTATCAATGTAGATACTGTCAGGGGAAAGGATCTTCTTGTCAGGCGATAGGAGATTTGTAGCGACTACTCCCATGTACAGAGTGATGACCTTGATGCCTAGGGGGGCGAGTTCAAGACGTAGAGTGTCAGAGTAAGAGGCTACTGCTGCTTTAGTAGCGTTGTACTGGGCGGAGAAGTAGTAAGGCAAACGCGCAAGGACCGAGGCTGTGTTGATGATGATGGGTGGTGTTTTTGAGTCGGCGACAGATGCGAGAAGGAGTGGAGTGAAGGCCTGGACCATGTCGAAGAGACCAAAAACGTTGGTGTTGAACATGTTCTGAACTTGATCTCTGTCGGCTTCAATGGCGGGGGCCTCGTACACTGCAAGAGTCAGTCATCATTCTCACCACCAATCAACACAGTGGACTTACTCATTCCAGCATTGTTAAACAGAATATCCAACTTTCCTCCCGTTCGCTTTATGATCTCATCCTTGAGAGCAGATATACTCTCCGGCTTAGTCACGTCAAGTGTCAGAAGCTCGATGCCCTTTTCTTGAAGACCTGTAAGGGACTTAGTGGATCGAGCTGTCGCAAAGACTCGATAGCCTTTGGCTGCGAATTCTAGAGCGAGGGCGTGACCGGCTCCGCCTTCGGAGCAGCTACAAGCATGTCAGTAAGTCTCGATCTGCATGCAATGTCAATCGTAGTGGAGCGAACCCAGTAATTAGAGCTGTCGGCTTGTTGGACATTATGGGGTATTCGCAGAGTGGTGTTATTAGGTTCAGTGCAAACAACGTTTGTGGTTCAGTGGATTGCGTATGCTGTAGGTATTAATTGCAATGTGTATTATGGAGCTATGGCTAGAATCTCAATAACATTGTCTCTTTATAAACCTCCTGCGCAATCTGGTGGTTGGTCATCATTCAGCGATAGATAACCATTCCCTTCTCTCCTCGGAGGCTTTAGTAATATTACAAACTGTTGCTTGACTCTCAAGACGCTTGCGGGCGTAGGGAGACTTGCCGAAACTCAATTACAATGCGGAGTCTGCGGGCATTGCGACGGAAAATGCGGTCATTTCGGGTTTTCTGGCGGAGAACGCATCGGTAGTTTGTTGATTAGTGAACAGTCCGACATGTCAAAGCTGCGCCGGGGCATTAGTAATTTAAGCTGGTGCTGTTAAAACTTTATGACAAACCGGACAAATAATTATTCCTTGTCTCTATTTCACGTCTTGCTGATTGTTATAAGAAGACACTTTTGTCCAGTTTTGCCTGACACTCGAGGGGAGGAAAGAAATCTCGGGACCTTATCTTAAGTAGCATAAGTTTAGTACAAGTTCAGGGTAAGCTAGTATAGACTTATGATAACCTTTGCTAAGTTTATTTTGACGCTCTGTATTGAAGTCTGATGTTTTCTTTCCTTGAGGACACTGAAACTCTGCTGTGTATATTCTCAGAACATAAAGATGACAACAGGTGTTACACTAAGAAGAAAAAGAAAAAGCATGAGTGCTGAGAAGAAGTCGTCAGCATAACGCATCACAGAGCAGTTATAGAAGCATAGGTCAGATTTCACACTGATACAGTCGTTACAATGGTAAATACCAAGGTGGACTGGCCCCCAATGCTCTGCATCCAATGCAGTCCTATCTTACACACACACGAACTCTGTAGCCTTTCAGATTTGAAGAAATCGTGGGTCACAGTCCTCCTTCGGTGCATAATGTGACCTAATATTGCACACTAGTGTGACGTGAGCAAGATCCTGTGGGTTGCAAGGATGAGGAGTATCCTGCACTGTAAGAGACATGTCACATTGTCCTATCAGGCTGTCTATCTGGCCGGGCGAAGGATGCAAACGCCACATTCAATATTTGGTGCAGCTGCACCTTTTCGCGGAGAATGACCGACACTTTCAACCTGTTTATGCAAAGGGCTTGAAACAATATTGCGTGTTTTCATCGCATTGGGTAGCCTTCAGAAGGGCATTCCGTCACTTTCGATCTAAGTATGCTACATTGAGTGTCTTGCGCATATATCAATCCTGCGCAGTTATTCCATCTTCTACTTTTAATTGTTCTCAGACTTGGGATTCTGGTTAAACTCTGCGAACTTCAGTCCATAATCTCCCAGCGCTTACTTCCCAAGCCCAGTATGTGTCTCTTTCCCTCCTGCGTCTGCCTGCTAACCTGTAGCAGAGCATCAAACTATGTGCTACCAGACCAAGACTGTCGAAGTCTGCGCCAAATGCGGGAGCACCAGCATTGGTAGCTATGAACCTATCACGCCATGCGGTCGGCGTGGACGCGGCCCTTTAACCCAGATTGATGACAACACGGAAGAGCCGTGCCGCGGAGTTGAGGTTGATGTAGAGGAAGTGTCTATCGATTTGTGTCATAACTGCCGTATCTTGGAGGAGCTGGAGGCTCGAGAGCGGGAGCGGCAGCAGAACAATGATACTGATGATGAAGACATGGAAGAGGTCTATATTCCCTAGCCACTGCCTATTTTAGCATGTCTCTTTACTCCAGGCAGAATTACCAGAACCCGAGAACCTCAGAAGAGTTGTACAGCCTTGACTGACAGTAAATGCTTCTACTTGTACAATTACATCATGCGCCTCTTCCACAAGGGTGGAAAACAAGCCATCGTGTCTCTATAGAGAACCGGTCGAATTTTGCCACTCAACTACCAGGTATCTCACCTTCAAAGCAACTTTTTGAAGAGTAGACATACCATCGGTGTGGCTGGTGGCTGTGACAGATGTCATGGTTGCAAACCTTGTTGCCAGTGGCGCCAAGATGCAACGCTAGATCTGATAACTAACCAGATCCAGCCTTGAATTCCACGAATTCGGGATCATGAGGCCACGCATGAATCAGACACCTCGTCATTGTTTGGCATTAAAAGTAATGAGCCGCCAAAATTGCAGTGATGGCCACTTTCCCCTTCTCTCTTCTTCTGTTGTCATCTGAGTTTCGTTTTAAATCTCGCTTATACTTCGCCATCATGGATTTTGAAGATACCAGAGCACGTATAGTGCAGTACGATCACCTGCCCTGAGGTTTGAGATCATAGTTGACGGAATCAATAGAGCCCGCGAATCCGGCGAATTCACAGACTTTACTTTTGCGTGCAATGGGAGAAATATTGAGGTTCACAAAATCATCATTTGCAGCCAGTCTCCGGTCTTTCGTGCAGCGTGCGCTGGTCAGTTCAAGGTACAGAAATTTGATTCACCATACGACCCCAATAGGTGTTCTGATAGACTTCTAGGAAGCATTCTCTGGAACATATGATTTAACTTCACATCAGCCTGATATGGTACAACTCATGGTCGACTACCTATATACGGGCGACTATTCTATCGACATGAACGAGATCGACGAAACAGATACTACATCAAATTCCGGGGCTGTCTCGACACACGCGATAATGTATGCCCTGGGGGATGAATACGACATCAAAGGGCTCAGAGATCTTTCCGCTCGAAAATACTCATGGTCCTTGGATGAGAGCCTAGAACTCGACGAGTTTCTTAATTCCATACCCTTCGTATACACCTTGACTCCCGATAGCTCAAGAGGTCTGCGGGACCCGGCATTGGAGTTTGCAAGGAACAAGCTACGCGATGCGGGTAGACAATCCGATATCCGCGGTGCGCTTGACGAGTTACTCATTGAGTGTCCCGAGTTCTTGAAGGAGCTCTTGTACTACTGTGTTCAAGCTCCATCCTTTGGGTACTGTCCCTGCACTGGTCCACGGGATAAAGTGCCAGTTGAGGCTGAAGGATATCGTTGCAAAGAGTGTGGCAAAGAAGGTGCAAGCCTCAGCAGACCTGTCTAGCTAATGCAGTACAGTAGTCAAAAACAGCATGAGACTTAAAGATAGAAATCTTTATATCAAGTAAGATAATATAGTCACATATGCAATTCAAACTCAAGATTCTACAATATGAGCAGTTATCGCACTACGCCTATATCAATAGTGCTAAAGTAGTTCTTAGCAATTCGCTGCCATTTTAAACGCTATGGGTAAGACTTCTAGCCAAGCTCATAGGTTGAGGAAATGTTAGGTGGTATAATATCCAAGTTGTGAGCTAGATGTGTTATTTGCAGTTAAGACTTGTAGCTAAGAGCTTACTCTGTTAGTGGGGGCTATACAGCCTATACAGCAGTACTAAGCGTAGCGCTCAGTACCATCAAACTTGGGCTGGACTGCTATGTAATAACCATGAGTGCCCGGGTACTTGTGAACAACATCGCGCAAAAACGAACATAGGCGGGGACACTCAATTTACTAGATGACAAACAGAAGGCAACCACGATTGACAAGAAACTCCTCCACGTAATCCTATCTTCTGTCCCTAACCATGTTGAATGATTCGGTGGTTTCCTCCCAGTGAACTACTTATATAAGACACATCCTGGCTGGGACCCTTCATGGAAACCCACTCAGCTTCTGGTGAATTGCAGGCAATGAAACTTTGACATAAAGACTGCCTTGATAGACCGCGATGCAGCTCAGTGGAACGAGTCTGCAATGCGTTTGCAGAAGGCATCAAACCCCTTTGCGTCTTGATCGAGAGACGAACACGTCTCGAGATCATCACTTGTCTCCTCTTCCTTTTGGGGAACGACTCGGGATACTGTTTTATTGTCGACGTCATATTTTAGGATCATGAAGCTCTTGCCGCAAGCAAACATCCCATGCGTAGATTTCTCATTCTTGTGTTTCTCTTCGTGGTTGGACCATGATAGGCTTGGGACGTAACCAGCGGCTTGGGCAATCCCACCTTGGATTGTGGAGTCCTTACTGATATGGTAAGGAGCTTTGCCTTCGAAAGTGAAGACGGGATGCCACTCTTTCTTGGTTTTATCCACGAAGAATATTGTGAGATCAGGGCGCTTTCTTGTGGTCTGTCTTTGTTCCGGGGCGATGATGAATTTTGGAAATGGGAAGTTTCTTCGAAGAATCTCGTTCCAGACGCCGTTGGAGACGGCTTCACTTGTACTGGTGCTTTTATTCTGGTTGACGTAATCGATGGCGATTTTCCATGTCGAGTCTTGCATAACTACTTCTGCCATTATTCTAAGTGGTCTGTGACGAAAGCAGAAGATTGAAACGGGTAAGAATGTGAATGGGGGAAGGAATCGCGTTGATGATGTGAAAAGAAGAATGTCGATGCAGTTCGAAAATTACAGAGCGAAATGAGTCCCCGGCTTTATAGCTAACGCACCTCGCTTGCAGGTCTCATCTATGCATTCTCTAATTTTGATCACGGAGTTCAGCTTTCGCTACCTTGATCCGCGTGTGCTTGTCGCCGAGCTGGCTAACGGCCAACAAATTCAGTGGCTGGCAGGTACAACTACCTCACTCTATCAAGCGGTTGCCGGAGCCTGTTCCGCGCGCAAGCCCTTTCAGGTCAGGTCCACTCATAGGCAATCTACCCCATGATTTGTCTCAACACCTTTCTGGATGCGGTAAACTCTTCAGAGTGCATCGCTGAGGTATGGTTTGGTTCATCATCGTTGGGAAAATAATCTAGCAGTCGTCGTAAGCGCCCGGCTGAACAGGCAATAAAGGGATAGACCAACATTCAAGACAATAAGCAGCGAGCGCACAAAGTTGTGGAGGAGCATCCAGGAAATCCATCGGTCGTGGTGAACTGAGACATGCGCCACGGGGGTTGTCACATATGCTTGCCCGTTCCGAAAGCACCCGGACGGCAGCCTGTATTTGCATGTCAACAGCACACCAGGTCCTTCAGCCAGCCACAATCACCACTGCTGACCCTTGTCTCCTCGTTAAAGAGTGCCTATTTAGGACCGAGTATATTGAGCGCTCCAAACAGGTCAATTCAGCTCGCCACCATGCAGCCCTGTTTGTATGGAAGATTTAACATGCCAATACGAAACTCGTGTAGAAACACTGCCACTCTCTTGGCACGTAGCACGAAGTAAGCCAGTTGCTGCATCGAGATACTGATGTACTGAAAATAGTGCAGGTACTCGCCACTTCGAGTACAACAAGTCCGGACAGTATTCAGCTCAGTTACACAAAATCCCGCTAGTTCAAACGGCTGAGGCAAATCAATATCACATCTCGTAATCAGGGCCACCAAAATCAGAAAGGCCATCACGTCTTAGAAGCGGGATAGCTATTGTCAAGACAAGGGATCTGAGAGCCGCATTGCCTCCCTCGCCTCTATCACTTCTTCACTGGGTCATGGGGGGAAACATGGGGGAATTTAGACGACGTACACTTGAATGTGAGGCAATCACCTTCCGTAAGAAGGCCGAAAGTGGCATCACAGCTAGCCACGATCAAGGGGCTATTTACCCCGAGAAGGTCAGATAGTTCATCACATCCTAAGACTTGCATAGAACATGAGCCCATAATCGGTTGCATGGTATGCTCTAAAGAAACATCAACAGCCGGAAGGGCACATTCCCGAGACAGACCAAGCCTGTGAATGTAGCCCAGGCTTTTTTATCACAATCCATCACAACATTGTTAGCATAGACCTGAGGACAACCCTGAACAGTTCTTTCGGAAGCGAGGGAATGACTCCAAGATATTCTAAGCTTATCCAAGCGAAATGAAGCAAGCTTCCTGCCGAAAGGCCCAGCTCTCAAGCAATGATGAACAGTCTTGTTATGAAGTTGGTCATGCAATTCGGCATATAAAACCTAGATGTCGAGTCTTTCCATTTTGATCACCAATGCATGCTCCAACGGATCTAGTACATAGTCTACCACATTTGCAAACACTATTCTCGGCAAGCCAGAAAGTGCTTGTCATTGGAACAACAATGAGCGTAATAAATAGCTGAGGTTTGCTACGCAATTGAAATCAGACATAACCAAGTGGTCATCGTTTGGACAACTTTGGCCACCCTACACGAGGCTCTGACTTAGAAGCAATATCACAATGGATCGATAGACACATTATCAAAACTATCTTCCGCCAGATATGATCATCTCAATACACGACGCACGCATAGCTCGGAAGCAGGCTTCTCAGGGGAGCAGCAATATTGGGCGCCTTGAGTTCAGCTCATGATGGGACCTCTAGCTCAATCCAGAGAAACAATCACGAGCAGAGCAAGACTCTCAATGTCACACCTAGAAAATGTGATATAGACGTGCGAGGCGCGTGATATAGACGCCTCATCTATATCACACTATAGCGCAGGTGATGCTTACCGTATCGATAGTAAGCCCCTAGCGTATGCAGCTAGGCGCTAATGCTTCAGCTAGCCACTAACTAAGTTCTATCTGCTTGTTTAAGCTCATAGCCACAAGTCCTGACTGCAGACAACACATCTGGACAATAACTTAGACATTATACCATAATGACTAACTAATTGCTGCTAAATAAAGCCGACTTCAGCTAGCCACATAGCAGAGATCTATGCGGAAATTCGTCGCTTGCGTGGTCTGCTTTGTTTCACACGAAACTCTTGCAGAAGTCAGTCAACCATCTACTTAAGCAGTAAAACCCAGAACTAATAGTTGTGTCAGGCTATCGACAAAATCGCCTTCTTCCCAGTGTTGTCAAGCGATTCGACTAGTAATACCAAATTGTTAGATCTTTCTCCTGCACATCATACAATCATTTCAATGTAAGAGGACGTCAATCTTGGTCAAAGAGGGTGAGCCTTCACTAGCCACTTTCATAAATACTCATGATTCATGTCACTGCAGAGTTCTTTGTATAAATGTTCTATACGTGACTATAGTTCATGGTATTTTAGGAATCTTGGCTGTCGTGAGCCTGTCTTGACTCGATTGTGTTCTTCATATCCTGGAGCTAAGTAATATTTCTGAAAGTCAAGTTGGTATTAGGAGATGAATGGTGAGCCAAGCTACGTTGGGTGGTTGAACGAAATTCAGTTGGATCTACTATATAGGTATGAGGCTACAGCGTGCGGGACAAAATTGAGCTGGCTTTAGTACATAGATGACCTGAGAGCACAGCCCGGACTTGAGATAAAGCTTTGCTGGGATTTAACATGTGGCTAGGCTGAGAGCAGAGCAGCATGGAAACAGACTTGGGCTGACAACTTGGATGTAGTTGTGCTGAGGTTCAAGAGTTGAGTTGAGAGGTAACTAAGCCGGCAATTGGGGTAGTTGCGCTGGGAGCTACTAACTAGGGTGCTGTCAGACTGAGAGCTCAGGTAAAGGTCAGCGAGCATAAGAATAAGTTGCTAATTGAGGTATGCTCAAGACTGGAGTTGAGCTTGTAGTTATTCTTTACATAGTCAGCAAGTGTTGAGAATGCACATGAAAAAAATTTATCATCATCCACTGAGACTTGAGCCCATTAAATGAAGCTATCACGACATTGGTGGGGCTGCAGAAACAAGAGTCTAAAGTTCATCACACCTCAGCGCATGATCCAGATCCAATCTACGGGCGGACATAAGATGAATAGATACAATAAAAGACAGGCTTTCTAGTAGTGCTACTTTTTTCCCTTCACCGAGAGTGTAGTGGCACCAAATCTAAGAAATGAGGCTATCGCGACATTGCCAGACTTTACCTGTAGGGGGAATATTGCATCGCATCTCAACGACAAATCCAGAGATAATTTACGGGCGGACATGAAATAAGTAGATATAGTAAAATATAGGATTTCCAACCATATTATTTTCATTCATCTTGAAGCTGTATTGGTGGTAGAATTGTATTCCAAAGCTGGCGCTGGTCGTGGTAAAGTTCGCCAAAAAAAAAATCCAGGTTTTCGGCGCCCCTATCCTAAACTTAGGTTTTGTTCCACATCAAAAAAAGCAGAAGTCTGATATCCATTTCTTGGCGTGTCCACGGCATGTATTATCATTTATTCTCGCCATTTTACACTTACTGATTTACATTCTCAGCCACCTCACCATTTTTACATTTGCACCTGCTACCAAGCTGAACCAGTCTTGCAATCTCTCAAGTTCAGTTTATCTCCCTATCTCTACCATTTAATCACGCCAGTACCTCGCTGGCTGAGTCTTCATTTGAGTTAGATATCTCCGCCCATGAACTACACAATATCTCCTCCTGCTCCTCACCATCCGTTGCCAGGATCTCGTTGTCTGAGTTCTCAGTCGAGTCAGGCAGCTCCATCCAGAACGGGTACTTCAAGGCGCGCGGGAGTTCCAGAGCTTCATCATTTACTATCAGCGGCAGGCAAAGGTCAGAGCCAGTAGTATTCTCGAGGATATGGCGGAGTCGGGGTTTCTTTGGAGGCACTGGTGAGGTCTCATCACCTATCAATCGCCCTGGAACTGGACTTTGTACAGAATCTCGGTCTCTGAACAAGAGATTGGACCCAAGCACTAGTATGGATAAGGAATAAAAGTTGAACTGGTCAAATGCTGTCTTAAACTTATCATAAAGTCATCATAAACTATCCTAAGATATCCTCATATCGTCTAAACTCTTCATCACTTAGGGCGGGTTGGATGCTCGCATACATCAGAGACTGGTGATGGGGCAGTCCTGAGAACAAAATATTTACATGGAGGGATGTTCCAAGCACTAATTGGAGTTTCAGCCTGGGTGCGCGTCGTTGTCATGATGTCTGCAACCTGAGTGTCACGTCTTGACTCTTACCTATCAACGGCGTACGAATGCTCTTCATGGTCATCCTCGCTTGGTGATCGTACCGAGTAGACTTCACTTCAGCAGCCACTTCCAATTGAATCAGGTCTAGCCATAGACAAGTACACTTATACAGCGAACAAGCCATCAAGTCATATGCCACTTGGGTCTTGAAGTTATCTCGACATTCACCATACGCTTGGGGTGATTAGCTGAAGTGGCATCCTTTCTCCACCTTTGTGGGGCTCGAGTCATGTTGCGACCCGGTCCCCGCGCTCATGACTAATGCACGAGTCCAAACATCACGAAGCTTCACCAGACTCGCAGACAATTCGGTCAAAGCATTGCACATTGTTCACATTCAATTGAAGTCTTCTGAGTAATTGATCATCATAAAACATTAAATTCTGATTCTCGTAGTGTATCTATACGCCCGGCATCTATCATTGAACGCCCGTCTAGAACGCTTCTATATATTCATCCCTTTTATT